GTGCGCGCCTCTGCCTGCAGACATTGTTGTGAAGTTTTTTTGTTGTTAGTTAAGTTTTTTGCCTGCTATTGACCGTTTGTAATATTCGAAAGATTGAACTATAGAATGCGCCTTTGAAAAGACCTCTGGCTTTTAAAAGGGCGTTATATAGATAATAATTGTAATAATAATTATTATTATTTCTATTTTTTTATATATAAATAAATATGTTATATTTAAAAATTTGTACAAGTAGCTGCTAAACAATTGGATCTGAGGATGATTTATATGAGATGCCATCCGATATGTCAGTGTGTGCGTGTGCGTCAATTTGTTTGCGTGTGCGTGGTGTATATATGTGTGTGTCTGTATGTGTATCTCTATGTGTCTGCATGTGTACGTATGTCTGTATCAATATAAATATAATATGCTTCTAGGTATCAAAGAATATTCAAATGTGATTTAAATGTATGTCTTTGTATGCGTGTGTATGCGTGCGTGTGCGTTCCTTAATATGCGTGCGTACGTGTGTGTGTATGTGTGTATATTTATGTACAATGAATCGTAGTCTAATTATGCATACATGTGTGCATAGCTGTGGCGATTGTTGCGTGTCGATGATTGTTGATGTTGTTGTTTGTCGTTTGGGAGGAGGGTGTGGACGTATATAGTGGCTGTTGCTGCTTCTGCTGCTGCTGCTTTTGTTTTTGCTATCGCTAATGGTTATATTGGTAGGACTGACCGAGATGTTTATACGATGGGGTACAATGAAGAACTGAGTTAATGGGTAGTAATAACAAAATGATAAACAGAGATAATAATATACCCATCATGTCATATCACATTTTCACTCATTTGCTATAAAAAAGCATTCAGTATGAATTGGTACAAATGCATTTAAGTGCATTCGCTGTCACTAACTATGTGAACATCAAGCTGATGACAATAACGATATCATTAATAATGATCATTCGATTGTTACTACTGCTGCTGTAACGATCCCTTCACTGACAACAATGGCAGTACCTACAGCGGCGACAATAGCGAAAACAAAAAATCAACAACAAAGGGTAACAACAAATAACAACACTAATAGCATCAATATAACAACAACAACAACAATAATAATAATATAATAATAATAATAATGAGTGATAAAATAATAACTATAAATAAAAACAAAAGCAACACGTAAACATTATAGTTGTATAAGAGATTTTACATTGTATTCTGTCTTCAATCATGAGAAGCGATTTTGCTTGAATAAATGTAAAAAAGGAGGCGGAAGGAAGAGTTTTTATTGGTCAGTCTGTCAGTCAGCTCTGGGTATTTGCCAACAGTATCTTCAGCTCTTGATAAGCTGCAAACTCCAAAAGATTATGATAATGATAATATTAATAACAATAATAGTATTACTGCCACTACTACTACTGCTGTTACACAGAGTCTACAACAACAACAACAACAACAAAAATAACAACAGCAACAACAACAGCAGCAGCAGCAGCAGCAACAACAACAACTTCTCCAAAAATTTGCATAGAAATTAAAAACAACAAAAACCACAACTACACACCGAACAAAAATATATCCCTACCAAACCAGAGACCTACATTTCATCCAGTGGCTGTCCATGAATTTTACGGTGGGGGGATAACTTTTACAATTCTATAGTGTATGTAAGAGAGAGAGAGAGAGAGAGAGAAAGAAAGAAAGAAAAAAAGAGAGAAAGAAAGAGAGAAAGTTAAAGAAAAAGAAAGCCAATGACGGACCCAACGTAGAGATGATTTTCAAAATTCTAAAGTGAAAGGGAGCAGGAGAAAAGGAAAGATAGAAAGAGAGAGAAAGAAAGAAAGGGAGAGAGAGAGAGTAAAAGAAAGTGAGAGAAAGAGAAATACAATTTATCAAAAATCTGTGTGAGATCGTTGAGTTAAAACAATACAACAATGTGCGTCTTTGTCTTCGCTATTTTATTACTAACAAGTAATAACAACAATAACAATAGAATGAGAACAACAACAATAATAATAATAACAAATAATAAAAAGAAGATTTAGAAAATCCATATAAATAAAATAATTTTTTATTATTATAAAAAGTAGCAATAGTAGTAGCAGTAGTAGTAGTAGTAGTAGTAGTAGTAGTAGTAGTAGTAGTAGTAGTAGTAGTAGTAGTAGTAGTAGTAGGAGTAATAGTAGTAGCAGTAGCAGTAGTAGTGGTTGTAGTAGTAGTAGTAGTAGTAGTAGCATCTTCATTATTATTATTCCTTTCATTATCGTTGTTATGATGTTCTGTATTTTAAGCTATATAATCTATGTGATTGACGCTGTCTTTTTTTCTTTACTATTACCACAGCTGCTACTGCTTCTGCTTCTGCTGCTACTACTTCCACTACTAGTTAAAAAATAATAAAAACATTTATTAACAGAAAAATACTAATTATAATAATAATAGTTAATAATAACAACAACAACAACAACAACATTTTTACACACTCCTCTGCTAACAGCGGGCAATCAACCCTGTTTGAGCTCTCGTGAATAAAAAAAATATACACGCGCGATAGATGTAGTAGAGGCACACATAAATGTGTACAAATATTCTTATATATATATATATATATATATATATATATATATATATATATATATATATATATATCTATGTGTGTATGTGCTTGTTTGAGCACATTTGTGTGTGTGTGTTTATGTATCTATGTATCTTATCCATATGTAATAAAGAGATTAAACAGTGGCCATTGCTAGGAAGTGTTCGAATATATAATTAATTTACCTATTTACCTAGCTCAAACTATATATAATTATATATATATATATATCTTCTTTTCATCCACTCTTAGAGAAAGCTTCGTCCACTTTCGTTGGCGCTTATCTGGATGATATCAGCATTGCTTCGGACGGCCCAACTCTGGCCAATAGCTACAAATATTTGAAGCATAACTCCGCTGCAATTGGTTTAGAGTTAAACATTAAAAAATGCAAACTTCACTGCCAAAGTTTATTTCAGGTGCCACATGCGCTGACTGGAATACCCAGAGTTGGTGCATCAGAACTGAGTTTTTTAGGCACACCCTTGGTCGAGGGCGATTATCAAATAAAGTTTTTTGACCAAAAGCTCTCTGAGCTTAAATTCGCCCTGGGTCGTGTTTCTTGTCTTTCGGCCCATAATGCTTTGACTATTATCCGCAATGCCCTCAGTTTGCCCAAATTGATGTACTTCCTGCGTACATCCAAACACATTGACCCTTCTAAATTGGGCGAATTTTACGGAGCCCTGCGCACTGTCCTGTCGTCGATTTGCAATGTTCAAGTGACCAACAGTGGTTGGTCCCAGGCTCAGCTTCCGGTGCAATTTGGTGGGCTGGGGTTGCTTAGCGTGGTTCAGCTGGCTCCCGTTGTTTATAATTCTTCTGCCGCTGCCACTCTCGACCTGCAGTCTTCCCTGCTCCACCGGTTTTTTCGTTGCCGCGATATTCTTCCCCCAGTGTCCGCCCCGGGGGACCGTACGCACGTCCAAATTTTGAACGAAGAATATAAAAAAATTTTCAAAATTTGTTTTCTTCATGCGGCGACGACATTTCCACCGCTCGTTTGTTGGCCATGTCCAGCGTTGCCAGCTGTGGGTGGTTGAGATCGTGGCCTAACACCTCTGTGGGCACCAGGCTTGACGACGAGTCTGTGAGATTTGCCATTGGCTTCAGACTTGGTCTGGTCATTCAGAATAAATACACGTGCCGATGTGGCGCAGGGGCGGACGAGTTTAGGCACCACGGTTTGGTTTGTCGCCTGGGTGGGGGCCGTCAACTACGTCACTCAGCGCTAAACGAATACATTTGTCGGCTCTTCTCCAAGGCTTCAATCCCGGTTCTCAAGGAACCATCCGGCATTTCTGCGCATGATGGTAGGCGCCCGGACGGATGCACACTAATACCTTGGAGAGCTGGCAGATGTTTGGCGTGGGATGTTACGGTCCCTGGCACCCTCGCCGAACGATACGTAAACCTGACAAGTAAAGAATGCGGTTTGGCCGCGGCCAGGGCAGCGGACAAGAAAATGAAAAAATATGGGAACGCCCTCCCCTCGATGGAATTCTTGCCAATATGTATCGAGGTTCTCGACCCGATGGACCCCAACACCCTTAAATTTCTTATTGCTTGTTGCAGCAGTTCCTGCGTGTCTGTGTGCTTGAAAATATCCAACTGAATGCCGACATGTGCAATTAACGACAAATCAAAGTGTTAATCCATTTGTTACTTGATGTTTGACGGTTCAGTGTCACTCATCATGTTTTGGTTTTAACATACACACACACATACACACACACACACACACACATACATACATACATACATACATACATACATACATACATACATACATACATACATACATACATACATACATACATACATACATTTGTAACCGGTACGCACGACCTTGCAAATGTACGCAATAAAATAAGTACCCTCTTGTGTACTGTGCAGTGTACACAGGCTTAAAATCCATCCATTTGTATCCACGTGTACTGGTTTTAGTATGTCAAGGTGCATATATATATGTATATAAAAATTATATATATATATATATATATTTATGTATGTATGTATTAATATATATGTATATAATATATGTATGTATAAATATATATTTATATGTGTGTGTGTGTGCGTGTGTATGTACAATGTACATCTGTATGTAATGTACGTACACAAACACTCATTCAATAATGGCTGTTGCATTGTGCTACTGTTTCATTGTTTGCCTACCGCAGAGACATAACATCACATCTCGCTAGCAAACGAGAGGAGGCTGAGGAAGATGCTGCTGCTGCTGATAACGATGATGAAAACGACGATGATGACGACGACGATGATGACGACGACGACAATGATGGTGCTTGTATTGTATATGCAACCTCGGAAGGAACATTACATGCAGCTTGCTATGTGTATCTATATATGTCAGTTAAACGTTTATTTGTGGCTAATTAAATGAGTTTATTTATGTCTGTTTATAAACGTGTTTATTTATGTATGTTTATATATGTGTTTTATTTTATTATTATTATTATTAGAAATAGCTCGGGCATAGCCCATTGCCAACCAAATAAAAATCGAAAAATCAAAAGTAACAAAAATAAACCCTTAAAAATTAAAAACTGATTAAGATAAAAATCAAATTGTCATTATAAAATTAAATGAGTTAGCTTCATTAGATGTTTAACAAAGTCATTACAGTGGCAATCAAACAGGAAATTGAATCAACAACAAAATCTGTCTAGTTAATACAATCACAAATATAATAAAAAACCAAAATTGAAAACGAACCGAAACAAAGGGATTTTTAACAGAGAATATAAAAAAAAATTGAGTCAACGAAAATTTAAATTTATAAATATAGGAAAATAAACAAAAGACACAATATTATTGAGATTATCAGAAATTATCAGACATTATCAAACATATTACCCTCCAATCAAACATGACATCTCCAAAAAATTGTCTATTGCCGATTTAAAACCACATAGAGAGGATGAATTTACAGCAGCTGAGGGCAATTTGTTCCAATCATCAACTGATCTGTTAGAAAAGAAATACTTCCTACTGTCTTTGTGGCAAGCACCTGTAGTTAACTTCAGATTGTGACCTCGAGTTCAATCATAACAAGAGAACATTACCCTTAGACTGATATCCTCCATAAATTCCCCATGGATTATTCTATACAGCAATATGAGATCATCTCTACGACGCCTGTAGGCAAGAGAGGGCAAATTAAGTTTCTTTAATCTATTTTCATATGGAAGTTCCTTGCAAGAATTCACGGTTCTCGTAGCTCTTCTCTGAACCTTTTCAATTTCATCTATCAAACCAATTCTATAAGGATGCCATGCTTGTACGCCGTACTCTAGGTGCGAACGAACCAATGACTTAAACAAGGTTACAAATGCTGCCTCGGAAAGGTGTTTGAAATTTCTGGCAATAATTCCAAGCATATTATTTGCTTTATGAACTATCTTTAGCACGTGATTTTTAAACTTCAACTTGTTGTCAATAATAACCCCCAGATCAGATACTTCCTCAACCTCAGGTAACTGAAACGTCAAACCATCATCATCTAGTATAGTAAATGGCGGGCTTGGTTTATTCGATCCTATTCTTAGGAGCTGACATTTGTTTGAATTCAACTTCAACCTCCAAGTTTTAAACCAATTCATCATGTTCACAAAATCTTTCAAAAAATTTATTTTATCTTCCTCACACTTTATTACTTTAAATAATTTTGCGTCATCAGCGAAAAGGAACATATTATCACAAATGGAAGAAACGTCATTAATATTGATGAGAAATAGCAGAGGACTTAGAACATCACCCTGAGGGACTCTACTCAAGACAGGTTTTGGTTTCGATAAAGTGTTGTTTAACTTGACTTGAAACACCCTGCCCTGAAGATATTTATCAATCCACTTTACTATCTTATGATTCACACCATACTGTTCAAGCTTGAACAACAAACGACTATGGGATACTTTATCGAACGCCTTCTCGAGGTCCAAGTACGCCACACAAACCTCGTAACCACGATCTACTCCTTCAGTCACCACGTCCAAAAATTTTAAAAGATTCAAAACCGTCGAACGACCTGGGATGAAGCCAAATTGATTACTTGAAAACAAATTATTTTTCAGAAAATAATCCATAATGTGACCTTTTATTAATGACTCCAGAATCTTACAGCAAATTGATGTAAGCGCAATTGAACGATAATTCTGAACTAAATCTTTGCGTCCTTTTTTGTGCAAGGGAACAACGTGACTAATTCTCCAATCATCAAATACCACACTTTCATCCAATGAACGTTGAAAAATTCTGCACAAACCTTTAGAAACAAAATCTTTCATTTCCCATAAAATTCTGGAATGAATTTCATCCGGTCCCGCTGATTTGCTTGTCACTAGTTGTTTCAATTTAGAAAGAATCATATTTTCATCAATAGATAAATCGTCCATAGTCGGATAGGAATTTCCAATTATAGCACAAAATTGGCTCTCAAAATTTGAATCCAATTCATAAACGGAAGAGAAAAAACTTGCAAACGCTTCAACTTTTTCATCATCACAGGTAACGTCCCTCCCATCAATTGACAGAGTACCAATAGCCTCATGACGCCTAGTGATTTTTTTTACGTGATTCCAAAACAATTTTGGATTTCTGTTGAAATTTCTTGCAATAGATTCCTGATATTGATTTTTCAAGACACTGGCGAGTCTCTTTATCTCATTTCTGATTGAACGATATTTGTCCATTTTGTCTTCACCGTATCTGTAAATTGATCTCCAAATCAAATGCTTTTGTTTAATAAGAGATTTTAGTTCTTCATTTATTTTAAAATTGCAATATATTCTTCTTCTTTTCATCGGAACAAACTTTTGAGAACAAGTGACTAATTGGTCCATGAAAAATTTCCAATTATCCTCTGCATCACCACACCAAGAAGTAGGAACCTGCAAGAAGACCCCCAGTACATTTCTAAAATTTATATAATCACCCAAATCAAAACAATACTTTTTATCACATTCCATGGCTGAACAACAAAAACCAGTCAACTTGAATTCCAAAATTGAGTGATCACTGTTACCTAGAGGTGGGTAATGTATGCTGTTATTTATAAATTCCTGGGATGAAATCACCAGATCCAGGATATTTGATGTCTGACCATCTCTAAATCTTGTTGGATGACTGATGTGTTGTATTAAAAATTTATCTTTAAGAAGATCCAAAAATTTGTTTTCAACCCTCTCATCATTACCTTTAAAACTGGACGTGTCCCAGTTAATGTCAGGAAAATTAAAGTCCCCAAACAATAGGGTTTCACCAGGTAATGCCAGCACATCATTTATCAACTTCAGCAAAAGATCATTATTTCCAACATTAGAGTTTGGACTTCTATAAACAAAGAGAATATTTAAAACTCTATTAGAAACACATAGTTTAACTATTATGTACTCTTTGAATGATGAATTTAAATTTATTTCAGTTAATAGTAATGATCTCTTACAAAACAACATTAAACCTCTTCTGTGTTGTTCAGCAAAACCAGAAGAAATGATTGAGTAATCATCCAGACAGAACTCTGATAAAACTCTACATTGATTGAAATTTTTAGGATTAACTTCACTCAAAGCAATTAGATCAGGTGCAACATCCAAACTTTGTAGAAAAATTTTTAGATCAAAAAATTTGTTTGTTATTGAGTCAACATTAGTCATAATGACACTTAAATTATTACTATTATTGCAACTTGAATTTTTTACTTTAGTAAATTTTGCTTCTTGAAAGCAATAACATAAAAGTCTCCTGGCACGCCCTTCAGTCTGAATGACCACTTTGATACATCATCTTTTTCACCAATTTCTTTTTTTTTTCTCTTCCAAAATCTTCCTGTTACTTATTTTATCTTCCATTGAAAGGTCATGGTTGATGATGACTTTATTAAAATTCAATGTTTTATTTTATGTCTGCTTGTTTGCGCTCTTGTCCTGGTTATGACATTAAACTGACCCTCACTGCCTTGTGAGTGATGTTGGATCATCAAAGGCTAGGCCCACCGCTTATAACTGTGGTTGCGTAAGGAAGGGCGTCCTGCATAAAAATTAGCCAAATAAATTACTTATGATGGAATGGCGTCGAGGGGTATTTCGGTTTCATCATAGGTAGCCAAACGGCAACCCCCGATCTCGGGGAAAATGTCGTCTAAACGTGTGTTGTTGTTTGCGCTCTTTATTCACTCATGTTTGTAATGTAAGGTTTATTTATGTTCGTTTTTATTTTTCATCATGTATCATTCAAAATGAAAATCAATAATAATAACACATGTATCTGGAGTCTGTGTAGATAAGTTCTGTCCAAATTTGTCCTCATTCGCAGATGCAACTGTTAGATGCTGTTATTTGCGCACCTACTGGATTTAAAAAACCGTAATAAAATGTATTTTAACGACATAGCGTTTATTTTGTAAAAATTATTTAAACAAAAAAGGTTATCATTTGGTATTTGGGCGGCGTGATGGTCTAGTGGTTAAAGTCGTCTGGTGTTTGGTGCTGTCTCGCAGTGCGTGCAGTGACTGGGTTCGAATATGACAATAAGATGCCCGCCTATCACATGTTTTATGTGTTATAGGTCATTAGGCATGCATTCATATTATACGCGATGTTTGTTTGGCGTTTATTTCTCTGAACCTTGGAAGAGTGTGTAAAACCAGTTTTTGCTTATTAATATTGAGCATTTGGTTTTCCATAGCTTAAAACCTAGCAACCACGTTAACTAACGAAATACTGAAAGTTGCTTAGCAACGAAATTTGTTTATAAAACATTTTTTTATTTTTATTTTCGAGCCAATCGCTAACGTATATAAATAAACTAAAAAATTGACATTGACTGCAAAATAAAACATCCGAAAACTTAACTAATAACTATAAAAACGTAATTACGTAACTAAACAACTATTTTCGTCTATGATGATGGTGAACCTCTGTCTTTTATCATCCTAATGACCTACTAATTCTAATTCTCTTACTAATTGTAACGCTAGGGACGCTAGTTATGTCTTCTATGAACCCAGAGCAATTGACGTCAGTCACAAAATTGTCTCCACAAACTAACAAAACTGTGTCTGAAAAAACGGATTTTGATTCAATTATTCAAGTAATTCACTCAGAGCATTCATTTAATCAATTCAAAGATTTCAAAGTCTACTAAATTAAATAAAACGATTTTCAATAAAATTATTAGCATTCAATTTTTAAAGATTAATAAATGCCTTTAAATCACATAAAATAACTTTTTATAGTATTCAATGTTTTTTTGTGTAGTTTAATTAAACTTTTTTAAATCCTTGTTTTTGATATTAGTTAATTTTAATTCAATTAATTTTACTGTCAGATAGAGCTTGATAAATTGAACAATTCATCTTATGATGTGAACAATTTGGAGCTTGAACTTGTGGTGGGTTTTGCTTAATTTTTGTCCTTTAAGAAGAGAATTACATTTGATTTTTAACATTTAATAAATAAAACACAAATTAACATAAAAACAAATAAACATAAAAACTTAAACATAATTCACAGTTAATAAAATAGTACTATAATATAATATTATATAATCATTATTGCATAATCATTATATCATCATTATTTTTGTTACCATTTGTTGTATTAAATAAGTACTTCATTTAAATGGTATCTTGACTATGTTTTATAAATTTATAGTTTTTGAATGTTATTAGTTTGATTCAGCAATTCATAAACACATTTTTCTTTGTTGCACAATGAATGATAATACAAAAAACCAATAATCAATTTCTGAGAAACAATCCATTGCAGTGTAATAATTAATCCACAAATTAAAATTAAATTTTTATATAGAAAGAAAAAGGTATTAACTTGAGAATTCAGGAAGAATGCAAAGAACTTGACAAAACTTATTCAAAATTAAAATGTCACATCGCAAAAGCCAAACCTTATTACGATGCCCACAAATTGTTTCTACAAGTTTGGGTTCTATCATAATAAATTTTTTCTTTTATAATGGTGGAATAGACAGTTATATTTGCACATATGTATCAGTTTATCACGTGTTATTAAGTTTGTTATTGTGAAATAGTACTTACTTACTCACTGTATTATTAAAGATAGATAGATTAGATAGAGATAGATTTTTATTAAAAAGTATGTTATCAAATCATTAATTTGAGTTGTTTTTTTTCAGTTTTTAAATTAAGGATTTAGCATACAGAATGATTTATAAACGACTCGTTTTTAGTCTTTCTTTACACACACACAACACACACACACACACACACACACAGACATACACACTCGCGCACAAACATAAAACACATGTAAATGAACGAGTGATGATATACAGCCACAAACAAACAACCAAAACCACCCAGGCAAAGGTAACAACGCAGATAGCTCAGAGCAAATACGACCAAGCTTGCTGTCAGCTTGCAGCTGCTAAGGAAATGGCTGTAGTCGCCGAACATCGATTCTTCGAGACGGGGCAACCATTCAATGATGTATGGCAGGAGATGTTGAACCACACCATGCAAAAGGTTGTTAGAAGGTCGTGAAGTTCATTGAGAAGCGCTGTTGAACGTAGCGGGCATGGCGCGCCGTAGAAACTAATTGGTTGATTGATTAATTGACTAATTGATTGATCGCTTGATTGACTGACTGACTGTTGGAAAATCTTTTTTACAAATCGTTATCATTACCGTTTTGTTTTTAAAATCGTAACATGCATTAATTGGATGCAGTTCAATGTGAGTATTACCTTATTTATAATGAAAATAATTTTACATGGCATTTGTATTTTTTCAGATGGACAACGCGGAGAAAAATGTTTTCGAGACAGACGTACTGTACAGGATGGCTTTGGCTTTCCAGAAGGAGGTCGAACAGTCTGTTAAAAAACTGCAGAAAGACTGCAAGAAGAGTATATCAAAATCCATGTCGGTTGTTAATCTGTTTTGGTCGTTCAGTTTCGTTTCGTTTCGTTTCATTTTGCTTAGTTTAGTTGGATGAATTGCTTGGTTGATGAGCCAATTGGTTGTATGGTCGAGATGATGATGGATGTATGGAGTGATGAGTGATAATTATAATAATGGATAATGAATAATAATAATGATAATGAATGAATGAATGGATGGATGGATGGATGAATGAATGAATGAATGAATGAATGAATGATAGAACCAATTTTACGATTATTTCAAAAAATGTATTCAGGCCGTACTACCAAATGAAAGCCGTTCACGTGCAGATGCTGGAAGTAACTAAACTTTTTAGTTTTCTAATTTCATAAAGTTTCTTAGATTTTTGAAATAATGTATCAAGTAATTAAATTTAATGAGATTAAAATTAAATTCTGCGACGTAGAATGATGTTAATAACGTTTCATACATACTTAACGTGTCAGTTTGACTGTAAAGTTACATTTTGGTATCTTAAAAAAATGTTAAGAGTGTTTCACAAAATTTCACAGGAACAAAAAAAGAAAATTTCACAGATAGAAGCATCTCTGGCTGAAACTAAGAAATTCTACTCGGATACGTTAAAAAATTTAGAAGTATTGAGTGAAAAAATACGCAAATGCAACAACCAGGCAGATCAGTCTTCGGATTCGTTGTCAGTTATGTCTATTGAAACGATCCGTAGGGATGATACGAAGAATCAAACGTCAAAAAATGAAATCTCAAAAAAGGATATTTCAAAAAATGGAATCTCAAAAAATGGAAACTCTCTGAATGAAAATAGACAACAGGTCTTGGAGAAGACCAAGATTATTATGCACCCGCTGATGCCAGATGACGAATTAACTGGAAAAACTTTAGAAAATAATTCAACCTATTTCATCGGTGTCCCATTCAACGGGGACGCAGTTAAAGAGAAAATTGCTGGAGTTGTCTGCATCGCGAAGAAAGACAAAGAGGACCAGCTGAAACAGCTGCAGAGAGTTAGATCGCCTCATGGTGGCAGAGGGCAGCAGCGAACAAAATCGTCGCAAAATTATTTACAGTCACTCATCTCTGAAGTGAAAAAACCTAAAAATCTAAAACTACCGCAGCGGCAACAACTGCAAAATCCGACAATGCATCAGCAACAAGATGAACAACTATTCACTCAAAATCAGCAGTGTCAGCTCTCAAACAAGCAACAAAAACTGCTTCAAGAAGAACAGCTGCAGCAACGAGAGGAAGCTGAAAAAGGACGAACCCAACTGTTGAAGCAGATACAGCAGCTACAACAACGACAGCAACAACTTCAGCAACAACTACCTTTGGAGGAGCAACAAGACTTTCAACAGTATCAACAGGATCAAGAAAAAGATGAAGATAAAAAATGTCTAATACAACTTCCACACACTCGAGAGCGTCAGCAACTTTTTGACGAACAACAACATCAACAATTGTCATTAAAATACCAACAGCAACAAGAAACACACGAGCAGTCTCAAGAGAAGTGCGATAAACTGCAGCTACCAGAAAAACGTCAGCAAAATGAACAGAAACAATTTTTTCAAATACTACAACAAAATGAACCAGAGCATCAAAACGAAAATGACAGAGAACAGACACTGCATGAAATTCAAAATATACAAATGCAGTTACAGCAACAAGTTGATGATCTGTTACGAAACCAACTTTTTCAACAAAACATCAACAGCCAGTTAAATGAACATGACGTTAAACTGGAAGTGCGTGACAGCCTGCAACAGATCGAACCCATCATTCAACAATTTCGTCAGCAATCATCGCAGTCAATGAGTTTAACTAACTCCGCAGAAAATTTATCCAATTTAACATTTGTACCATCAGTGGAAAGTTGCTTCAAACTCGATAAGTTTTTCGTCAATTTGAAATTGCCCGAACAATTGAAATCATCTTCATCAAAATTATTTAAACAATCTTTTCCAATCTTTTTATCAGTTCATTCTGAGGCGCAAGTCCCAATTCGTTCTTCCGTGTCTAATAGCGATAGCGCAAAAATGAATGCACTTGTCGCCAGCAATCAGCAACCACCATCCAACAAATTAGATTCAAAATACTGTGAGGATTTTTTGAAGTCTGACCATTCAGGCAGTTTCCGTGCTCCTATCCTCTTATCAATCCTATCTTCTCCAATTACTGTTTCCTCTACGTTGAACAGTCTCATTAAAACAAGCATGAAGATGTTTCCTGGTCGCTATATTTATTCCGACAATTTAAACGTTGATAGAGTTGGTACCTTTCACCAAACCACTAAAGAATTTTCAAGAAAAGTTGTTGACGATAACAATGAAGAACAAGTGAACACAACAGCGATTACCACTACTCTGGTAAAAAAGAGTCCTTTCGCTTTTCCAATAGTTGAGAAAAAGATTGAAGTTTCGCAAGGTTCACTTGATTTGCATAAAAATAATCTTCTAGAGGCATGTCAGTACAAAATTTCCACCGTGTCTTCGCCAAGCATAGCGGAGTCGACAGAGATGGAAAAAGTAACGCCAACAAAAAAGAAATCAGAGGCAGTGAATGTATTGCAGCAGACGACTGGAGATGAACCAGGTGAATTTAATACTTTGTTTTCATCTTCACTACCTTCAACGACAAACATGCAAACAATAGTTACGCAAACATTACCATCGCAAATAAATTTTTCCTCATTACAAAACACAAAAACATCAACAACCTCACCGTCATGTAAGTCGTCTTTGCCAAATAAACAGTCGCCATCGACACTCACGTTTGTAAAATATTTGCATCGCAACCAAAATTTGCTGTATTTGCTCAGACAAATGATAAGATTCATGGAGCCAGACGAAGTAGGTGTTTCACAGCCCGTTGAGGCCAACGTACCAACATGCAAAACTACATCTCCAACTGAACTCAAAAAATCATCCAAAAATAAAGTTACACCAACAGCGTTCAGGCCATCTGAATTATCATTGCTCTCTCTACCGTCACAAATGCCTCATTGGACAGAAAAATATTTTTCGCAATCAAATTTTTTTTTTCAGCATGCAAGTCGGCACATATCAACTGAGACGCAGACAGATGATCTCAGTAACAGTTCTTTTGAGTCGTCGCAAAATAAAACTCAAATGAAACCTTCTAAGTTCATAGATTTTGTCAAATCGAAATCCTTAAATGACAGTGATCGTGACACTTTAAAAAACAGATTTATTTCCACTAGCACTTTTCGTTATGAATTTTTGCCTTCGAAAGAATCTTTGTTAAAATCAAATCTATCATCTAAAAAAAATGTATCAAAGTCTTTTTCTAGACCAAAGACAAAACGTGTAGGTATTGTACAGCAGTCGGCACGGCTATCATCAAAAAAGGATTCATCTCACTTTTTGAGGCCTTCCTGTTGTAAAAAAATATCTCAACTTTCATCGGCAGCCTCATTAACTGATGAGAAAAACTTGATGCTGCTGGGAAATCTCAACCTGCTCTCCCAGCTGCAATATGAACGTTTCCAGGAAGAACAACGCAGGCTTCAAGACATGTTTTACGACGAACAGCAGGAAAAAATGATTGCTGAGCAGTATCTTTTTGAAAATCAATTTGAAGTGCAACAATTTATTTTAGATCAGCAGTTACAATTGCAACAGCAGTTACAACATCCACGAACTTTCCATAAAAATAATCAGCTTCGTGTTTTAGGTAGCGAGCAGAAAAGTGCGGACGATGACTGTTACTCGTTGATGTTTAAGAAAAAAGGCCAGCTGAAGCATGTTGACAAACAACAACAGTTAGAACGAAAGCCAGATGTCACCTACCAAAGGCCTCTGTCAGCACCAAAATTTGTTTCATTCAATGAAGGAAAAGATCAAGTGGCAATTATACCGAAAGAAATAATTGTTTCATCAACGACCGCTGCCTCAGGTACAAGTTGTACGTTGTCTCCGCAGGTAGATGATCTGAATGTTGCTTCGTCCACCGTTTTTTTGCCTGTCAAGCCAGGTGAAAAATTTCAAGTTTCAGACCGATTATTTCCCAAAAATAATCGCGGTTCAGAAATTTCTATTGACACAAAAACATTAATTCTTGAGGATCTGAAGAATAAGACCCACATATCGAGTAGCAAAGAGACTTCCACGTTGATTAGTAGCAGGGATATTGTTGAAAATCAAACCAACAATATGTCTTCCACTAAAAACAGCTCAGAAACATTAGCTACTACCGAAAAAAATAAAACCGCTCAAAATTCAATAAAAGTCGGGGAAAGATCTGGTGGCATCATTTACCTAGCGCAACAGACATCAGAATTGTCTTCAAAGTCACCAGTCTCGTCAAGATCTGCATCACCATCAGACTCAACAACGTCGTCCAATTTAAAATTTTCAAGGTCATTATCAAGTTCTTCGTCATCTAGTGCGAAGAACGATTACAGCAAAAACGTGCCAACATCAGATATATTCAGCTTCAACAGGAGAACCATATATATGGGTACAGGTACGCGCGATGATAACAATAACAACGAGGATTTAAGTGAAGCAACTAATGAGAAAAGTTTCAGAAAGTTTTTGAAAGATAAAAAGTTGAGGATGAACAATTTTACTTCTCGGTTCAACAAAACTGAAAATTTAACTGAAAATAAAAAAATGACCGTTCGTTTATGTCCAGTTGACGACTGTGATAGGAAAGACGAGAGCTTAAGGCGTAAAAATTGGCGCATAACCCCATATAAAAATTTCACGTCAACAAAGACTCGAATCAGCAGCAGATCTGACTGGCGTTTGAAATAATCTTTTCATCAAGTTTATTACTGAAAAGAAAAATTGGCTCATTGATTTAAAAACGTTTGCGCCAAAGTTTGAAGAAATTTCGGAACATTTATAAAAATTATCTATCGGTCATTTCATCCATGGATTAACAAATACATTTTCATGCTTTGAAATTTCTAAAGAAAAATAAAAAATGTTGTTTTATCATAGTCTTCTTTGATTTTCAGTTGAAAATACGATTACACCTGCAAAATTATTTCACTTACTTTTAAGCCGTCAATATCGCTATCAATTTATCAGTCTTGTTTTTTATCGGTCCCAATTAGGCAATGTCTATTGAGGCGATGTGAAATTTTAATTGTATCCGCTTTATTGTAGGTCAATATTTTAATGACAAAATAATTTGATCAACAGTGAAATAAATGTAAAATGAACCTAATAGTCCGTTTATTTGGATGTTAAAAATTTTTATTTTCTCTTCAAAAACCGTCGTCACTCATTTTTTGAATATGATCGTCGTCATCAGCATGATCGTCGTCATCATCCTCATTATCATTTCCATCTACATCTACTTATGATCGTCATCATTCACCTTACCATCACTTTCAAAATTATTTCTTTAATTTTCCAGACGGACATGTCTCCAGAGATCGGACGCTATCTCACTGTGAACATCAAAAAGTACCACAAGAAGAAATTCTAATGACGGAAATGTTGGTCAACGCGTCCAAAGAAAAGCGATGGGTTGATAAATTGTTTGAAAATTATTTCCTACACTTAGCTGAAAATTTGAAAAATCGAACTTCACAACAACAAATTAAACTGGATTGTTGTTCAACATGCGTTTCAAAGCTTGCTAGCATGGAGAACATCGAAGCAGAAAAAGTTTTTGTTGAAAAAAACATCGATGAGATTACCGGAAAAATTCAAGGCAGTGATCTATTCCACAAAAAAGATGTTACGAAACAAATTTTGAACCGACTGTCTTCCGATGAACATGGAACCACTAAAAAATGCAACGAAATGACATCTTCGAGCACATCAACAAAGCACAATGTAGAGTCAAATGAAAAGAAATATCTTAAAGAGGATGTAAACATAAATGCTGCTCAATTAAATGAACTTTTGCTTTTTAGTGCAGCAGCAAAAGAACATGGCTTCTCTAACCTGTCAATTCGTCAACATGAACTATCATCATTCAGATCAGAAAACAAACAGCTGTCTAATAGTAACAAAGAGTTGACTGCAGAACAACAAAATGTTGAACCTTCAAAGCGCTCTTCAGTAAACGATCAAAGGATTGCACTGGATTGCACTAGGACTGCACTGCCTCCAGCAAAGTTAACTGATGACTCGACAGGTTTAAAGTGTATTTGCGATAAAACGGAGGAGATGGCATGCGCAAACAAACACAAGCGGAAGAAATTACGGAAAAGTATATGCAGGAAAAACTGTTTGAACGTGCAAAGACAATGGAAAATCAAAAAACGCAAACGCATCTTAAAACCTAGAATGACATTCTTTGAGAAACAATTGCTGGAATTATTTAAAAATAAAATATCGAAAATGTTTTTAGAAGAAAGCACAAAAGAGACAGCCATTTCGACAGCGTCACAAAACTCAAAAGAACAACAACAGACACAATCGACATTGAAGCCACGAGAGCCACAACAAACAACATGCCTACCATCACAACAAACAACGGTGTCATCACTAGAACAACAAAAACTAGATTTTCAACCAATGGAACCGGAACAACCAACAACATTACAGCTACAGCAACAAACAACAACATTACAACAACAGGCAACAACATCACCGCAGCAACACCAACAACTAACAACTTTACAGCAGCAACAACAACCAATATCACAACAGATAAAACAACTAACTATCTCTCTCTCTCAACAGCAGCAGCAACAACAGACATCGCAAAAGATTGAATTTCAACAACTATTATTCAAGCAATTAATACATCATCCAGAATTGTTTCAAAAACATCAACCACTTAACCAAAAAAGTAGCGTCAATCAAATATGCGAAAACATGATAGTTGTAAACTCAAATTTTCAACAAAAGTTGAATAACTTTGTTGATCGAGTTTCAGTTGGGCAGCAGCCTGTTGACCATATGATTCAACAAAAAGATGTAGCTTCCAATTTGGTGAAAGTTAATGCAAATTCAGCGGTTAAAATTGAAGAATGGAAATTGATACCTTCTAGTTTTACTTATTCAAGTGCTAGTGGTGAGACGCTAAACTTTTCAAAATTTAGTCGCAATGATTCGAAAAAAAAGAGAAAAATGTTGGAATCATCGAGGACTAGTTTCCAATCATGCGTTCGTGGAAGACGACCGATACCAAAAATTTTTGATGTGAAATATTTTTGTGGGAACGAAGAAAAAATTAAAGAGAAACGTAAAAAAATCAGCCCGAAGTCCAAACATTGTAGAAAAGCATTTGTCACTTTTGTGAACTTTGATGGAGACCAAAATAAACATAAAATTGACTGGCAGTGGGAGTTATCAAGTTCCTACTCATCAGATCTCACCAATAAAAGAACGAAACCAAAAATATCAAAAGCAGCAAAATTTAATCGTAAAAACCTGATAAATGAAAGAGAAAAAATGAAAATTACTGACTTCAAAAAATGGAATGATATGAATAATGAAAATGATTTGCTGCCAGAAAGTTTAAACTCAGTTAAATTAACTTCTGCTAGAAAAAACGCTAGTATATTTTTATTTAGGAATGCAGTTCCTAGTCAATTCAAAAGACAAATGCCACAAAAGACAATACTTGAAAATAAAACTACTAAAACTAAACTTGAAAGAAAAACACCTGATGACGACCAGCAGCATGACACCGACGAACAAGTAAGAAACGTTCCAGCTTTAAAAGAATCCTGCGACACCGACAGCTTCAGGAGTGGCAGTACGAACAAAACTGGAAAGTATTCCCATTCTGAACCTGATGTATCAAGCTCAGTTGATCTGAATAAAAGTAGCGATGTTGTAAGTGGAGGAAGCAAGAGTGACAAGCAGAGCGTTTGCGAGAGCAAGAGTGGCAGCAACATGGATCATTCTGATGATAAATCTTCTGCAACCGATCACAGCAGAAGCAACGAAAATAATTTGTCCTTGAAACCAACTAAGAAAAGATTAAAGAGTGCAGATGTAGAAATACCACTCCTTCCATGGCTGGGTGGAGGTAATTATTATTATAATAAAACATCTTCAGTCAAGAAACAAATTCGTTCCGTTAAAACCAAACAGACCAAACACTTGGCTAATGATTTTCTCGAAAAACATTTGCCAAAACTCACGGAAAAGTTCAAAATTCATAACCTGAAACAAAATCAGAAAATTAAATTTGAATACGGCATTGAAAACTTTTCAAATCATTCCATCCCAGATAAACACAAGTTGAAAAAAAAATCAGATGATGACAATAATGATAACAACGATTCTCTATCAACGTCTGACGATTCAATAAAGAGTCGTTCCATTTTTCATTCAATTTTCTCCAACACAAACATTGACGTCACGTTCAAGTCATTGAATGGGTCTGGCACTAATGTTAGCAACGCCAATCATTCGTTAGATTTAATCGAAGATCCAGGGCAAAACACTACGGTTGAGGAAAAATTTATTAGAGACAAATCAACGGAAGAGGAAATACAAAATAGTACCCTTCTTAAAATTTATCAAGTTTTACAACGGCAACATAAAAAACTTAAGCAACAACAAAAATTTATTCGAAATTTAGAAGAATATTCATTGTATGGAAAACTCCGCTCTAAATGTCACATTTTGCAAATGAATCAAAGAATCAAAAATCATTCTAGTTTTCATTTTAATGCCTGGACCGGTTTCGGTAGATCTTTAGTGGATAAAAATGAAAAAATATTTCGCACTAATAAACCTAAACACAAGAAATCTCACAAAACAAGCATTAAAAAACAGCACAAGCGAGATCTTCAAAAATATAACTTTTCCTTGAGTTCGAAATTGAAATCATTCAAGAGAATGAAGTCGAAAAGGCTTTCGAAAGGAAGTGCAGTGGAAACTGCTGCAGTTACAACAACACCAAAACGCACACAATTTTTGACAGTAAAGTTGCAGAAGCCAGAACAGTGTGGAGAGCAACAGCCAGCTGGTCAACAGTTCGAATCACAACAACTTACAAAACTGTTAAATGAGTCACAACATGAAACAATATCGCAACAGACTGAATGGCAACAACTGACGTCTCAGCCGGACAAGCTTCTGCAACAACAACAACAACTTGCCAAACATTACAGTCTCGTTCAAATTCATGAAAACACTGCAGCTGTAAACCCAACCTTCTACCAAGGGCTACAATATCCAGCTGATCCCGTTCAAAGTAAGAAAAAACACGAGGCGGATAACAAAGCGCCGGTTGAATTCTATTTATTTACATCTGACGTTTCTAATGACCAATCAGATGAACAAAAATTTACCGAACCAGCATGCAGAAAACAAACCGCAATGCCGAGTTTTATCCAACCAAAATGTGTAAATGAATCTCCGATTGAAAATTCGTCAGCGTCGTCATGGACTGCACCGACGGCGCATTCAACGATTCCTTCGTTGGCTGCCCACGTAGCGCGGCAGCGGCAAAAGAGTTTCAAGTCGCGTCAGACATCTATTACATTATCATCTGTTACGCATCAACATTTCTTAAATGTTTCCAAAAATTTATTAATCCCGTCAAAAATTAAAAAAAAATAATGAGGCAAAATTAAATTCAGTGAATAATATTTCTAAGGGAAAAGTTCGTGACAAAGACAAATGCTAAGAGTTAATGCTTTAAAATTTTGTCGTAAGAAATTTATGAAAGAATCGTTCAGTCCGAAGTCTTCCTTTTCAGGTTTTTGTACAAAGTTTTCCGGCATACTCCTTGTTGCTCTGAAGTCTTACAAAAGAAAGTTGAGAAAGAGGAAGAAGATAGGATGGAAATCGACAAGTTTGAAACCCAGTAAACTGAAAGACTCTAAAAATGTGCTCATAAAGAAGGCAAGAAAAAGAAAATTAGTAACAATTCGTTCCGCAAAATCAATTTGTTGTGGAGAAAGTTTAGCGGCAAATGTTGATGTCAAGACACCTGGTCGTACAAATGTTGTTAAAAATGATGCTGAAGGGGCAATCAGCAGTTGTGGGATCGATAAATCGACGACCGATGCCATAAATCATCCAGATATTGAAAAAGAAGAAAACAAATTAAAATTGAGAAAGACATTTGAGTATCAACGTCATGTCGATTATTCATTTTCAATATAAAACCGTGTATTTTTCTATTGAATGATTATTTCAAAAATAAAAAAAATGTAAATTCCAAAGAATTTTACTCGATATAGTGCTAACTGGTACAGATTGTACCATCATTTTAAGAGCTTTCACGTATTTAAAGTAACGTTCAAAAACACATTTAGAGTGAACATATTTTGAGGTTTGAATGAAATTTAAAAATCGCATACTTCTAAAAAACCTTTTTCTTACGTAAACATGGAATAAACGTCTTGGTTAAAAAGTATTGACTATGAGTTCTTGAAGAAGCAATGCCAAAACCTTAAAACAACATTAATTTATTTGCATATTTATTTATTAATTTGTCCATAATAATTAAAATTAACCGAATAATAATAATAGTTAATAACAACAACAACAGAACACGTTTAGACGACATTTTCCCCGAGATCGGGGGTTGCCGTTTGGCTACCTATGATGAAACCGAAATACCCCTCGACGCCATTCACATCTGTCACTCGCCTCAGTATCACGCAACCCCGCTTTCACTTTGTCCTTCTCCACCTGCTCTCTAGTTAATAGTTAATAAAATTAATAAAAATATTATTATTATATTATTATAAGTTAATGGTTTTAATTAATTAGGAATTTATGGAATTACCAACAAATGAAAGTATAATAAATTAATAAAAACCACATGGAACTTTCAAAGTTATTTGTCTAATTAAATTACAACTCAACGACAATAAATTAATGATTATTCATTAAAATATAAATTAAAGTCACTGGTTGTAAAATTAAAAAATTTCATAAATTGAGGTGGTATAATCGAGTTGTAAATCCATATAACTTTCATATTGTGGTCAGTGAAGCGGTGTTGACCAAGCTTGTAATAAACTTTAAGAGAAATTTACGAGTGTTTGAAGCGATTAACAATGAAGAACATTGTGATCACTGACCAGTTTATAGTGTGTGGGGATTTTATTTTGTTTATCACACCGTAATCAATAAACAAGGAAATTTTTTATTATGGCATCCGTCTTACCTCGGCGAATTTGTATATAAACCTTTCGTTTTAGATATTTTATAAAATTTTCAAAAAGTAGTTTTATTGAAAATATATTTATCTAGAATTTACTCTGTATTAATATCGGCTGTTCAGTGTATGGAGTCTTCAAGTTCAGTTTTAGAGCACGTGAACGAGCTTAAGATGGAAAAGCAATCAGATGAACGAGAGGACAGAGCAAACGATTATATGCATCTGAAGCGTGTGCAATCCCGAGCTAAAACATTTCAAAGTCTCCAGCAGAGACTGAGAAACAACAGAATACGAATGTCGATAAGCCAGAAAAATGAAAAAAATAGTGAAGTTAAAACTGAAAAGTATGTCGGGATATCTCGCAAAAGAAAATCCGAATTAATATTCAAAACAGTCGCAACTGATAAGTGTATAAAACAACGATTGTCTAAAATTTTTGAACGTAGTTCCTGTGAATGTCTATTGAACAATGCTCGTCTGAGGAAAATTGATGAATTAGAAGAATCAATAATCGAATGTGAAAAAAGAATGGAGCCAAGAACTCAAATGCTTTTAAGTGCCTTCGAAGTGTTTGAAAACAAGTTTGAATTTATTTTGGAAAAACTGAACGTGACAGAATTGATGAACAAGTTTGAAAAGTTAGCATCATCGGCAAGCAAAAGCAACAAAAACGTAGTCAGCAAACTTTTTTCAATCTTTAAAACAAACCCATCTAGTTATCTTGTTGCAAAACCTAGTAGAGGTCTCTATATCACATGTTTGATGCATTCATTCGATAACATCATTGTCACTGCTGATGTGTTGCTTCCGACGGTAAAAGTGGAGTGTGATGAAGTTTGGGATTTGGAGAACAATTTTTATTGGTTAATGAAAGTAGTCAGCAATTGGTCCCACGTCAACAATTTTAAATTAGCGCTGAAAAATGAACTTTCGATATCGAAGAAGGTGGAAAAAAATTGGAACGAGAGGAAGGACATCCTCATCCTGAGGTACGCCATTTTGAATGCAATCAGTACACTGCAGGACATCATCGGGACAGAAGATTTGGGCCATCTGCACTATGAAATGATAACGGAGGGTAGCTGCACCATGTTTCTACTGGTCAACTCGGACCTTCAAAGATCAACAAAGATGTCTTCAAAAACATCTTCAGTATTGTCTCTAACTTCACAATCGTCGTTTTCGTCATCCTGGCTTCCCGTAACATCACCATCATTATCGTCATCTTCTTTATCTTGGATGCCATTGCGAAAAGTTTTTTCCAACGAATACGTTGGCAGAAACATACAAGGTTGTAATTTACTAAAATTTGTTACGCTGAGAAGTTCTGATATTCTCGGGTCAAATTTGGGAACGAGTGAGCAGAAGCAGCTGGAGCAGGGCATGTACATCGGCTACTTGAAGCTGGCATGTCGTGTACAGGGATTGGATATCCTCGTCTCCAAACAACATCTTTCAAGCCTCCCTTGCATCAAGGTCGACGGTGATGATGGTGACGATTCCGATGAAGATGTCAAGATGGTGGTGAAGTACACCAACGTTTTTGATGATGGAGATGGTGCTTCAATGAGAGACAACAACTTCAAAAATATGCTACAGACAAAATGCCATCAGCTCATTGATACCATCGCTACAGAAACATCAACTGTAGCTGTTGAAGAAGAAGAAACTATTGAATCGACTACTCCAGCTGCTCATCGTCTCCACAAGTTGACCTTCCCTGTGAAACGTTTCTTGAGCATGACCTTACTCGCGCCACCAGCTTCTCTCGTGTGCTCACCTCTGCAGGGCCATCTCCCCACCCCTCCGCCATCTTGCACGTACCTCCCACTCAGAACTTTTGAAATGCTCCACCTCAACACCTACCAGCCACAAATCTACCGAAAGTATTGCCAGTTGTCGGTCATCTTGGATCTGGTGACAGAAGTGTGCAGACGTCGTAAGATACTTTTGGAAGCATCCGGGGAAAGCGAATCACCTGATGACAAACTGGCTGAACTGTTGGAAGTCTCCCATTCAGTACAAGGCATCCAACGAGATATAAACGAGATCTGGACGAAGTATCGTTGGTTGACTGACGTCATCAGACAAGCACGTCTGACGTCATCGAAAGATTTTGTTTCTTTGGGACAACTTTTCTAATTTGTTTTATGTGTTTAGATATAGTGGCAATTTATTTACTCCTGACATCACGCGCGTATGAATCCGTATAATTGTTTCCTCACATGCAAGATACATACATCTGTATACAAATTCGCAAGTGCATGCGTGTATTGTACAATTGTACATGCATACAATCTTATAGTACTGCGAATGAACATTCATTTTTTGACAGACTTACAAATGTTGGTATAATTTTTATATAATATAAACATGTGACAAAAATAACATCTTTAGTTTTTTGTTGCGTTCAATCTATTTATTAAAAGATAGACATAATAGTAAATGAATGTGAGCGAATAACGAAGGAATAACTAACTAGAAACAGAACAAACAGCTAACAATTAATTATAATATATCATTTTTCACATTAACTAAGAAATAATAGTAAAATAACATAATTCATTGTAAGCTATTAATAATGGCTGGAGAAAGCCTAAAACCTATTAAAGCAAGCGGCAACAACAACAACCAAGGCGATAAAACCAAAATAAGCACAAAACAACTGCACAACAACTTTCACAAGTTGACAACAATAATTCAAATGAAGAAATGGAACATAGTGAACAGTTTAATCATCGTCGTCGTCGTCATCATTGGTTACACCATCAACGAAGATACAGCTAAGCTGAGAGAGGAGCTGATTTCGCTGAGGCGGAATTTATCGGAAAAGTCAGGTACTGGTTTGAAATTTCGACTTGAAGATGATAACAGAGCGAAGGTGAGGTTAAATTTTTTTTTAATTTTAAGAATATATTTTTAAAATGAAATATTTATATATTCGAAAAATATTTTTGCAACCCAATAAAGAAAAAAAATGCGTTAATATACATATTTTTAAAATGAAATATTTAAATATTTGTAAAATATTTTTGCAATCCAATGAAGATTACATTTATTAATAAACAACTAAGATGTTAATTTATTGCATAATTAATAGATTAATTAGATGGACCGACCGACCGACCGACTGATCGATCAAAGACACGCAAAAAGACATCAAAAACAAAGAATAAACAATGTAACACATTCATTCATCCACACATCCACCCATTCTTCGGCACTAATCAACTTAACAGGCATTCCAATTGACATCTAATCAGTTTAGGAGCAGGAGGGAAAGCGACAGCAGCAGCAGCAATAGTAGTAGCAGCAGAAGCAGTAGGAGTAGTAGGAGTGGTGGCAGTGGTACTTGTCTTTGTCCGGCAGGTAAGGAATTGTCTCATTTTATTTTTTACCCCATCCGTCAAAAGATTTATTTTATTTGTTGCAATGTCGTTAGCTCTCGTTCGTTCGTTTGTTCATTTGTTTTCGTTTGCTCGCTTGTTTGTTTGTTTGCTCGTTTGTTTGTTGTTTTTGTACGTTCGTTTGTTCGTTTGTTTTTGTTTTGATTTTTGCTAATGTTCATTTGCTACATGATGGTTCTTTATTCTGCAGCCGATATTGAGGCTTGATTTTAATACTAAACCAGTACCAAAAACGATGTTTCTGCGCGTATGTGCTGCTGTCCATGTTTTATTATATCTGCTATACGTGACACATCCATCTTAATTAATGATCTAATATTTATTGAAAGTCCTCACAGTGAATAAATAATCGTTTTTTCATGATGATCTATTGAACGTCAAGTTTTTTAATATTTGAACATGTACAAAACGTATCTATTTAATATATTATTAAAGTTTAATTTCTAGAAGCTCATAAAAAACAAATGACACATCCGCATTCTCTCATTTAAATCTCCGATGACGTTAATAACACGTACACACGCACACACACAGAGCGCGCATGTGAATACGCATGAATCCAGACATGGCCAACATTGCATTCGATCCCGTTCACTGCAACAACAGGACCAAATGCCTTAACCATTACACTGCCATGTCGCCCGTAAAATAGTCCGTCAAATCGTCCATTTCATCGCAGGGCCTCCGGGTACACCTGGATTGCCAGGAGCTCCAGGTGAAGAAGGGAAAAAGGGAAAGAAGGGAGACAAAGGAGACCAAGGCCACCCAGTAAATTTTTTTCTGTAACTGACTTTGAATTTGCAGTTTTCTAATCAATTTTTTTAGAAAATTATTTTCAAAACATTTTAAAAGAATTTAAAAATTCATAAAAGTTTTGAAACTTTTCTTTCCAGGGCCTTATTGGACTTCCCGGTCGAAACGGATTTCCGGTGGGAACATTTTTTCATCAACTTGCTCTAAAACACACACAATTGATCAAATGGAATTTTCATAGCGTTATTTAAACAGCGTTCATTGGCAATCTTTTTGACGGTCCAATTGTATTGTACTGTCCAAATATATTGCAAAGTATCTTAAAGCTAGCGAACGACCTAGATTAAGTAAATGTAAACAATTTTCCAGCCCACGCATAATTAATCCGACATGGAATAACTTTTGTAATAGGCATGAATGCACGCATAACATGCATTGCATTTGGTAGGTAGGGATCTCTACGCATTCGAAGCCGGTTTCTGCAGCAGCAGGACCAAGCGCCTTAACTAATACACCATCTCTTTGCTTTTATAATATAATAATTACTAATTTAATAAATAAATTAAAGGGACCAATCGGATTAGAGGGACAGGGAGGTGATAAAGTGAGCTTTTACCTTGAGTGAATGCATTCATTTTAACGCTTTTCATTCCTACATTACATTAGGGCGGTGTGTTTTTGCCTGTGCTAATGGAGAATTTTATTCACTTTCTTCTTTTTCTGCTTTTGCTTTCTCGATTTTAGTTTTATTGTTAATAGTTTTGTTTTGTTTCTGCAACATTTTTTTGTTTTTATAAAAATATAAACACGTCGTAAACTTTTGATTTCATTGAAAAATTTAATCGCAATATTAACTAAACTATAAGCTTCAATTCAAATTTCAAAATTTTCAAAACGCAGGGTGAACCAGGTCTGAAAGGCGAAAAAGGAGATAAAGTTGGGTTATATTGAAAGGAAATTTCAAAGTATTTTTAATTACAGTTGTATCAAATTCATTATTCGTATATCAAATTCATCATTTGTAAACCTATTCAGTTCATCAATCATTCCACAATGATATAAACCGCGTTGTTTAAAAAATTGAACTAGGGTGATCGAGGTTACGTAGGAGAGAAGGGTGACATGGGACCCTCCGGATTTGATGGAATGCCAGGGAACAAAGTGATATCAAATCTATTATAAAATACATTTTTATTCCACATTTCCTTGAAGTGATGCTGACACAATACATTTATTCACCTCTACATTAGTTTAAAATTTTAAATATAAGGTAATTTATAACGTTATGAAGTTGTTCTGACGAACTTTTGAAAAAAAATTTCTTCATCGTCAACAACAACAAACGAACGGCGTATGCGAATATGCATGACTGAAAAAACAACAGCAACAACAACTGTGACAGGCACCTTAAAACCGTCTAAACTTATACTCATTAAAATGAACCTTAATTATTAATTCAGGGGAACAGGGGACCTCCTGGCTTTCCAGTTGGTGTTGGCAAGGAAGGGATTGAAAAGATACACCTTTTGAAAGTATAGTATATTTATTTTTATAGACTAACAACGATCTTAATCTTTTTGCTTTCTATTTAGAACATTTCAGTTTTGTTCATGTTGATCGAAAACTTTTTGTAAGAAAAATAAATCGAAGAGGATCAACATTATACCATTCATACCATTTATATAACGAGTTAAATAAAAAATAATTTTCATATAACTTATGGAAAAAATAATACGACTTGAAAATAAATTGCAGGGTGAACCTGGTGAGGCAGGCCCTCCAGGTAAGCAGGGGCCTGTCGGTCCACCCGGATTGCCTGGGTTCGATGGAGTGTCTGGCCTACCTGGAGAAAAAGTAATACTAACTCACCTGTTAATAAAATTATATTAACTACGTTCAAAACTTTTGATTAAATGACATTCTCGTGAAATTTTAATCAGTTTTGAAATTATTTTCTGCAGGGTCAAATAGGACCAAAAGGACCGCCGGTAATTATTTGGTTACATTTAAAAATTTATTTTTTTTAAATTATTAATAATCTCTGTTGTAAGAATTTTTTTTATACATATAACATTATTTTCGTAGAGTTTAGTTGCTTTTTTTAGCTTAACACACACTACATTAGGTATTCAAACGCGCAAAATATAAAACCAACATAGCTGTACCTCCTAATAGACGGTATTCGACTAGCATTTGTATTTGGTTCAAGATACTTCGACGCAAGAGTGCAAGACCAAACTATATTGAAAACTCTAATCACTGAGCTATTACGCCACTCAAATTTTGTAAAATTTTCTATTTGATTTAGTAAAAATTAAAAAACCAATTGATGTTTTAAAGGGTGAACCAGGGAGAGATGGAGAACCAGGCAGTTCTGTAAGTGCTACACCATTTTCAATTTGGTCATCAAACTAATCCTTAATCTCCTAAATTTTGAAACTAGGGAGCTAAAGGAGAAAAGGGTTCGCCATCATTTTCATCATCGTCCCAATTATCGCCGAATTCGTTTGCATCTTTCGAAAGAGCCGACCAGATGCTGGAACCATTGAGTTCCACCGCATACGCTAATGATTTCGTCAAAAGTTCTCAAGCTTTTTCTGGATCTATGAATAAAAAAGTTAGAAACCATTTTTTGAAGATAAGTTTTTAGACAATTTCAAGAAAACTTTCTGAAAATTATTTATAAGAAATAATTCCGTAAATTAAAGTTTAAATTAACTAATTATACATATCGGACACCGTTAATAACAATAGTTCGCTATTAAATTATTCCAGTTTATTCAACGTAGCTTAAATAACATTTCAGTAAACAACACTAGATAGTTCTGCAGCTTATTTTTCCCATTATTCCTTACCAGTCAGACGCTGGCTACAACCACCATCATCTCCATCACCACTCCTTGCTGAATTTTAAAAAATGCGACATGCACGTGACTGCACTGGCTGGCTCGGAGAAAGGTCCGGAGGAGAGGATCGTTAAATCTCAAACTAGTGCCAAAGTTCTCAATAAAAATAGAGGTGATGCTGAAAGATGTTAAACTATCGTTATATTCATTGTGGTGGAATGAATGATTGCTAGTAGTTTTGCTATTAATAGCGTTGGAATAGAATTAGTAGAAGTAACATCATCACCATCACTATCATCATCATCAGCTGCAGCAGCAGCAGCAGCAGCAGCAGTAGTAGTAGTAGTAATAGCAGCAGTGACAGTAGCATGAAAATGTTTCATTTTAATAATTTTTTTTATATTGCATGTTTAAACCTTTCGATCGTAAAAAAACAGGTTAGAGAAGACCAGGCTGAATAACATCAACGTTATTGTGCTGTAATGTTTCACTGTACTACATTACCTTATCGCATTATGCTAGTGTACTTTATTGCACTGAACTACACTTTGTTGTACTTACTGATAGATACTATAGATGTGATACAATCTTACGTTCATTCATACGTGTATTTTATTGCCCGCAAGATCTTATCTCTTCTGTAACAATGAAGAGCTATAGCGACAAATACATGAGAATTGAGTTTTGTGTGAAAAAACACACGCGGTGGTTTGGCTATTTTTGCTAGAAACACTCCCAGTTAAATAATATTCAAGTGAATAACCGATCGGTAAATAATCCTTCCAAAATTATCAATATAGCTGTATTTAAGTACGCAGTAAAAGAACTATAGCAGGTAGACCCGAGATATATTTGCCACGATTGAGTGGGACTTCAATGCCAGTGACTACCACTACTACATTGTTTGCTACTTTACAGTAAGTTATAGTACTATGTCGGTACACTATACAGTACCGTACAACTAAACTACATCGCAATATATTATAATACAGTACTATTTTGTTGCAATGTACTACTTTTTACTAACTATTTAGCACTTAAAATTTTATGTTTTATGATATTTTCATGTTAGTAAAAAAAACCGTACCAGAGACAATTATGGACAATTTAATTTAATCAATGTCTGATTTACAATAGATTTACAACGGAGTTGTAGGGTGGGAAAAAAAATTAAATGCACGTTAGTATAAGCTTGTAAATTTGCATTTGTCAATTGAAATTAAAAATTGGATTTAACTGAAACTCTAAAAATAACTAAAAATGGATTTAACTGAAACTCTAAAAATAACTAAGAAAATATAAGTAACTAAAATAGAAAAATAAATAGATATATGAATGAATGGAATAAGCGTATATATGCATATATATTAATGAATGAATGAAAGAATGAATGAATGAATGAAGGAATGAATGAAGGAATGAATGAATGAATGGGTGAATGGATAAAGGATGAGCAAACAGTATAGATATTATACAACTAATGATTCATAGATAAAAATAGATTTAGCCACAACAGAACATTAAATTAACATTAGCTATTTTATCTGACGAAAAAATTTGTTTTCATGAATGAGTGAATGAATGAATGGAAGAATAAATGAATGAATTGATGAATGGATGGATGAATGAATTATAAATGAATTAATAATTAAAGAAGCTTTATCGCAAAAAAATCTACATCACCATCGTACGTTATGTATATATTATTATCTCTCTCTCTCTCTCTATATATATATATATATATATATGTGTATATATATATATACATATATATATATATATATATATATATATATATATATACATATATATATATATATATACGTGTGTGTGTGTACGTGTTGCAGGATATAATATTGAAATATATATATTCAACGATCTAACCAGATGATAAAAATATCCAAACCACACAACAACAGAAGCAATTAATTACAAAAGAATAAAAACAAAGAGAGATAGTAACAATAAAAAAGCCACCAACAACATGAATAATAATAACATAAATAAAAAAAATAATAATTATTATTATTTTTATTATTAACTAAACTATGAAGCTGAAAAACGACAAACAAAATCACATCAATATACATTATAAAATGTTGACCTCGCCAAAAAAATGTATAATTTTATATATTTGTATATATATATATATTTGTGTGTGTGTGAGTATGCGTGCATATGTGTATATTTGTATCTGTTGGTATGTATGTATATATATATGTATGTGTGTGTATGTGTGTGTGCGTATCGTTTGAATCAAGATTCTTGGCAGTTTAAAACAAATTAGCATGGCATTTTGATTATATCAAGCTTCTTATGATTAAAAACAAAAGAAAGATCAATGTACAATGTATATGATGTATAAAAATGAGATTATCAGAGAGGAAAGAACCAATAAATTAACAATAATTAATCAATTAATTAATTAAACAAAAATTGATAAAAACAATTAATTAATTAAGCAAATAATTAAGCGATTAATTAGGTATTCAATTGAAAAACGAACTATTAAAACATAAAGGGGGTTTTGTTGGAGTTAGGCGAATGTGTAAAAAAATCAATAGAGTAGATCTTGTTATTTTTATTGTGCGTGTTCGTGTGTTTATGTGTGCGTATGTGTGTGTGTATTTGTGTGTGTGTGTTGGAAGCAGCTTAGAGTCAATAGGTTCATCATCAATCTATCAGTAACTGGTTGAATTAATTAATTAAATAAATATTAACCAAATGAAGCTATTTCATTTGGTTAATGATGCTATTTCTAGAAGTTAATCAAAGTCTTCAAACTCGTAAGTTACATTTCGTGTTCATAATTACATACATATACATTGCCAAAGCCATACATACACGCACGCACACACACACACACACACACACACACACACACACACACACACACACACACACACACATCAACATGCACAAATGAACAGAAAAATAAGCTATGTACTTATCAATAAAATATATTCTATCATATATCGATACGCTATACTGCTACAGCATATACACATCTGTATAAATCAGAGAAAATTTCAAACATATAAAATATATAAAGCTATAATATAGATATTTTTGATTCAGTATCATCCAAAAGAGAGTATAGATAGATAAGTATCATAATCAAGAAAAACCACAACAGCCGAAAAAAAAACTATCATCTATTGAGTGACATCTCAGCAATGTATCCCTTATCGACGTCATCATGTTTTTTAGGGCCGCCGTCAAAAGGGGCGTCCACCCCCTCGTATATTTTGTCCTCTGAGTGCAGTTGCTCCCTTACGGCTAGCATCTTTTTATCGTTTTCGTCCATTATTTCGGCACCAGGACCGTAGTTCTTTGGGGTGAGGTTGTTGTTTTGGGTGTCGGATGAGAGGTTTTCATAGGGCGGAGGGGAAGGGGGCTGCTGGTGGTCCACGTATTTGTAGAATGACGTCATTATCGCGAAGATTATCGTCGTCACGAACATGAGGATGGCGAAGAAGAAAAACTCAACGTACTGTCGGTGTGTGTGTGTGTTTGTGTATATGTGTGAGTTCGTTTACGTATGTGCAAGTTTGTGTGCGTGTATGTATATGTGTGTGTGTGTGTATGTGTAAGATGTTTGTGTGTGCGCATGTGTGTGTTTATAGGCGTGAATGCTTTTGCGTTTGCACGTTTGTACATTTTGTATAATCTGGCAGAAAACCTGGATGGGGATTAGATTGGATCCGGTGACGATGACGTCAATGACGTTACCGAACGCTGTCGTCAGCAACCAGGCTGCCTGCACCACACTCTTCATCGACGATGGTGCCTGCGTGTTTGGAATGAATGAATGAACGAATGAATGAATGAATGGATAAAAAACTAATTGAATGAACAAATGAATAACTGAACGAAGAAATAAATGAGCTGAAGAACGAACGGACGAAGGAGAGAACAATTTATCAATTGAACCAATAATAGAACTTCTAATGAAATAACGAACCCAATCAACATAATAACAAAACACTCAATTAAAATTCAAAAACCACTACCACACCACCACGACCACACCACCATCACATCACCATCATACCACCTACCTGACTGTAGGCAAAACTGAGTCCAGTAACAGCGAAGACAACCTCTGCGAGTGTTATTAGGATGTACTGAGGGAACTGGAGCCATATGGAGACAACGTTGTGTGGCAGATCTTCCAGTAATGTGGATGTCTGAGTGAGTGAATGAATGAGTGAGTGAGAGTGAGTGAGTGAATGAGTGATTCAATGAATGAGTGGATGGATGAATGTATAAATGAATGAATGAGTAGATTACCAAATAAAAAAATGAATGAATGAATGACTGACGCATAAACGAGTGAATAAATTTTCAAATACCGAATGCAAGATCGAAGAGTCGAGATCAATAAAAATTCTAAAAAGATAAACCAGATACGATAAATAACGAAACGATAAATAACGAAACGATAAATAACGATACGATAAATAACGAAAAGAGACGATAACAGGCAACAATACTAATGATCATCTAACCACTTTACTGAGTTGCTTGTTAATTAGTACAGTGTACTTCCCACCGTTGCTTATGAAGAATGTCTCCAACTGGTACTCATCCTTATTATCTTCCTGCAGTATTATCCTGTATCTACATGTATGTACGTGTATGTATGTGTGTGAGTGTGTATTTAGGTGCCTGCATGTATGTATGTGGGTGTGTGAGTGTGTATTTACGTGTGTGCGTGTGTGTGTGTATATAAAAACTTTATAAAAGTATAATGCATGTTTTTCGTCTTATAATTGCAAAATTTATGGCAAAAATAAATCACAACTCGTTATAGATCAATGAAAGTAGAATACGAATATGATGCAATAACAAAATAAAACGGTGAAATAACGACACAGTAACCATATAATACAATGACAATACGATACAATAACGATACGATGCAATAACGATACGATTACAATTCGATAAAAAAAAAATGAAAGTAAACTATATTTAAGTCACTAGATGAAACAACTATACGACAGAAGCGGCAAGATAAAATAACGTTACGGTAAAAAAATAACGATACGATACAGTACAATAAAGTAACGAAACGAAACGATACAAAAAGGTTCGCTAACAGTCCGGGGCTGACGGCTATGTACTGGTAATTGAAGGTCGTCATCCAACTCGTCTTCTCGGAACCTGGCCAAGTAATCGTCATAATGTTATCAAAATGACGTCATTCAATAAAGATAGATAAGAACAAAGAATAAAGTAGATAACGAGAGTGGATGGAGAGAATGAAAAGTAAAGGAGAGAAAGAAAGAGGATGGAGAGAATGAAAATAAAAGTAGGAATATTTTCAACGGAAAACTAGCAGACACTTCTACTACGGACCTTGTCTGATGAGTTTTGCGCTCAACTTCTTCTCCGTCCTCGAGCCAATCAGGATGAGTCTGTCGAAATGATGACGTCATCGTCGTGTTATTTTTACTACATCATCATCATCATCAATCATCGCTATCGGCATCGTCAACGTCATTACAATGATATCATCATTATCATTAGAAGTACTATCACCTTACATATCATTATAGCATCCTCGTCATTGCTATGCTATCATCATTGTAAATGTAATCTCAATTTATTATTATCATTATTAACACCATTACAATGACGCATCGGTATCCATATTGAAATCAACATGAAGTCATCATCATTGCTATGACATCATCATTGTAACTAAATCATCATTCCTACCTATAACATAATGATGATGATGATGATGATGATGATAATAATAATAATAATAATAATAATAATAATAATAATAATAATAATAATAATAATAATAATAATAATAATAATAATGAGAACTCTTATATTTCATCACCTTATATAGCATTCTCCAGTTGGCTCGCGTTCATAATCAAATGAGAACTGTTGGAGAAAGGAAAGGTTGTCAGTATTCAGCAATGAATGAATGAATGAATGAATGAATAAATGTATAAGAGAACAGATGGACAGATGGATGGATGAGTGAATAAATAAATAAATAGAGAAAGGAATGAATGAACGAAAGAACGAATGATTGAATGAATGAGATTTTAGCTAAGCCATATTTCACTCAAATGCTTAATTCATGTGAAATAGATTTCATTTAAAAACATTGCATCATCTCATCTCGAGTACCTCCTCCTCATCATCATTAAGCCAACAGATCACACTCACTTTATCACCACACGACGCAGATTTGTGACATTAATTATTTATTATTTATTCACTCATTCATCCATCTGTACTCTCATTCATTCATTCATTCTTTCAACATGTCGACACCATCACTTACGTAACTGACAGCGACTTCATTCATTCTTTCAACATGTCGACACCATCACTTACGTAACTGACAGCGACTTCATCCACGCCTGTAGCATTGACGTTGGCAGTGACACTGTAGACGACGTAATAAGATAACTCGTGCCTCAGACTTAACGTCAGTGAAGTTTGACTGAAATCGACACTCGGGCAGGATGTCTCGGTTGGTCTGCTGGCCAGGAACTGGTATTTGCTGGCTGGGATGGAGAGCTGGGAGCTCATCTGCAGAGGCGCGCGAGTAATTTCATCGATAAAAATTTTTGATTACTTGATGAAGAGATAGAGATAACGTAATTATTGTTGTCCTCACACTTGTCTTCATCATAGCCATCAACACCATTACCCTAACTTACACTATCCTGGTCCAGGTCAAGTTGGGGCAGTGACCCCGTGACCTTGATGGGGCAAGGAACCTGATTGATGAAAGAGATGCGAGAGTTGTTCGCCTCGATGTTCATCTGCGTGTTCTGTCGGAAGGTGAACATGTGAGTGAACATGTGAGTGAACATGTGAGTGAACATTTGAGTGAACATGTGACTGAGCATGTGAGTGAACAGGAAGGTGAACATGTCGATGAACACATGAATGAACACATGAATGAACATATAAATGGAACTGCTAGCGAACATGTTGCAAGAGACACACACGTTGGTTCAACCTTACGTTAAATGTAGACACATGGAATCAATTTTTCGATTCATCCAGAAAAGATTTAAGATAAAGGTCAAGTGAAAATATATGGTAAGTAAAAAAAAATAGAACAACCACCAAAATAAACAACAACCACAGCAGCAGCTGTAGCAGCAGCAGCAGCAGCAGCAACGACGTCAACGTCCACCAATACAAAAACAACAAAAACAACGAACGTCGATGGTAATCTGCAGGAGACCAGCCGCAACGAAAGCCAGGGAAGCAAACAACATTCCGACCACCAACCTTTGCAATGGTCTGTGTATGTTATAAACGTTCATGTGAATATTTACAATATTCTATAAATTCTACCGAATGTAATCATTCGGTAGAATTTATAGAATATTGTAAAAATTATGGTCTACAATCGGTAGAATTTATAGAATATTGTAAAAATTATGGTTTATACATTCGGTAGAATTTATAGAATATTGTAAAAATTATGGTCTACATTCGGTAGAATTTATAGAATATTGTAAAAATTATGGTCTATACATTCGGTAGAATTTATAGAATATTGTAAAAATTATGGTCTATTATGGTCACTACGACATATGACACGATGGCTTGATGGTTAACGTGCCTGGCGCTTATAGTGCAGTGACTGGATTCAATTGCAAAAAGACCCCCCGCCGATCACGTACAAATGTGTGTGATGCATTAAATCACGTGTATTTACGTGCACTGTGTGTGTTTTCTTTTGATGCTTCTGAGAATAATGAATTGCAGATAATAGGTTTATATATTTTTTTTTATACATCATTCATTTATCCAATTTATTCATCCATTAAATCAATCTATCATTCATTCATTCATGTATACTTTCATCTACCATCAATTTATTCATCCATTCATTCATTCATATTCATTCATTCATTCACTCATTCATTCATTCATCTATCAATTCATCGCTAACTTATTAGGAACTTTCAGTTTATCCATGCACGGATAGAATCCCAATTCAAAGAGTGGGATAAAAAACAAGATCAGTACGCAGTTTATGGCCTTAATTATTTCATTTGGATTGGAATGAATGAATGAAAAAATTAATGAACGAGTAAATGAATGAATGAGTGAATGAAGGAATGAATGAGTAAAGGAATGAATGAGTGAATGAAGGAATGAATAAATGAATGAATGAGTAAATGAATGAATGAAAAGAAAGAGTGAATGAATAAAAACTAACTGGGAATGAATTCATGAACGAATAAATAAATAAATAAACAACAACAACTTTACCACTACAAAAAAAAATTAACATAATTATTAAAAATATAATCATAATAATACAGGCATGCATACCTGTATCTGCTCAGGTAGTAAGAACCAGTTGTCAGTCTGTCGAGGGTGCATTTAGAAGACAATTTTTGGAATGAATTAATCGGTGCATTAATTTGATAATTGTTCGATTAGTTAGACAATTAGTAGATTAATTAATTGGTTGACTTATGATTGAATGAATAAACGAGCGAATGAAAATATGAAGAATGGATTAATTAATTAATCCTTAATAGGTTTACTGTTTGACTGACGGAATGGACGAGTAAATGATTGAATGAATGAGTGAATAAATGAATTAATGAATGAATGAATTAATTAATTGATAATTGATTGATTGGTTGATGGGTTGACTAATCGATAGACTGACTAAATAACCAATTAATCATGAATTAATTAATAAAAAAATGAATGAATGAATAAATGAATGAATGGAGTAAATGAATGAATAAATAATTGATTGATTGACTAAGCAACCGAAAACTGACCATTCTCCTGTCCAGTTGTACTGATTGAAGAGTCCATCTTGAGCCCTGAACATCAACAACATCAAAATACAAAACATGGAAAAAACATCAACAACCAAGGTGACTACAACGATAACCACAACAACTACGTAGCAGTCGAAACAACTACCACAACACAACAACCACACGACAAGTACCACAACAACAACAACAACAACAACCACATAGCAATCTCAGCAACCACAATACGGCAACTACTACCGCAACAACGACCACATAGCAATCCCAACAACTACACGAAAACTGCCACTACACAACCACCACACAACAACAGCCACAGCCCAACAACTACAGGACAACTACCGCGACCCCGACAACAGCAACTACCATCTGATCAAACAGAGCCCAGAAGACAGGAACGGGAATGAAGAGTAAAAAAATTTTCAGGATCTGCTTGACGTCAGCCAAGAAGGAGTTGTGGTACTCTGGGCCCGCGTAGTCTAACCAGTGCTCCTTCGATGTCTTCTGTCCTGACATCTTAAACTTTATTCGGTTCTTAATGGCGCTCTGGTTAGAGTTTGATTGGATTAGCGAGACTATTATCGTCACTACTGTCAGTAAATATTTCGGTCGTCATCATAGTTTCTACCATGATGATTATCATTCGCCATCATTATCGTCGTCATCGTCACTATCACCATCGTCATCATCATCATCATCGTCATCATCATCACCATCTCACTCACTCCAATGCACTTGACGACATTGGTGATGACGCTGCCAGCTGGCGGCCTGATGGTGTACCACTTCTTACCCCAGACGAACAATCCTAATAATGATGATAACTATAATGATGACGATGATGATGGTGATGTGATAAAAAAAAATATGAAGAAAATGAATGATAATATCGGGAGATAGTAATAAATATCCGTATTTAGTCATCGCTATTTTTCGTTTGTATCTTCGTCATCATCATCATCATCGTCACCATCACCATCACTATCATCATCATTATCGTCGTCGTCACCATCATCATCGTCGTCATCACCATCACCATCACTATCATCATCATCATTTACTAACCAACGGCTATGACCATGAGTAGAGCGGGTATGCCAAACGCCAGCGAGTAGCACTTCTTATTGAAGCAAGTCACTCCGTCTGATTGTACGATCGATGATGTTCACCGTCATCATCATCCTCATCATTGCAATCACACACATTTTGGAATAATAACATTTCATTCTCGTCATAATCATCCTCCTCATCATCATCCTCCTCCTCCTCCTCATCCTCCTCCTCATCATCATCCTCCTCCTCCTCCTCATCCTCCTCCTCCTCCTCATCATCATCCTCCTCCTCCTCATCATCATCATCCTCCTCATCATCATCCTCCTTCTCATCATCATCCTCATCATCATCATCCTCCTCCTCATCATCATCCTCCTCATTATCATCATCCTCCTCCTCATCATCCTCCTCCTCCTCATCATCATCATCCTCCTCATCATATCATCCTCCTCATCATCCTCCTCCTCCTCATCATCCTCCTCCTCCTCATCATCATCATCCTCCTCATCATCATCCTCCTCCTCATCATCCTCCTCCTCCTCATCATCCTCCTCCTCATCATCATCGTCGTCGTCATTGTCCTCTTCATCGTCTCTTCATCATCACAACCATCATCACATGCATCACCATCATCACTGTCAGCGTACTTACCTTTAATCAGTGGCGTGAGTACCATAGATAAGAAACTGCCGAGGTTGATGGCAAAGTAGAATGCCGAAAAGAACATGCTTCTTTCTTTCGTCTATGGCAGAGTTTAGAAATTATATTATCGTCAATTATGCAACTTGATCGGTGCTGCGTGGATTTATGGATATCCACCATTACCATCGTCATCGTCGTTAAAAATCACCATCATCTTTCTCATCATCAGTATCACCTAGCACCATCACCATAAAACCACCATCGTTATCATCATCGTCTTCATTATAACCTGGCTCTCTTTGAATTGGTCCCCACCAAACGCGGACACACAGGGCTTAATCCCTCCCGTGCCAAACGCTATCAACGTTAGCCCTAAACTCGGCCCTAACCTTACGGCAGTGATGACGATGATGGTGAGCATGATGATGAAGAAGATGATGACGAAGAAAAAGAGGATGATGATGAAAATGATGATGACGAAGAAGATGAGGATGATGATGGAGATGGCGATGATGAAGAAGAAAAAGATGATTGTGAAGAAGAGGATGATGACGTCAATGACGATGATGACGTCAATGACGATTGATGAGTCAAACCGAGGATGATACGTCAAACGAACGACATTGATGACGAGGTTGATGAAATGGACGATGATGACGACGATGATGTCAATCAAACCATGGTCCTAACCAGAAAGGTGGAGGAAATGCCGTAAAAGCCATTAAAGTACTGCCAAGAGTGTACACAGCAGACAAGTACAATATTGTACTGGATTGGTTGTGAATGGATGAACGAACAAATGAATGAATAAATAAATCAATCCATCAATCAATCAATGATTGTTAAGCTTTACCCATATCATATCCTTAGTATATTCTGTTTACTGCAGATATGCACAAGTACACACACACACGCGCACAGCACACGTACATAGATACACATAAACACATACTTATTAGCTAACTATACCAATCAATAGTAACAATGACAACATTTATAATTTCAAAATTTACAGTCTGTAAAAGTTCCTACTTAAACTTTCCGATGTATCCATCGGCCAGTACAGCCCCTATGATGGGGGTGAGGTAGCAGCCAACGATGAATGCGTGGTACACACCTGTAGCTTTGTCACTCGACCACAACAAGTGATCCATGAAATACAGGACCAGGATTGCTGTTTGTTTGTTCGTTGGTTTGGGATGTGGTTGGCTTGGGATGTTGTTCATTCGGGATTTTATTGGTTTGGGATGTATTTGACTAAGGATGGATGTTGTTGGTTGGTGGTTGGTAGGTAGATGTTATTATTATCATTGCTGTGTCACTAAATCATAGTGACACAGCAATGATTGTCGACAAGACAAGATTGTTGTTTTTGGTTTCGGTTGTGTTGTCGTTTGCGGCGTTGTTGATTAGAATGTTGCTGTGTTTGTTTTGTAGTGTTAGGATATTATGAATGGGCTTTTTGGTAGTTTTTTAAAACTTGGGGCTATTATTGCTATTATAAAAAACTCTGACCTCGCATGCCAAAGTATGAAAACCTTTCACACAGCTCATTGCCAATGATGAAGAGGACCGATTTAGGATATGGAGATTTCTAGATTAAATTATAATTAAACAATTAATGAAATATACAAATATTTAAATGATATATATTATGTAGATTATTAATATATATAAATATACATATATAATATATTATACAACATAAACATAAAGTATTTGTTGTATATTAGTTATTAATGTTTTTTAAATATTCAATGGACACCTGAATTAAGTCTTCATTTTCTTTTCTATCTTCAGTCTCTGATTGATCAAAAAAATTTATTTATTGATTATTGATTTAATTAAATTAACACCTAATTTTAATTTGATAAAAAAAATTTAATGAGGTTTTTTTTTATCTAATTGCATAATACATGTAGGTTAGGTGATTAGGTAGCAGATCATATGAAGCATAGTAGACAGAAAAAAAATAAAAACAATAAAGAAGTGTTTACAAAATTTTAACCTAATAAAATATAGAAGATTAAATGACATTTTGATTTTATTTAAAAGCTAATTCATTTCAATAGAAAAAAAATTATAATATTGTAACAATACTGAATAAATACATATATAAAATACAATATACAATACAATACAAATTGAATACAATACATACCTGAATTAATTTTGTTTTTTAAATTAGTTTCCATTTGATTACTCATCATGACCATGGAAAATGTTTACAAGTAGAGTCTCTTTTGATTTATTTTAATTATATTAACTATTATAATAAATAATGAACTAACAAATTACTTAAAATTTTTTATTTAAGTTGAAAACAGACAAAAATAATTTTGTAAGGAAGGTGAAATGAAAAAAGCACCAGCTGTTATGAATAAAAAGATGTTTTAAGATGATCAGAGTAAAAAAAAGAAGCATCTGGCCGATCTAAAATATGTGATTCTTCCTGATTTTAGTGTTTCGTGGCATTTCTAGGAGATAAAATAAATTAAAATTATTTTTTTCGGCGATTCGCCGGAAAGTTACATTTTAAAATAAATATAAATAAAAATTTCCAAAAGCGAATGTAAATAGCAAAGACTGTTGAACTTTTTTTTTTACATAGTAATATAAAATACATAATTTTATAAAAAATTTTAATTAAACTTTTTAATTAAAATAAAAATAGTAATATTTTACAATAAATTACATTTAATAATTACATTAAATTTGTAAATATTTTAAAACTTAGATATACTTTTAGTTAATATTGTTTATTTATGCTATTAGGCGATAAATGATGACAGAGTTCATGTGTTTTTTTTTCACTTTTCCTGATAATCTAAAATTCTAAATCTATAATATTTATTACTTTTTGTTTAATATTTATTGTAAAATTCATTATAAATTCATAAATATATAAAATCTAATCTTATCTAGATTTTTTATAGATTTTAATCTTTATATGCTAACGATTCATTAAGAATAGTATTAACATTAACTTAATCTTAATCATTAAGTCTTAATGTCATTAAGAATTAAGATTATTAAAAGTTTTAATTTAAAACTGTCTAAAAGGCATTATATAGGTTTGTGACAAAGAAAATTGAGAAAAGCCAGAAGACTGGACTGGACCCCAGGACTCCGCCTAATCATTCCTAGCGATCATGTCACAAATTATTGTGAAAAATCTTCCACTGAATGTTATTTCAAATTATTTTTTTTTATTTATTTATTACATCTCAAATTTCAACTGCGAATTTGATTGCACCTACTTTTTCTACTTTGTTCTATTTTGTTTTTTTGCATATAGTGTATTGTTAGTTTAGAGTTTAAGTAAGAAAGAATTAACAAATGTAATACAATAATTAAGTTCCTTACTTATTGTTAGTGTCACATTATTTCAATCCAATCCGTGTACTAGTTGGTCATGATGTTAATCCATTTCATCATGTTTGTACAGATAACAGCAGAGGATTTAAAGAAGAAATTCAGTGAAAAAGGAACAGTAACCCAAGTTTCACTAAAGTATACTTCAAATGACATTTTCAGGCAATTTGCCTTTGTCGGGTTTAAAGAGAAGTCTGAAGCTGAAAGTGCTGCAAAATATTTTAACAAAACTTACATCAATTATTCAAAAATCGAAGTATTTATAAGAAACATAGTTATTATTATTATTATTTATTGTTTCTTCATGATATCACTCAGTGATAACCTGATGTATATATATATATAGATATATATATATATGTTTATATGTATGTATATATATATATATGTATATATAATCATTTTAAATTTGGGGCACTTTATAATTTTGTATACTGATTTTTAAGGTTTCAATAGCCAGTGACTTGAATGCTCACACACAACGAAACGCAGTCACATGGTCGAAGAAGCAAGAAACTTCCAAGAAAAAAGACCACCAAGCACAAGTTTGTTACTTTTTAACAGTTTGTTTTACAAAGTTTTTGATGAATTTTTCAATAATTTACTGAATTTTTTAATTAATTCTATATATTTTTTATTAGCTAAGTTTAGCAATTTGGATTTTAAAATGATTTTTCATCAGTTAAAGTTAAATATATAGTATGCCTCTGTGTGTTTGTTGCAATATGTATGTTGGTGTGTGTGTGGGTTGCTGTGTGTATGTGTGTGTTGGTATTTTTTAATTTTCTATTTGTAGAATCCTGCACCAAATATTGTGACTCAGTGGGCGATAAAAGTTACTGGACTGCCACCTAGAGTCAAAAAAGTACATTTTATTTAATGTTTACTAAAATAAATATTCTTGAGTTAAAATCATTTGGAGGAATTAATTTGAAGTCGTTTTAAAATATTTTCATTTAAATTATATCGTATAATTATATTATAATGAGAAGATATTATTAAATAATTATAAGTAATATTTTAGAAACTATTCCTATTTGTGTAATAATAATAATAATAATAATAATAATAGTTTTATTGAAAAAATGATTTTTGAATATTTTTATGGTTTTTTTCTCAAAATTTTTCAACAGAATGAAATTGAAGAATTTTTTAAACCTGTGAAGTGTAGGTTTTCATTGCCCGAGTCCAAAGCAGTCAGTTAGTATTAGATTGATTGATTAATTAATAAAATAATTTAGTAGTTAATTATGTAATTAATTAATTAATTAATTATGTAATTAGTTAATTAAGTAGTAGGAAGAGCATTAACTATTACTTAATATTGTTGTTTTTCAAAATATGACCATTAGAAGTGCAGCTATTTAATTATTTATTGAAATATTTATTTTAATTTTTAAATCCACAATAGCTAAATTGGTTGTATACTTTGAAAGTGAAAAGGAAAAAGAGGTGGCATTTAGGAGGAATAAGAATCACATCGGTGGGTTTTTTAATTATTCTTTTTTTTGATTATTGTTTTTACTCTTTTAATTATATTTCATTATTTTTTTAATTATCCTTTTTTTAATTATTCTTCATTTTTTAATCAGATCATCAATTTAATTCTTCTCATTTCGTTTGGTCAGCTGTTATAAAATTATACGTGCGATGAACAGTGCGAAATTAGTTTGTTAAGATTTAAACAGCCATTAAACTGATCAATGAACAGCTTAAAATAAGTTCAATGTCAGCCAAACTAACCTCCATATTATTTACTGAACCTAAAGGTGCCAAAAGGATCTTTCTTCATCACCATGTCGTAAACAGCGATGCATTACAGCAACATCAATCCATTCCTAGTAACAAATTTATGAAGAGTGATAAGATAGATGAGGTAACATATTTTCATTTCTATTTATTAGTGATAATAAATACACTAAGAATTAATTTAATTATAATAATCAATCAATCTTCGTTTAGCGTCCAAAGACCCAGTTTTTCGAGGTAGGACATTGTTTTCTTTGCCATCAACTTTTTGCGCTCCAAATTAGACAATCAGTTGAATTTAATTATAATAATAATTATTATTAGTAGTATTAATATTTTTTTTTGTGACCAGAATAAAGAAGTTCAAAAAGCTCTAATATCAGAGGTCATTATTTTTATTATTATTATTATTAGTAGTAGTAGAAGTATTAATGGCTGTGGTGGTAGTGGTAGTTGTTGTTAATTATAGTTGATAATATTATTATAATTAATAATTATTATAATCTAATTATATTATTGCAGTTTATATTATTTAAAAAAATTATCCCAGACTGGACGCTTGTTTATACGAAATTTGGCCTACGTAACCACAGAAGAAGATATCTCGCAACTATTTTCTACATATGGTGTCAACAATTTTTCTTTATTCATTTATTATTCGTTCATAATTCATTCCATTATAATTTGCAATAATTTATTAATTGTTTATAAATAATATATATCCAATTAAAAACCGAGATCACGTATTCGTGTTATACCCTGTTTGTGTGTGTTATTTGGCTGAGTGAATTGTAAACCTTTAACTGATTTGTAGACGTTTGGTCAATGAGGATTTGGTCAGTGCAATGAATTTTGACCTACGCAATCACTATAGATTAATTATCATGTACATAGTGAGGCTGAAGTGTTTTTTAATTATTAAAATAATATATAGGATAGAGTTTTATAAACTAAACTGTTATAATAATTATAATTATAGGTCATTGTGATGTGCAGTTACAGATGGACAAATTCACAAATACGTCCAAGGGTTTTGCGTTGGTCAATTTCGTTCTGCCGGAAAATGCCCTAGAGGCCTATGAATATCTGGATGGCACCAGCTTCCAGGTGGGGTTTTCAGTGTAAACTTTATAAAACGTTTGTCATCATGTTACTTTTTTAAAAGAATTGTTTTGTTAGTTTTTTACATACTTGGGATAATTCACAATTCGTTTATTTATCAAACTAGTAATGATGATGTTAATGATGAATGAATTTCTTTATTCTTTTAAAATAATTCCAGTCTATCCCACATTGAGATGTTATGTTATGCTATTTTATTTATGCTATAGTTAGTTACATGCTTCATTTGATTCCACGTATGCATGTATAATGGATACATTTGCATATATACATAGTTACATGCTAACGTTTTTTCTTATTTTAAAGAGGCAGAACTACTTGCATGTCATTTTTTACTCGTTATCTATCTTTCCTGTCAGCCACAAAGGCCACACCATCCACACCACGTGACATACGTGCACAATACACGTGCGTACATGCAGATACTGCGTTATACTTGCATGGCGTATGATAGAGTCTTTGAGTTTTGGACAGACGGTATTCGAACCAGACGATAGGCGTAATAACAGCACGACACACGGTGCTTCAACCAATTGAGCTACATAAATCATACATAGTATGCACACACACACACACACACACGCACACACACACACACATACATACACGCATTCATACATACATAATTCAGGGTCGTCTGCTTCATATTGTTGGGGGCCAGGCCAAGAAAGAAGATAACCTCTCGAACATCAGTTGGTCTTTCATTCGTTTTTCACTCATTCTTTTGTTTTTTTTCATTAATTCATTTGTTTGACCTTTTCTCATTGAACATTCTAAATTTAACATATATATATATCTTGAAATTTTGACTTAAAATGCACCTTCGGCGTTTAACTAATACATGATTAGGCACCTCCTTTAAGTATATGGCCCAGGAATTCTCTGCAACTGTGTCTTTGCGTGTGCGTGTGTGTGCGGGTGTTAATCACATGATTATATTTTTTGTCTCACTATCAAATTTGGAAAATGAATTAAATGTATGAATGAGTGAATTGAGGAATGATTGAATGAATGAATGAATGATTGAATTAATGAATGAATGACCGACTAGATGGATGAATGAATTTATATTCAAATAACAGATGACCTGCCTTTCCATAAGAAGAAGGAAGCTTTGAAAAAATTATCCGCAAACAAGTTTGTATTGTAAAGTTTTACATTCACTCATTCATTTTTTTTCGGTCAGATAGATAGATAGATAGATAGATAGATAGATAGATAGATAGATAGATAGATAGATAGATAGATAGAACCCATTCATTCATTTTTTGTTTATTCTTTCATTCTTCTGTTCTTTCATGCATTCACTCTTCATTCATCCATATTTTTATTTTTCTTCATTTGGTGAAGTGTGAGGAGCTGGAACTCACTGTTCGTAAGAGCAGATGCAGTAGCAGAGAGCCTGGCAGCGAGGAAAAACATGTCAAAACGTGACGTCTTGTTAAACGTTGGTTTCATTGTTTGCGTTCCTCTTTGTCTGCTTCTGTGTGTGTGTGTGTGTGTGTGTGTGTGTGTGTGTGTGTGTGTGTGTGTGTGTGTGTGTGTATAATTGTGTGTGTTGGTTTGTTTATTTGTTTTATTGTTCTTTCGTTTGTTCGCTCGCTTTAGTTTGTTTGTGTTTCTCTTGTCTGTTCAATATTTTTCACACCAATTTGAACATTAATTCATTCATTTGTTAATTTATTTATTAAATCATTTTTTTTATCAATTCAAATGTTCGTTCGTTTGTTTGTTAATTTCGCATAATTATCTATGACCTTGACATTTAAAAATGACCCCAGGACGGAAAGGTGAGCGTAGCTGCCGAACTGGCCACAGAGCAGACGAGAATTGTGAATGAGACCAGGACATTCCTGATTAAAAATGGCGTCTCTCTTGATTCCCTCAGTCAGGTGTGGCTTACTTAGTGTTTTTTTTTTGTTGGTTGGATCACGTTACCATGGATGAAAATAGTGGTGATGATGATGATGAGGAGGATGAAGATGGAGTGAGAAACTGCATCTGTCAGAATATGACTTTTTTTTACGAAACAATACTAAAATGAAATTACATTTCGACACTCCACAGACCTCTGGTCCCCGCAGCAAATCAGTTCTACTCGTGAAAAGTCTGCCAGCCAAGACAAACAAACAAGATTTGGTGAAAGTATTTGAGAAGTTTGACAGTTTCATCAGCCGAATTTTGCTACCGCCAAACGGATTAACGGCCATTGTCGAATTTAATAATAACGACGAGGCTCAAAAGGCTTTCAAAGCACTAGCTTACAGAAGAGTAAGTTCAGCTAATGAGTGTGGCCTGTCGTTACAGTGGTCAGTGGTCACGATGTGTGATTTGGTGATGATATGATAGTATGGTGATAATGTGATAGCAATGATATAATAATATATGAGTGATTAGACAGATTAATTGGGTCAGTGAGTGAATTATTAAATGGTTGGTTGGTTGGGTAATTGGTTGGTTGGTTGGTTGTTTGTTTGTTTGGTTGGTTGGTTGGGTAATTGGTTGGTTGGGTAATTGGTTGGTTGGTTGGGTAATTGGTTGGTTGGGTAATTGGTTGGTTGGTTGGTTTAATTAATTAATCAATCAACTAATGACTTAGTTAATTGATTGATTAAATAACTAAATTAAATTTGATTTAAACTTTTTTCGCCCATTTAGTTCAAAGATTCACCTCTGTTCTTGGAATTTGCCCCTGTCGATGTTTTCCACCAGAAGGATGACGAGAAAAATACTTCCAGCAGTACGAAAAGTGGTGACAAAGTAGATGATGATGACGGCGACGACAACGATGATGAAGATAAGGGTGAGGACGACGACGATGATGATCATGAGATTGATGATGATGACGACGACAACGGAAGCGTCGATCTCAACGAACCCAGAAGATTTGTATTTGTAAAGGGTCTGCCGGATGATGTCAATGAAAAAGAGCTTAAAAAGGTTGGGATGTTTTGATATTTTAGTTTTATTTCACTGAGTTTGTGGCAAGTTTTAAAATCATATTATTGCGATTTTAAAAATAATACTATTCAAAGTTTTTTTTTGTATAAAATATAATTTGGTTAATTTAATCTAAAGAAAAAATGTTTTAGCCTTAAATCACTCAAACTAACCCGACGTTTTTAATGAAAGATTTTTGGGAAACACGGAAGAACATTGAGTTTTGAGATCAAGAAAAGAGGAGAAAGTAGTTAGTTGAATCGTTTCAAGAACATTCTATAATCTATTTGAACACAATAAATTATTTCAACACGATAAATCATTTTAACTCATTTTTTAAATAAAACAACTGATTTTGTTGTTAAAATGTTTTGTATAGTAAATTTATTACCATTCACAGCTACTGCTTTCGTTGAATACGCGTCAAACAGAGAGGCAGAGAAGTGCTTGAAGTCACTGAGCAACTTGGTGATCAGGGGAAGTCAAATAAGCCTTAAAATATCCGACAGACGTCTCAAGTATCCGACCGCGTATGTTATTGTTTGTTACCTCTCCACTCCATCACAAATCTCATTTTTCTTCAAATATCTTTATTAAGTCATTCAAAATTAATCTTCCTTTCAGCATTGTTAAGTTGAACAGCTCAAAAAGTGCAAAACGTGGAAAGACGGCTACAAAGATTCTCATCAAAAATGTTCCTTTCCAGGCTTCTCATACTGACTTGAATCAACTCTTCAAGTAAGAATTCATTTGTCAGACATTTTTCGTTGATAGTTTCGTTTTAATTATAATTAAAAATAATTAACATTTAATTGTTTGTATATTTTTCAGGCCCTACCCTGGCGTTAAGGAGATTAGGCTGCCGAAGAAAGTCGGCTCAGGGCATAGGGGGTTTGCATTCGTCGAATTCGTCTCAAAAGCTGACGCCAATGTAAGAGAAAAAATTTGACATTTTTCAATTCAAGCTTGTTTCACATTTACTCGTTTTGCGTAATCACTAAAAAAAATATTTACTTAAATATTTATTTAAATTGTCCGTGATGAAATTTATGCTCGTTACTTTTTGCCGTGCGTAGAGAGCTTATAAAGAGTTGTGTCAGAACACTGCCCTCTACGGACGTCGGTTGAATTTTGAATGGTCCGCCGACACAGAATGTGTTGACAGGCTGAGGAAGCGAACCGGAGAAAAATACAACCCAGGTTAGGAACGACTTTGAGTAGTGCCTATATACTTTAATCTAACTTGATAATATGCAATGTTATATTAGTGTTATACAAAGGTACATTCTTATAATTCATGTTTAGGTTGTCCAAGCAAGATTCGACGCAAATCAGATCTGCTCAGCTATCTGGACGATAAAGAAGGTGTAACAGATTTATAAGAGAACATATATCCTCTTATGATTTAACGTTTCAAGGAATAATGTTTTAACATTCTTTTTTATATTTTTCTTTTCTTTGTGAATATTAAATGAGCCTAAATGCTCAGAGACAATTATTAATCCTAAAAATCTTTTAGAATAAATTTAATGTAGCGATTTTAAAATTTTCTATTTTTTTTTACATTATTTATATTTTACTTTGGGAACATAACATGAGTATTAGATGAGCGTAAATGCACATAAAACAATTACAACTATTAATCTAAAAAATCCTATAAAATAAATTTAATATAGCGAACGTGAAATCTTTAGACGTTTATGTTCGCGTTGATACACTATCATGTACTTGAACGTCCGTTCCTCTTTCGTTATTTCAGTGATCGAACTTTACATAAACTTGATGCCAAATTAACGACATACAATTACTCAGAGAGGTTTAGAAATAATACAACGTCCGTCAAATATATTGATTATGTAACAAGGCCATTTCGTATTTGTCTGGCGGTTTAGAGTCGATTGCGTAACTGTTATTTGTTCCGTTTAAGGCAGTTAATAGATAAATACTGAACTGCGATGAATGGTCATGTATCATGTAAGCCGTCTAGCAACGTTATTCTGACGGTTGGTTGGTTGCTTGCTTGTTTAATAAATGTTTGGATGGATGGGTGGTTGGTTGAACAGTCGAATTTATTGGTTGTGTGTTTGATTGATTTGATCACATCCATACTCACAAGCATGCATACATACATATATACATGCATGTGTTAATGTGTGTGCATATGTGTGTAATACAAAATATATGTGTGTAATACAAAATGTATGTGTAAAGTGTATCTATATTTGATACTTAACACAAGTGTTATTAGAACCATATGTACACATACACATGTACGATACACATATACGTATATACAAATTAACATACAAATATTTATGTATTGTGCGTGCATACACATAGGATGTATAAACATATCTTCATAAATATTAACTAAATAAATAGCTTCTTGTTGTTTTAGCCGATGTTATTTCAATTATTAAATTATAAATTTTTAAAATTGAAAGTTGTCTTCTCGGCAGATTATCTGCTGTCTGATTATAATTATATTGTAAATAGATTGCCTTCCAGTGTTGCTATCTTCTAATTTTAAACATGGGATTAAGACGGCCTACTTAGGTTGTCTTTTTGCGGGTGCGATGCCGATGCGGTACCGATGCGGATAATGAGCAGTGTGGATGCGGGCGGTTGCGGACGTGAACTCTGCGGATGCGAGTGATTGTGGTTTAGAAAAATATTCTTTGCTTGAGGCTCTAGTAATTAAGATATGAGTATCAAACAGAGGAGATATGTAGAGAGTATCAAACACTTGAGACATCCATCTTTTCGTAAAAGTGCATGGAGATTAAAATAACTTTTGCTACCACCAGTCCTTTTTTGTTCAAACATGGCGGTCCTGTGTTGTCTTAAATTGTTTTGAAGTAGTTGAAAACTCTTCGAAATACATTCAAACGTTACTTTTTGTATGAAAAATGTAAAAAAATACATTTTTAGCTACCGCTAAGGAAATAGTTGCATTTTTGTAAGAAAAATTTGGTGTCCAAATATTTTATTTAGTAACGCTATGGCCGTCGCTTGTACGGTTGTTACGGGCTAGTTTGGACCAGACAAAGAAGAGCTATTAATAATTTTAAGCTACTGTTTATACGTTTGTTTATTATAGATACGGAAATTTGTTTGTTTATTTTTTTTGTAATATCACTCACGCATGAGTCACAACAATCCGGCAGAGAAATTGTCATATTCTTTTCAGGACTATGGTAGGTGGTAACGTTATTTATTCATTTATTTATTTTTTGTAATTTCTTCAATTTTAGTAATGTAAGAAGACAAATTGAAAATAAAATAATTTATTTAATAAATTGTTTTTTTGGCTAGTGAGAAATGTAATTCCGAGAGATGGGGTGAGGTCCGGCGGAGAGAATCTACAGCATGATGCTCCCTATCATCATGCGCATCTTCCACAACATCCCCCACACCATGGTCAACATTCTCATCAACATCATCATCACCCACAGCAACAGATTCCTGATATGACCAGAAACTTCAAACTCCTGAATGACCCAGCAATTACGCATAGCTTTACCAAAGTCTACCGATACGATGGCATGATGCCAGGGGTAAAATATTAATTTTCCATTTGCTGCACTAACTCTAGCGATGTCATTAATATTTTATTTTTTTTATTGTGTACTAATTACATTATTAACTCTTTTTTTCAAATATAGTTAATGAATATAATATATACATGTATATATATATATATATATATGCGTAAATATAGTTATACACATATGTATGTATATATATATATATATATATAGTTATAGGTACATGTATATAATTGTATATGTATTATAAAGTTGTGTATGTATGTGTATCTAGATTTATATTTTTTTATCAATATATTAAAAATATAGATATTAAAAAAAAATTAGGACAAAGAACCTATAGAAGTATCTGATCCCCGATCCAGGCTTACCAGATATTCCATTAAGAGAAACCCGATCGACCTCATCTACCCTGATTTCAAGGTTTTACTAATAGCCTTACTTATTCATAATTATTTTAATAATTATTTTCAGTTTAATAGATAAATAAATAAATAAATAGTTAATTTTTATTTTAAGATCATTGTTTTTATTGAAATGCTGTTAAATATTTAAACATTAAATATAAAAATTACTAATTATTATCATGGTGGTTCTATTTTATGATTAATGTCCAATGCCACATATTACATAGCCATATCTATATATACACGTATGTAATTATTCAAGATTTGTTTATTATATATATATATATATATATATATATATATATATACACATTAGGGATGCACCAGATTTAAGTTTTTTTAATAACACTACTTGGCTGGATTTAAAATTCAAAAACCGGCCGGGGCCGGATTTTAGATACCATTTTACATACGTTAGAAAAAATACTCACATTTACGGTTATCTACATGTTGAACATTAAAAATTAACACCAAGCAAATAGTTAATTAATTCAAATATATAAATAAGTTGTGTGATATGCCAAATTCTGTACACAAGGATCAGCTTTTAATTTATGTGTAACCCCTTTTATAGCTTAAAGAAAATTGTCCAGCTCACAATTAGTGATGTTTTTATTATGTGCACGTGCACAGCTTATAATTTATGCAAAACCCATGTTATAGCACAAAGAAAATTGTCCAGCAATTAGTGATGTGTAATTATGTGTCATGTATCCCTAGCCTAACATTTAACATACCATGTTCTTAAATTATGCGCTTATGTATGTATATATATATATATATATATATATATATATATATATATATATATATATATGTTATGTAGCTATATGATCCTTTGTATACAATTATATAATATATACACGTGCCCAAGTTCTTTTACACAAAGATCAGCTCATAATTTATGCATAACCCATGTTATAGCATAAAGAAAATTGTCCAGCTCACCTCACAATTAGTGATGTTGTTATGTGTCATATATGCTTAGCCTTTAACTTATTGACATAAAATTAATTGAATTCAATAAAAAATTTTTTCTGTTTGTAACATTTTTAAATGTTGATAGACGCTTAAATCCGGCCGGATTTGAAAAAAAGCCGGATTTTGGTCGGAGCCGGGGCCGAACTTCGGTGCATCCCTAATACACATATATTCATTTATTGTTTAAAACCAAAAGTTTTGAGGTCATTTAATTATTTTAATTATCAATAAAGAAAATCTTTATTTATTTGATTCCATATTCTCTCCTTCCTCTAAACCTTGTCAGGTGGACGCCAATTACAATTTGCCCATTAGGCCGAAGGAGGTGACATTTTCAAATATAAACAACAACGTGAACAAGACCTTCCTACTGGAGATGTGCCAGAACTTCGGCGTCGTCCAGGACTGCAATATCTATTACCATCCTATCAATAAGAAGCACCTTGGCCTAGCTACTGTGCGTTTGTCTTGTATATATATATGTATATATTTTGAATTTACCCAATACTTTATTCAGTTTTTTGCTTTGCCTCTCCGGTTATTATTTATTAATAAATTTATGTGATTTTTTTTCCATTTTTATTTGTTTTATTTGTTTTGTTTTTTAGTTTACTGCGTGTGATTTAGGTTTCACGCAGCTTTATTTTCTGGTATTTGATATGTTTTATGTTAACTTTAGTTGGATTCTACGATTGAAGTTAGTGTTTTTTGTAATTTTTTGAGGCTCATATCATTTTAGTGTATTTCATTTTTTTTCTTCAGTCAGCCATCATATGATAAATTCATCATCATAACAGTTTCAAAACCATTAAAACTACTATCGTTATTCCATTAGTGATAATCATCACCATCCATATCTTAGTAATCATCCCAATTTAAACTAACAGTCCTCATCATTATAGAAGCAGTAATCATCACCATCTTATTAATCACAATGCAGGTTTTATTTTCGACGAGCTCAGCAGCTCAGAGGTGTGTCGAGAAGCTGAACAACACCTCCAGCATGGGATACATAATTAACGTCATTCTCGATGATAAAGGTTTATAAAATTGTTAAGTAATATTCGTTTATTTGAATAATTTTCATTAATTAGTTCATTTCTTGGTTAGTTCGTTTGTCTTTGTGCTTGCTTGCACGTTCAACATTTATTCATTCATTTTTTTTTCTTTTGTAATTCTGTACATGTACAGGATTTTTGCATGGATAAAAAAAACATTGATTCAATGCTTTATCAAATTTTTCTAAAGGACAAGAAAAAGATAGGATGTACAATGAAATTATCAAAGACCCTAAGAAATCTGAATTTCATCCACCGGCTCCAGTTACAAAACTGCCAAAAGAAGTCATGGTGTCTTCGTCATTTCCAGGAAGGCTTCCAGCATTCCACACGTCCTCTGCAGCCATCGTCACACATCCTACCATAACCACGGCCACGACATACACTGCATCAGCCTCATCAATGATGAAGTCACCAGACAAGATGTCACCAGCTGTCAAACATCAACAACCCTACACAAAATCTCCTGCTAACAAGTTTCCAACTCAAGGTCAACATCAGCACTCTGCTGCTGTGAAAAGTGCTGAGAAAAGTTCCGAACCCTATTCGAACTCATGGGCCAAGGATATCGATAAATTATTTGGTTTGTTGAAAAATTCAACTGCACAGCCAGCAGCAGCATCAAACAACTTTGAAAGTAACAACACTCAATCAGCAGACTCACTAGCACAGCAAACAACTTACAATCAACAGCTGCAACATCAGCAGAACATCTTATCACCAAGTAATCAACAGTCTAACAAGTCGGCATTACGAGATCCACGTGCTCAACAACCACCCCAGCAACAACAAAATTTAATGAAACAGTCTCAGCAGCAGCAACAAACTACACAAAACTCAGTTCACATGCAGCAACACTCGCATGATTCTTTTTCGAAGCTGTCTAGCAATGTTTCCCACAACAATCGAAATTCGTCGTCTTATGATGAGAGCAACAAGCGCAGTCATCGTTTCAACAGTGATGGCTGCGATTCTCGATACAACGACAACAACAACAGCAGATACAGCAACAGAGCCAGAAGGAGCAGCCATTACAATAGACACAATCGAAATGATTATTACAGCAGCAGTTATGACAAACGGTACAACAGTAATTACAACAACAAACACAGCAACAACAATGGTAGTTGGCGGAAGGCACAACTTGGGGGAAACGAATCTGACGAAAATAACAATGCAAATGATAGCGGCAAGAAGCGTTATCAGTCTCCCAACACTAAACGTTATCATACTTATCGTGCTGGAAGAAGAGAAGATGGGGATGAATACGATGACGGTGGAAACAGGCATAAATATCCAAAGAATACTTATTATAAAAAAAGTAGATACAAAGACTCTTGGGATTACGGTGATGAGGAGGAAGATTCATCACTGGAGGGCATCAACAGGCCAAACGAAAATTCCAAAAGTTCCAATCGAGACTCCAAACAACAACAGCAGCTACACAATAGTACCAACAACAACAACGACAACAGTAGCAATTACGGTTTCAATTATTCTGACAACATTAATATACTATCCAAAAATAGCGATGATAATTCAGCATACCATAGTAATGAATTGGAAAGTACAGCGTCATCAACTGCAGCCGCAAAGACATCATCACTTGCAAGTGTAATTACATCAACCAACCTGCTCACAAATGCTGATGACAATGCTGTGGATAGCTTGGAGTTCAATGCAGATGCAGCTGATAGTAAGAATGACTCAGCTGGCGAGGGCCACGAACATTTTGATAGTTTGGAATCAAGAATTCAAGCTCTACTAGGGCAACAACAACTGCCGTCATTTTCATTTCCTCCGCCACTCCCATCGTCATCAGCAGTGGAAGCAGCTACACCTGCCGATGTGGCTTCCAGTAAACCAGCAGAGCTAGAACCAGCTGTCGACCATCTGCCTCTGCCCTTATCTCTGGTGCCACCCTTGTTACCTCCGGACAATCACGAACCTTCAATGTTGGTGCCTCCTCCGCACATGCAACATGCATCAGCTGCTTCACATTTTTTCCACCCACACCTGCCACATCCCCTCCACCCTCACCATCATCTTCCTCCTCCTCTTCCTCCGCCTCCACTTCATGCTCCTCCTTATCTTGTCCCTAACTTCGGTTACTACCCGCCATATATTGGACAGCAGCCAGTCCCCTGGCAACCCCCACCAATAAATGAGATAACTGGCAAAGAGGCACTGAAAATTCACCAACAATCTCATAAGCAACAGGAGCAACAACATCTGCAGTGTGTTCTTCAGAAGCAGCGTGGAGAACAGGAGGAAATGGATGAAAAAGAGAAGAGAGAAATTGAGCGTGTAAAATTTGAGGCCGTGTTCAATGAATTAGTTTCTCAATTAAAGGAGGTTGTTCCCAGTTTTACATCACCTGATTATAATCTACGTATCAAATTAACACTACATATAGAGGGCAGGAACAATTTGATTAATGTTAATGTTTCACTCGTAAACTTTCATTACCAGGTTGTTGTAAGAGACTGTCAGAAGAAGATGATTGAGCTGACTAGTTTCAAAAATTATGAACTCTGGTGGGATAAGCACAAGGTAGGTTTCTCTCAGAGATTGGAAGGCAGTGATTTTTGTTGTTGTAAACAATTTGAGAATCACATATATATAAATAAATATATAATATATAATAAATATATGCCTGAAATCTATATATATATATATATATATATATATATATATACATATATATTCATTATACAATGATTGATATCTTTCAACATTTTCTTGCTTGCAGCAGTTGACCAATGTAAAGCAGTCACTGTCAGGTACAGATGTCCGAGATGAACAGTTAAAAAAACTGACCACTTTAGCTGCCGCTTCAACTACCTCCAACTCGACCGTGGGGACGACAGCGACTGCAAATGTGACGTCATCGAGTGTTGCCATGGATACACTTAGTGGATTGTTTGACAGGAGTGGATTGATGGCTGGTGGACTGCTCGGTATGAAAAGCACGAGGAGACTGCCTGCCATGCCTTCATTCAGGGTCTGAGTTGATTGTTCGGTTGGCTGGTTGGTTGAATAATTGATTGATTGTTTGGTACGCTGGTCGGTTGATTTTGTTACCAGTTAGTCAACCAAGCAATAATTTAACTGTTTAGTTAGCTTGCTTCTTATGTATTATTTTATTCATTGAAATTTAAAAAATTCTCCTTCCAGAGAAAGACTGAGCCAATAAATGAGAAAAGAGAAATGGCTAAAAGTTCCGACGATGACTCGGAGAAGGATGATGACGGCGATGATGAGGACGTCGTAGATGATGATGATGCCCATTGTGGCAGAGATGATATTCTTGACAAGATGATGAAGAAGAAGAAACCTGTCCTTCAACTCAAAGGACCTCGAACACCTGAGGCATCTGGTCAATAAGTTGAAGGAATGAATGAGTGAATGAATGAGCTGATGAATAAATTAAACGAAGACACTAGAAAAATTTTAAATGAATAATATAAAAATTAAATTTTTTTTGTTCAGATGATGAAAATTCCGTGGCTGACGACGACGACAATTACTACTTTCAACAGAAGCCGCCATCACCACCGACGCCACCGACTTCTCCTGACTCTAAAACAGCCGCCAATCTGTTGAAACCCAAGAAGATAAACAAAACCAAAACCTCAGCTATCTCCAATGATGCTAGCAACAAATCTCATAAAAAACCAAAAGTTAAGAATAAGAGTAAGAGAAAGCCAAATTGTAAAAGTCTGGCTCGTATCTACTCATCATCGTCATCGCTATCATCATCTTCTCTCTCCTCGGTGGACAGTGCCGATGATGACGAGGACGTCGAGAATGACGCCGAGAATCGCGAGAAAGATATCCGTAAAAATTCGATCATAAAACCGGGTCAAAGCAATGCAGCGAACATAAACTCAGTAGGCTATGATGACGACGATGATGATGACGATGTGAGCGTGGGTGGCGATGATGACGTCAGGCTTCTGTTAGCAAAATCTCAAAGTGCCAAGAAAATTTCATCAGCTGTTTACTCAAGCGACGAAGATGTTGACGACGATAAAGAGAATTATGGTGATGAAGACGAAGAAGAGGAAGATGTAGTGGTTGATGATAAAATGAGTGATGATAATAAAAAAGTTAACAAAAAGTTATTATCATCTTTTTCGTCACTATCATCCCTAACCAAGTCTGAGGATGATGCTGGTAAGTGTAGATTTGCTAAATCTGAAAGTTCTAACTTTTCATTTGTTTCTTTTTTTTCTTCCCTTTTTTCTGTCATTTATACTCCTGTACGAAGTTGTTATATAGTGTTGAGGTAGTATGATACTAAGTGACATTGGTTATTTTAAAACAAGTTACATGCTCACATTTTTTTTTTAAGTTTTTTAAATTTTATAAATTTTTTAGAGAGTTGCTTATTTACTAATTCCTATTTTATTATGGTTTTTAACATTCAGAGCTATTAAATTGCTTATGTGTGTGTATACTGTTTTGATATAGAACGAGTTCGCATACATATATGTAGTATGTATATAGTGTTATTAAATAAAATTGATATACGTAGATGAGAAAAATATCTCACTCATGTGTGCGTTTGTGTATGTGTGTGTTTGTGTATGTGTGTGTTTGTGTTTGTGTATGTGTGCGTTCATGTGGTTAAGCGTGTTTGTATATATACATTTATAAATAGTAAAAGTGTATAAATTTTGCTCAAGATGTTGACGTCACCGGCGATGGCTCAGACAAAAGGAACAAATTAAAAAAAGTTAACAGCTATAACAATAACAGTAGTAACAATAACAACGTTAACAACAGTAATAATTCAGTAACGAAAAAACAGTTACAAAAAGATCGATTAGTTAAAAAGCGGCTGCCGATTGCTAAAAAAGTTCCATCGTCTAAACAACAACAACAACATAAAAAAAAAAAAGATTTAACTTACAAAGGATCTGCGGCCGTTTTTAAATCGCACGAATCATTCAATAGTGGTAAAGATACTAATAGGAATGTCGTGCTAGAGAAGCTGGACGATGATAGGAATGAGGCCATCAACGTTGAAAGCGTTGATAACGACGATCTGGACGGCGAGGACAGCCGTTGTGCTACCGATGATAAGATGGTGATCAACGTAGTGGACGACGAAACAAAACCTCTTGATGTTGTCGGTGTTGAAAAAAATAAATCAAAAATTTCTCACACCCCTAATGAGCTGACAAACCTAGCTAGCTTATCAAACGACGTCAGGAATGATATGTACAAGATAGATGATGAGTTAAATGAGGATATTGACAATTTGGGCCTGCTATCGAGTGTGGCCTCAAATGTGCAGAAGCAAAATGAAAAGATGTTCAATAGAAACATTGCTAATAATTCTAACAGTCGAAGTTTGAAGATGGACAGCGGTACAACTGATAGTTTGAATTCATTTAGTTACGATGGTGACGGCGAAGTATTGCCTATCGCAATTAGCAGGCAGGATCTGATGGAGCCGGTTGTAAGTGATTTCACGCAAGTTGACCTTGAAACGTTGATCCCTCGTCACTTCATTCATGCGCGCCAATCAAACGATAATAAAATTAATAAAAAATTAACGACACCATCCAAAGAAAGCGTAACATCAAAAATTCCAACCACCACAACAACAACAACAACGATAACATCGGTGGCCAAAGAACTAAAAGACCACGATTACGCTAAAAATTGGTGGCGGGAGGTCAAACCTAGAAAGGGTAGAAAACCAAAGCGGAAACCTCAGTCAGAACATTTGTCAGACAACGAGAGAAATAACAAATTGTCCTTTTCTTCTGGCGAGGAAACTATTTTCGCGGATATCGAGACGTTAGATGATTGTGAGAGAAAATCTAGTGACATTGCTTCGGAGAGTAATATTACAACTTCATTGAAAAATAACTCAAATGCTGGAAATGTTGAAACCAGGATGTTGAAATCCATATTGGAAGAACATTTGTATTCTGCTCCTAGAATTGAGGATCTCTTAAAATTGAAACATTCTTCAAAGGACAAACTCTCTGGCGAGGATTATTTCTATGGAGATGATGAGGATGATGAAAGAGATGATGAGGATAGCAATCTTCAGCATCACCAGGCAAAAGTTTACGTAAAAGTTTCCGAAGCAGATGATGTTCTTGAAGAAATACATGAAAATAACGGGAATTTGATTACCATAAATAACGAGAAATACATGTTGGAAAAGGTTCCACTTATATGTCGGGAAGTGGATATAGATAACAACATCGGCAAAAATAATGACGTCCACGATGATGTTGATGATGAGAGAGAAGAAGGAGAATATCGTTCATCTGATGAAAATAACGAGATGAAAATTGAGGATGATGACGACGATGATGAAGATAGAATGGTGATTGACGAAGGTGATGATGTAGTTACTAAAGCTAAAATTACCAAGAAACGCAAGCGTCATGATAGTATTAGTAGTCAACTAAGTTTCACAAATGTATCCAAGAAGATCAAGCTGGATTCAAAGAAACAAGCAAAAGCAAAAATTAAAAAACCTGGCCACAAGTTTAAACGTTCGAGGGAGTTAGCTAATTTGCTGTCGGAAGCTGTGGCAGTGACAGCTATGAAGTCCAAGCAGTTTTCCAGGCGTGATTTCAAGGAGGAAACGAGGGTGTTGTACAGTATCGTTATGGAAGGCATCGATCTCGAGGATTCTGAATTTTTGCGACTGCAGTATGAAAAAATTGTTGAACATCTGGCTGGCGGGAAAGCAGATGCTGCTTCCAATCCTATCTGGGTGTACAACGTTCGGTGGGTCGATCATCCGTCAATTATCGATCCATATTACGATGGCAAGTTTATGAATAGCAGGAAGATGATGAAGAAGGAAATGTTCGATGTCCACAAAACCGGTTCGTATTACTTGCCTAGTGTTTTCTTTTTAATGACTTTGGCTTGTGACTTGTTGCTTTGTTAAATACCAACTCCAAATCATCTTACAATTATCTCGCCTACTCTGTTTTTAATCTCTTCCAAGACGTTGATGTAATTCACTGAACTTCTATCAGGCTCAGCAAGAACAGAAGGTTACTGCAAAGTAAGTCACCAGACCAAACAATATTTGAAGCAAGCACACGGCATTGAGAACTCGCAGTCCCACCACCGTGATAATGACCTGATCCCCCTGGTCACATCCTCCTCCCTATCTTCAACCTCCTCCTCCCTCCAACTGGCCGCACTCACCAGCGTCTCAACCTCGAGTTTGCTTTCAACTGAGGCAAGTTTGGAGTCCGTGATGAGGAAGCGAGCCCAACAAAACAGGGAGGCCAGATCGGAGGGGAGACGTTGGCAGAACCTCTTGACGACCAACCTCGGAGAGGACAGGGCAGAATTGTTGAAGTTCAATCAGCTGAAGGTTACTTTTAGTATAAATTTAAATTTTGAAATGTCACGAAAGTTCAACTGGTTAGTTAAGATTAGTTTGTTTAACTGGCTACAATTTTTTCAGTTTTTTTATTTAATCTATATTATTCTCCTCAGCTAAGGAAAAAACAGTTGAAATTCGCTCGCAGCCGAATCCACGATTGGGGTCTTTTTGCACTTGAACCAATCGCAGAAGGGGAATTGGTCATTGAATATACAGGGCAAGTCATCAGGCAAACAGTGGCTGACCTCAGGGAAAAAAGGTTTCACTTGTCATTCAGTATTACTTTGTTTTGTTTACACTGATTCTCATAATGAATGTCTTCCTTCATCCCTGATTTAAACACGTTTAATTGAATGTTTCCATCAACAAACTGCTGCGTTAGTAAGCAGTTAATTTATTTATCTACTAATTCTATATTGCCTTCATTCTTAACATTCCAGGTACGAAGCAGACGGCATAGGATCGAGTTACTTGTTTCGCATTGATGCACAGACCATCATTGATGCTACCAAGTTTGGCAACTTGTCTCGATTCGTCAACCATTGCTGCAATGTTAGAGTCAACAACTTTTTTAAAATTTATTTTTATTCATTACCGCTATTTATAACGATATTTCTGTTTTTTAACTCTTAAACAAACAAGTAAATTAAACAAAAAAAAATTTTTTAATTCTTATCTCTCTCTTTCTCTCTACACTCTACAGCCAAATTGTTACGCAAAGATTGTGAGCTTAGACGGTTTCAAGCGAATCGTTATATACTCGCGACGAGACATAGACGTCAACGAGGAGATCACATACGACTACAAGTTTCCTATAGAAAATGACAAGATACCTTGTCTGTGTGGGGCGCACGGTTGTCGGGGTACCCTTAACTGATTGGCTGGACGTTGCGCTGTGCATTTGGATTGGATAGTTGATTGGATTGGTTAGTTGATTGGATCGGTCAGTTGATTGGATTGGATTGTTAATTGGATTTGTTAGTTGATGATTTTGTTTTCTGATTGGTTGGATGATTGGCTGATGACTCGGTAGGCAGCAAGTTTGTTAAAAATTTAATTCTTTATAGAAAGATTAAGAGAGAAGAGAGAGAGAGAAAGAATTGGGAAGAAAGTTTAGTTTTGAAAATGAAAGTGTGTATTGTTGAAAGAAGATTCTGATGAAATAAAAACTTGTAATCATCATGATGGAATGTTGGTTGGTTGGCTTGCTGGCTGGCTGGTTGGTTGGCTGGCTGGTTGGTTGGCTGGTTGGTTGGCTGGCTGGTTAAGTAAGGTGTATATATTTATGTATATATCTATTATCAGTAGGTCATTTTTTTACTGTAATTAGAAAATTTTCTCACTTATTTTTAGTGTTCATATTTGAAATTTAAAGAAATCCGATCGGCTGATTCGTTATAAGATTTTTTCATTGTAAATGATGTGCTTTCAAAAACTAATAAGCTTGCTTAATTCAAATTTTTTTTCAAACTAATCCAATAAAATTTTTTTTACGCAAACCTCCGTTTGGTGGATTTAATTTTTTTTTCTTAGTTTAAACGGAAATTAAACTTTAAAAATTCTACTTTTGTATTCATTATAGTCGTATCTTGGGTGATTTTTAACTAACCTATACATGTATTAGATTAGTTTAGAGTAAAAATTTTTAATTAAAATGATGATTGCAGTGACAATGATAATAATACTAATGATATAGATGATGATGATATGATATCAAATGGATGACGATGATATGATATCATTGATGATATCGGATTGGTGATTACATTATTGATAGAGTTTGTAATGATGACGATAGAGTTTGTATGGATGATACTAATTGGGAAAATATCAAAGTTGGTGATGATAGATATCGTTTTTGGAGATAATGTTGTATCTATAGTGTTGATTTCAGTAACATTGAGGTATCAATATTGATATATGATGATGTTGATTTCAATTAACTGTGATGATATCAAAGATAGTTGTGATGATGATAATGACGATGACGTCACAAAGATGTTGACAACATTATTATTATTATTGTTCATGATAAATTTTCTGGTCCATAAGTTTCCTATCTATCTTTACACAAATTTCGCGTTATTATTATTATTATTATTTATAATTGTTGTTATTACTATTGTTCATCATTATTATCACTATTATTTATTTTATTTATTATTCGCCTTATATAACTTTGCACCTTCACGCCATTTTTAGTAATAATAATAATAATTATTATTATATTAATAATTGTAATAATGATGACAATAATAATAATAAATTTATTATAAAGACATTAATGTCATGAATGAATTTTGTGCCATCCATATGTACCTACGCACACACCCACACACACACACACACACACACACACACAGAGAGAGAGAGAGAGAGAGAGAGACACAGACAGAAAGAGAGAGACACACACACGTGAGTTTAGTTCATTTGTAAATAGGCCTGCTTATGTCTTAATTATAAATATTTCTAGCAAACGTAAGAACCACACATGAAGAATTCATTTTTTAATCTTATCGTTTTGTTATTGTTATCGTTTTGCCGGACAACAATGTATATTGGTATATCATTGTTATATATATATATTATATATAAATTATATATATATTGCGTTAACCAATATATAAATATATAATATATATATATAATTATATTTATATATATATATATATATACGCGTGTGTATATATATATATATATTTATATTGCTTAACCGTTTTGTATGTTTGTTAATCACCAGTTTAATTTCTTTTATAATATTTTATACTTTAGATACAATACAATACACAAATGCGGTATACAAATACAATCTAATGTACAACACAATAAGCAATACACAGAAATAAAATTCAGAAATTTCAACTACAATTCACAATACGATATATAGTTTTTTTTTTAGCCGAGTTGATTGCTATCATTATTGTTGTTGTTATCTTGAAACACGTTTGCTTACACGGATTTCTTAAACTTAGTAAATTAGTAACGAAATTGGAACGCCTTTATCGGTGAAATCAGTGGAAATAATATGCATAGGTCATCATTTTACAGCTGAATGCCTATATAAATATTTGTACTAATGTTAAGGCAATGCGATGTGATGTAAGGTTACGTGATGATAATACCTATATAGAGTTGATGTCATAGTGTTAATGTATGGCATGTGTGTGCGAATGTGTGCATGAAATCGTTGATGTCATTATGTGGCTTGGATAACATGAGCGCACGTTTTTGTAGTCTAACGGCCTAAACTGTAACTAACTTCTACGACAGTTCTTCAATGAAATGATATTTGTATTATTATTAATATAATAATGTATAATTATTAATACATTATTATATTTAAAACATAAATTTTTATAAATATTTATGTTAATTTATTAAATAATCAACTAATTGATTAATTAAATTTCTCATGAACGCGAGTCCTCTGTTTGTTGGTTTGCTGATTTGGTTTCAAATTTCTCTCTCTCTCTCTCTCTCTCTCTCTCTTTATATATATATATATATATATATATATATATATATATATATATATATATATAAAACTATGTTAATTATATTGTTGTTTGCCTAATCAGTCATCAACTGATAGTTGGTTCGTTAAAGGTTTGGAATAAATAATAAGCTAGTGTGTGCTGTTTGAATGTAATTAATATTGTAATGAATAGTTTATACATGAAATTCATTCTACCAGCTGACTGACTGTAATATATCGATCGAACGATTTCATTAACTAATTAATTTTTTTGAGTTTTGTGTATTTGAAATAGAAAAACTTTGGATTAATCTCGTGGAGTTATTTCTGATGTTAAATGCTAGTAATTTGCCACTGATATGCATTTGCACATGTACTAATCATCAGTGCGGGCCTTTTTTAAAGGTGTGCTCATTTACAAGCGAACTTCCCGCTGCACGACATGACGTAATGTTCAAGTCTTCTAGTATAATTGTAAAAATAAGCTAGATGATGTTATCAGATGATGTTTGTATGGTACACAGTTGCAGGTACATCTGTATATCTCCATTTGATATTTGTAATGTGTGGTGTTACATTTAATATGCGTTTGGGTTGTTTGTTTGTTCTTTTGTTTTTTTTTCGCTCGTTCGTTTGTTCATCTGCAGACAAACACGTGTAAAATGTTAAACATTAATCCACTATTTGATGAGTTTACTGATTGTCTTTCTCGTCACATGAGCGATAATCATAGAAAAAAATTTTAGCGAGAAAGAGACATACAAATACACGTATATCAAGTGAAAGAAAGACATGTATCTACACGTGTATCACATATGCATATAGATAAACGTATATCACACACACACAAATACACGTGTATCACACACATATATAGAGAGATATACGTATATCACATAATACAATATTATTATTATTGTTTTTTTTGATAACGTCATCGTCATTAAGTCGTCATTTTCAAAATAGTTTTTATTAAAAAAATGTTCATAATAATAATAACGAATGAATGAGGTATTGATTGATTGAATAAATGATTGAATGAATGAATGATGAACGAACAAGTGAAAGAAGGTAGGAATAATTATTGAGATAAAAAGAAATGCATGCTCGAATGAACGGATGAATGATAGAATTGAACGAATGAGCAAATGAATAAATGAGTGATTGAACGATTAAATTATAATAAAAGGAATATATCAATTATTGAATGACTAAATTAATAATAATCGAATGAATGAATTAAATAAAACATTTCAACAATATGTCATATTATCTCTTCAACTAACAAGTTCATTAATTTTATACAGAAGATATCTAAAAGGTAGTAGAAGTTTAGTAGAACTAGTAGTAGGTATAGTAGAAGGCATTAGAACACTTGAAACTTAACACCAACTATATTACATAACAGTTACATTACACAACAATTACATTACATAACAGTTACATCAATTATCAACACGTTACAAAACATATCACTCACATTACTTTATCATATTCATTGTTAACATTTAACATAAAAACCATCGAAAAAATTCTATCAGGTTAATTAATATTAATAAAAATTAAATCTCGACTTAATATACAATAATTAAATTTCACGTAACTTTTCCGAATCTCAAAATGCGTGGATGAACAAATAGTAGAATGAATGAATAAATAAATGAATGAACGAACGAACGGTTACAACAATTCACACGTGAATGCGTGGATGAGCAAATCGTAGAATGAATGAATAAACAAATGATTGAACGAACGAACGGTTATAACAATTCACACGCTGCATGTGATAGCGGGGATCTTTTTGCAATCGAATTCAGTCACTGGAATAACAGTGCCAGGCACTTTACCGCTATACCATCGCAACGCCCAAATTACAAAGAAAGAAATATTTTCAACAAATTATTATTATTGTATATTAAATTCGGTTTTGTTACGACTTAATGTTGACAAAAATTAAGTTTTGTTGTCCTCATAAGATAGAATTCGTTGAAAAGACTTAAGAAGGCACTCAAACAGATGAACAAAAAAAATGGATCAATGATTAAAAATCAATAATGGCTAAATAAATTTATCACCAATGAATAATTAAATAAACAAATTAGTTAATTAATTAATCAATCAATCAACCAACTAACTGATTAAACACACAACTACTTCGAGACTAAACTACCAAAAAATATAAGGAAAACACATTTGAAACGAAATTAAATAACTGTTTATTATATAACATAATCTCCAATAATAATTTTTTCTATAAACAAATTAAAACCGTGAAATAGAACAGAAAACAAATGAACCAACAAACAAACACACATACACACATACAAACAAACAAACAGAGCAAACAAACAAAAATCAAAACAGCCAACTCTTAAATCTCAATTCAGCATTGTATGTTTAACGTAAATATGTTGTCTTTGCTCATCCACCGTATCCTTCCAGCGTTCCTGTTCACCTTGAACCTTCTTCATCTCCTCCTTCACCCTCGTTATAACTCCGGGTCGTTGCCTCGAGGTCGACCTTGATGATGACCCTTTGTCTGATTGGCTGAAGACCTGGCTCAGTCGAGAGTTGATCGCGTCAGAGGTTGAAATCTGTGAGCGGTGAGTATTTTTTGGTAGTAGTGGTAGTGGTGATGTTCAAAATGTTTAAAAAAACAATTAACAATAAAATTAATAACATTAATTAATAAAATTAATAACAGCAACAGAGCAGAAAAAACATTCAAAACAGATGAGAATAGAAACGATATCATGACACGAGGATAACGACAACATGTCAACGTAACAGTATAATAAACCAACAACTTTGTACAACAAAAGATAACAACAACAACAAAAACAACCACATACAGTGTCCTCCTGTTGTTCATAGTTGGCTCGCATCTGTTTGTTCAGCAATGGATCCAGGCAGAGTAGGAATATCATGTACATCACAAGCAGTGACACGACACACACTATGAATATGACCACTACCTGGCAGTATGGAGTGAGTTGTATTGTATTGTATAAAACATTGTAATGTTTTGTACTGAAAACTGTATCGTATTGCATTGAAGATTGTATTGTGATGTATTAAAGATTGTATGATATTAAAGATTGTATTGTATTAAAAATTGTATTGAAGATTGTATTGTAATATATTGTATGATAGGTGGGGATCTCTTGGCATTCAAATTCGGTCCCTGGAGCATCAAAACTATTACACTATTTGGTTACCCACATTTAACATATATTTTTTATACAAATTGTACATATATTTTTATACAATTTTATACAACTTTGCAAATAATTTTATACAATTGGATACAATTTTAATAGGATAGTAATAAAAAATAAAAATTAAATAGTCAATGGAATATGAAAAAATTTACTTTGATTGTTGCAGTGTTCCTTCTTTGCCACTGGCAGTCACATTTGACACAAAAATTGTCGCTTTGCAATTTTTCTGGTACCACGTTTTCACATTTGCTAGTCACACGAGAAGCAATTGTGAATAATAAATTAATTATAACAATCAATTATGATTATTTTAATTATGCTTATTATAATTAATTATGCCTATTATTATAATTTTAATATGATACCATTGATTTATTAGTCAGCAGTTACATTGATTATTGTTAATCAATTGTCACTGGCTTATTTTATTTATAATTAATGATATTATTATGTATAATTATTATACTGTGTATTATTATTATTATATATTATTATCATAATATAATTAATATTATTATTATATATAATAAAAGCCAGGATTTTTATTTTTAAGGATTCAAGTTTGAATTGATGAATTGTTAAAAAATATATCAAATTAATTAAAAAATTAAATAATTAAACCAAAATGTCACATTAGGTACTTGATTACAATCTATTCATTAGATGAAATATTTTTTATTTATTGAAAAATTAAAAAAATCCTAGCAAACCCCACCCACCAAAATGATGGTTCATGAAATGATTTCACAAATATTTTTCTGGTGGTGTTCGTTGAATTATCGAGTGGGTGTTTCGGCAGGCAGACACACTTGCACCTGACGTCATCGTATTGTGCCTAATTTTAGTGAATTAAAAAAAATAACGAAAAAAAAGTTATGATTAACGTTAAAATATAAGAAAAAAACTAATTACTAACTTTAGTGATAATCACAAATAACATCATTAAGATTAAGATAATTAAATGATTTTTCAAATTATTAATCGCCGCCATTATTAACTTTACAGTTACATTAATTTACAAAAAAATTTCGTCGGATTTTGATTTTATACTTAAGTTTACTTTTTGAATATAAACAATTTAAGGTAAGGTAAAGAAACTTATTTAGTGGCTTTGATCAAGGTAATATAAAATGGAGTTTCAGTAAGTTTGATTGGAAAATTCATTATCAGTAAACCGTTTTCGGCCTAGTTTGAAAATAGTCAAATGCACAATAACGAAAATTAAAGCCACATAAATATAATGAATATTATTAAATGTTAAATGGATAAGCAATCTAATAATCTGAACAGTTTAATAATTTGGTATCATTCATCCTTATTTTTAACTTCTATTCTAACACTATCACTCTTCGGAGTAATTTATTTCAAGTTAGATTCCTCCTAATTCAGTTTGAACTGATCCCCTCCTAATTCAGTTTGAACTGATCCCTCACCCAACAAACAGATAACGAAACAATTACTCTTGCCGTAAGACAGACACGCAGATAACAGACAATATTAGCATAACAGAAAGCAATGCATTATTGTTATTCCATTATATTTCTTCTAAATAACTAAGGTTAAAAAAAATTAAAAAAGGTCTTAAAAAACTTTGGAAACGATAAAAGCACTTGTGAAATAAAACATGGAAAGATTAAGATACATATATACCAGCATCCACTAAAATTATGGTCTTTTACCAACACACACACACACACACACACACACACACACACACACACACACACACACACACACACACACACACACACACACACACACACACACACACACACACACACACACACACACACACATATATATATATATATATATATGAGTGGGGGCTAAACTAAACAAAATGCTAAGCTGAAAATACATGCAATTCGTGTCTATATAGAAGTTAACCAGTTAAATTTAACTTTTGAACGAAAAATCAAATTATATGCATAAAATAACTAATGAATGAATGAATGAATGAACGAACGAATGAATATGGTATATTATTAAATGGATGGATGGTAAAAAAACGAGTGAACAAACGAATGATCGAAAACAACGAATGACAGAAACTTGATTTAATTGTACTAATTGAGATATGAGTTTTTAACAAAAATTTATGAGCAAAGCTACAAAATATCGATTGTATGTATGTATGTATGTATGTATGTTAAAACCAAATCATTGACGAATGACACCAAAAGCCAAGCGTCTGACTAAATTTGATTTTATTTGCTATAACGTCACTCAACCCCGTCGGCATTCAACTCCACATTTTCCAACACACAGACGCGCAAAAACCGCTGCAGAATGCACGAGATATTATTCATGTATGTATGTATGCATGTATGTATGTATGCATGCATGTATGTATGCATGCATGTATGTATGCATGCATGTATTTGCATATATGTATGAGTTGTATGCAATTACCAACGCGTTAGTTTTATTTTACATTGAAAGTAAGAACAAAAAATGATAATAAAGTTGAATAAAAACGTATTTCAGACCACATCAAAAAGGACAACCGTTTATCAAGGATCATTCCTTCTTCCGAGCGTTTAAATGAAGTTCGTCGTCACACAAATCCCGGCGAGCGAATGTTAATTTAATCACATTACCATCCATTAACGCTTCATCATTCGATATCACAAATCAGTCACCCATCATCATCAACGTTCAATCACTCCTAATCATTCAGCAATCATTAATCACCACCATTCTTCACCATTTAATCATTCCATCATCCCATCGTCGTCGTCGTCATCGTGATCGTCGAAGAAAACATAAAAGTAAAGCAATGATGGGTTTCCGTGTTAGTTGAATCAATATAATGAAATAAAAAAAACGTCAATAATGTTTAGTTCAATTTTTATTATTGAAGGGAAAAAAAACAAAAACAGAAACCATCACCACGCCATTAATAATTTAAAATAATAATAATTTAAAATAATAATAATTTAAAATAATAATAAAATTTCTAGTAATAAATAATGTAATATAATATATAATATATATATATATATAATAATAGTCATGTAACACTACAATGATTGAATACTAACAATACTATTATTTGTAGTAGTAAAAATAATATCAATGTTATAATTAAAAGCAGTAATAAAAATAATCAAAATAAATAAATAATAACTTGAGGAAAATAATAATAATAATGAGCTTATGACTTTTCACAGATATGGAATATTCACGAACCCCAAAGACAAAAAAGATAGAAACACAAAGGGGAAACATCACGAAATAATAATTAATATTATTAATAATAACAATACATAAATACCAACAATAATAATAATAAACAAAATAATAATTTTATGCTATTAAAACTGGAATTAAACGTTTTTATGCGTGCGTGCACAGCTGTAGAAATGTCGAAAATTTGGCGTTTTATGTACGTAGCAAAGAAATATGAATGTATACGTCTCTCTCTCTCTCTCTCTCTTTCTCTGTATATATATATATATAGAGAGAGAGATATGTATGTGTTGTGTGTGTGTAAAAGCTACCAAATAACGTCATCGAATAGTTGAACCTATTTCTATTTTCATCATTATTATTGTTATTATTGATATTATTATAGTTATTACTAAATTACTATTCCATAATTGTCATTATAATTATTTTCATTATTCTTGATAACTATTGTTGTAGCATTAAAAATCAAAAGAAGAAGAAGAAGAAGAAGAAGAAGAAGAAGAAGAGAACGCCCGAGTAGAAAAACCTCATTCGGCGCCGGATCTCTTAATCTTCTCCAACCTCCTCCTAAGCATCTCGAGATTCGTCATGGAATCAGTAGCACTGAAACCTTGCGTCGTCTGTGAGTCACTTTGGCTGTTGTTGTTGGCTGTCGCGGACGCTGATGATGTTGGTGTTGCTGTCGTTGCTGTTCTCAAGCTAGCTTCACCGTTTGTTTTCAAACTCGACGAAATTCTTTTCTGCTAATTTTTTTTTATTTAGTTTGAGAGTAGTTTGGCAAAGTAACTGTAGTAGCTGTTGTAGTAATAGTAGTGGTACTAGCGATAGTAATTCTAGCAGTATTTGTGTTAGTAATAGTAGTAATAAGAGTAGTAAAAGTAGTAGTAGTATTGGCTGTAATAGTAGAATGCGGTAATGTTTTTTGGTGAATCGACTGATGTTAATAAATTGTTATGATAATAATGATAATAAAATGAACGGTGAGGTTGACGGATTGAGCAAAAATGATGAAAATTAATGATAAAATGAATACTGAAGATGATAATGTAATGAATACTGAAGAGGGTGATGACAAAACGAGTGAAATTATGAAAATTCAATGTAACAACATCGTTGCATATATGGATGGACAGATTAAAGGTTACTTACTCTGTCAGAAAAATGTTCTCCGAAATCTCTACTATTATTACTACTTTGACTAGCAGAGTCAAATGCTAACAGAAATTGATCAGAAGATGAAGCATTATTGTTGTTGTTGTTTCTGTTGTTGTTGTCATTGATGTTGTTGTTGATGATGTTATATTTGTTGTTGATATTCTGTAGAGAGAAGTCTGTATTGTCGAGGCCACATTTGGCCCTGAGATCTTTCAATCTTTCCATGTACTGCTCTGGAGTGAAATCCAATTTCGTCGGATTCGTGGCTGCTGTCGCTGTTGCCGCTGCTGCTGATGACGACGTGGCCATCGTTGACGACAATACTTGCTGCTGTTGATGCGACGGTCTGTTGATGGAAGACGATTGTTGTTGTAGTTGTTGGGATAACGTCGTCGTCGAAATTCTGCCGTCTGTTCTCTGACGTTGCTGCTGCTGCTGCTGGGATCTCTGCTTTTCAATATTGATCAGACCCTGCATGAGTGTTACACTAGAACTTTGAACACTAAAGATTACACTAAAAATTACATTACAGATTACATTAAAAACTATAATCTACATAAGAAGTAACACCACACATCATTACATTACACACCACACGTTACATTACAAATAATGAAACCTCTTTGATGTAATTTTGGAAAAATTCAGTGGACTTTTTAAGGAATGGTTCTAGGTCAGCGTCCGGGTGCTTCAGTTTGAAATCATACAAGTTGTTCAAACCCTGGTTACGGGCGAAAATGTTAATGAACAAATTAATACATTGAAAAAGTGAACAAATTAATAAAGATAAATTAACATATAAATAATTTAAATATTCAAATTAATTAATTAATTAAAAAAGTAAACAAAAGCTATACATACATTTACAGAATGGTCGTGTCAATTTAACCGCAGTCATTCTAACTTTTATAAATCGTTAATATTATATAATAGGCAACTAATCTAACGACAGTGATAACAGAAAAAAAACAATAAGAACACAAAAACAAGCACCTCATTGGTAGTTTCTCTGGAGCCTATCTTTTTAAATATCTCAGCTAGGGAATCTTGAACCGACCTAGATATTTTGTGTGACCTGTGACCTAAATCCTATGAATAATAAGAGAGAAATAAAGTGAACTAAACAAACAGGCAAATAAACCAATTAGTAAATTAATGGGGGAATAAATTCAGGGTAGAATAAACTTGAAGCTGGAAAAAAAGAAGAATTAGAATTGTTAAATAAGGTAAACTTATAGATGAATGTATTACTAAAAGCAACTAGAATTCAAAATTTCTTTTATTATATTAGAAGAAAAACATAAATTAGGTAGACACACCAAAATGACAAAAGAGAAAGAGGAAGAGAAAGAGAGAGAGAGAGAAGAGAGAAAGAGAGAAAAAAAAACCAAACCTGACTGCTTCCATTACTGCTACTGATTATATCCGAGTCAGTAGCTTCCATGCTTCCCTTCTTCAGAACCTTCCTTATGTACTGTTCGACTTCAGATACATTGCCACTGTAGCCACTGTCAACTAAGGTCATATGGTTCAGGATCTGTGAAATGAAATATATACCGGTCCTATTAAAAGTATCGTCGCTGTTAGGCCATTCGGAAAAACAAGTCGGAGTTTTAATTACTACCAGCTGACGGCGATAAATATGATAATAATAAAATAATAAATTTAATATAAATATAATAAATAATAATAATAATAAACTAATAATAAATAAATAAAACAAATAACAATAAGGATGGTAATAAAATACTGGAATTACTAAATATAGGAGTGGATGAATGAATGAATGAATAAAAAAGAGAATGAATGAATGGATGAATGAATGAATGAATGAATAAAAAAACCTCATCTCCAACGTGCTTCATGATAGTGTGCAGTATAGTCTTCAGTGTCCTCAACGGCATATCCTTATCCTTCGACCTACAATTAATTAAAATTAATCCTATTCATTGCTGGATGTAATTATTCATTATTCAGATGAATTATTTAAATATTTAAATTTATTTAAATGTACTTGAAATTCAAATCTAATAATACCAGATTCTACCTACACGCGCTGTTACATGTGAAGAAAGTTGAGCGGAAAAGGAGCATGCACATTTATGGCAGTCAAACATTTGACAGACACACAAGCAAGAAAAAAAACAAGAAATAGAAAGAGAGAGAGAGAGAGAGTGTGTGAGAAAAAGAGAGAGTAACCCACTTACTTATCCTTCCATGTATGGCTGGGAAACGCCTTGAGGAAGTTATGGATGTCGGAGATGATGATGTCCAGGTTGAGTTCGCTGACGGAAGATGGCATCATCCTCAACATCTTCCAGAGGCACTGTGCGTAAGATGTCGTGAGTTGATGATGTGCATGATGAGGACCAGCGTGATTAGGAAGATGATTAAAATGATGATAAAAAAGAGTGATGAAGAAATGAAATGTGATGGAAATGAACAGGAAGAAGATGAAGATGAACAGGAAGAAGATGAAGATGAACCGGAAGAAGATTAAGATAAACAGGAAGAAGATGATGGAGATGAACAGGAAGAGGCTGAAGATGATGGAGATGAAAGAGAAACATGAAAAAGACGAAGATGAGAAATAGAATAAAAACTTAACAAAATGACGCAATGACGTCAACGATGACGACAACCGACGATATTGATGCTGATGAAAAATCAGCAGTAGAAACGCGCAATTAATGATGATGAAGCCGATCAGATATGATACTAAAAACATTCGACATCACTGTGGACATCACATTCATCAGCATCATCTCAACCTTCATGACAAGATCCAGGTAAGGAGATTTCATGGAGACGGCTTCGTGAAGCAGTTTGATGTTGGCGCTGAATATAATAATAATAATAACAATAACAAAAAAATAACAACAACAACAATAATAATTATAAACAGTGTCAGAGGCGCTCAAATAACTGAATATAAATGAACGAACAATTAACCAACGTGAAATTAACACAAGTTGAAAACAAAATCAACATCAGTCGATCAAAGTTGGTCAATCAGTCAGTCCTTCAGTTGGTCACTCAGCAACTGACCTCATGACGCAAGTGTAGTTGATATTCTCTATGACCTTGACAACGGTGATATTGATGGCCTTTTCCATGTCCGAGCCCTCTCCTTTCATGACCTTCACCCTCTCGTCCAGAAGGGCAATCATAAAATTTCGCAGCAGGTCTTTTAGGACATCCCTGTTTATCTCAGAGGTCAATTCTTTGAACTTGCAGAGCTGAGCGACGAGTGTTTGTTATGTTTGCTGTGCTGTGTATGTGTGGTACTGAAGTGTAGAGATATCGTAAAGATAGATATCATGATACTGTGGTTACTATGACACAAGCAGTCAACAAACAAACAAGCAAACAAACAAGCAAACAAACAAGCGAACAAACAAACAAACAAACAAGCGAACAAACAAACAAACAAATATACTAACATTCAGCAGAGCACTCAAAAGAGTCTTATAGAGCCTGACAACTTCATTCTGCTTGTCAGCCTGTCCTACGTAGTTGGTATTCAAATTATGCAGCTGCAAGGAGCAAGCTAATAGCAGCTGATTGACGCTCCCTTTCAGCTGCCTCTCTGCGTTGCTGCTGCTACTGACGTTGTTGCTAAGGCTCTGTGGATGATTTTTATTTTTAAAATTTTTAAATTCTCTCTTTAAAAATCTTCAGAGGCATCAGCAACAAACACACAGTGCATGCAAATATACGGGGGACAAGGCATTACACACATTTGCATGTGATAGGATGATGATTAATTAAGAAGAGGGTGATGAAGAATATTTACGTCAATAAATAAGACTATTGATAAAGCAATAAGACATTGACGACTAGAGCTATTATAATGGTGAAAGAAACAAAGATAATGATGGAAACGAAGATGATGATGACGAAGATGATGATGACAGACTTCGTTGTTTTGATGTTTCCTATCCCCTCTTAATAAATGATCGATCTGTGCCATCATTGCATAGCCATCGTCACAGTTGGAGTAGAATGAATAGAATAAATTATAGACTATTAGCATTGCAGAAATTATATTTACGACAATCAAGCAATCCACCAATCTATCTATCAATTGATCATTTATCAACCAATCATATTCTTCCTTCAACCTAGCTAAAAGTAGTGAACTCGGTTATCAGCAAATCCAAACCCATTTATACGAATGACAAACAGTTGGAAAAAATAGAAATGAAAAAATGAATGAGAGAGAGAGAGAGAGAGAGAGAGAGAGAGAGAGAGCAAGAGAGAGAGAGAGAGAGCAAGAGAGAGAGAGAGAGAGAGAAAGAGAGCAAGAGAGAAAGAAGATAAAGAGCGACAACTAAGAAACAACCACAACAAACAGCAGCAAAAAGAACCTGTTGAAAAGCGGATATACTCAAATTAATGTCGGCAGAGCCTGCTTGCATGATGATGCAATCCATGGTAGATGAGGAGGGTAACTGTCTGTCTTCAGATGATGCATGAATGGATTTAAGAGCAGATATAGGTTTGGACCTTAGACTGTTTGTTTGTTTTAGTGATGGTTTGATGTTGAAAAATCAATTCGATTTTGATTATTTTCAGGTAAAAAAAATTGATTTCGATTTTTTTTAAAATAAAAGCCAACTCAGCAATTTTATTAACACAATTTAAAAATTATAATGAAAGCAGCAAGTTAAAATGATCTTTAAAACAAAATAACGTATTTCTGTCTAGGAGTCAAGAAGGTGGAAAACTAATCATGTCCGGGTTCAAGTTGGTTTCGTCGTTCATTTATTATTTGACCAGACTTGACACAAACGCTATTTAAGTAAAAAATTTGACATTCATTAATGTCACCGACCTAGTTTGTGGCAATTTGATTGGTTCCTCGTCTATCTCGCTAATGCCCAGTTCAATGAACTGTGGTAAAGGATAAGCCTGTATGGTGAACAGGAAACAAAATTTTTTTTCGTAGAGCAGTGTACACACAATTTTGTTGGTGACCTTATCCTTATTCTTCTCGATCTCAAAATTTTATTGCTGATTTGAGACGATTAATTTGCCAAATAATTAATTTCAAAATGAATAAAATGATGGAAGCTAAACGTAGAAATAAGTAGACAGAAAAAGTGGCAAACAGACGGATGAAAGAGCAAAAGAACAAAACCACAAACCAACCTCCCAAAGCAACTAACCTCTCCTATGACCCAGTCATCAAAGTTCAAACTGAATTCTCCTTTCACTATATTGTTTGAATTCTGAGACTGCTGGGGAAGATCTGATGAACTGGATGAATGAATATGAACATAAATGGGTGAGAAATTAATTAAACACAGAACTTAATCCTCATCATTTAACATCATCATCAACGTCACTATCATCGTCATCACGACTAACTTTCGGAGCATACCGGAACTGGATGGTTTTGCCAATCTGGAAGGCTTGCCCTCCTCCAACCCGCCACCGACATTCTGATTCTTAGAAACGAGCAAAGGATTTGCTACCATATTATTGTTGTTACTGCTATTATTAACGACAGCTGTCGACGTTTTAGTTCTGGTCGAACGTTTGATCCTCTCCTCCAACATACTCATGTCCTTATCGTTCAGCTGGCCAATGTACTTGAAGACAATCTCGCCCTGAATGTCGTATGCATTGACGATGGTGTTCAGTGCTGCGGATCGTACGCTGTTATCCCTGTCCCCGATCTGCTGAGCAATCACTTTCAATCCAACTGACGGACTCGGTTGGCACATGTTGATGCCAAACTTCTGGATTAGTAGGCCAATCTCTTCAAGGCACTCTGTGGTAATAAAGGAATCATTTCTAGGATTTGATTTTTGGTTTATATCAGAACGCTACAATACAATATGACTGTGGTTTCAAATGAATATGGTATTCATTTACAATATTTTTTTTTAAATTTTGCAACCCAAACTGCAAAAAGCCAAACAACCCAACTGACCAGTTCTTTGTTTGGCGTTCTTGGACTTGAGGCCCTCCATGAGAAAGGCGGACACCCTGGCCGACGGGTAGACATTGCAGACGAGTTGGAGTATCAGTCGAATGTCTCGTCTGATGTTGTCCTTTGGATCACCGACCTTCATAGTTTGAAACAGATAATAAAATAATGTTGCGTGAAATAATAATGTTGCATCTAACTGCCATCATTGCAATAATTGCAATGACTGATACGCAACGATAAATATTCTTACAGGTTTTTACTTACATCAGGATAAAAAAGACTACCATCATCAAAATTATTATCAATCCATATCATTTCATTTGCAACATCATCATCAATCCAAGAGGGAAACAAATGAGCCCCCTGAAGAAACCCTCAACCCCATAGACAAACCTTATTGATGAGATAGGGCAGGAAACTGACGGCTTCATTCTCACTCATGTGGTACTTCTCAGCTACAAGTCTCTCAAACACAATTAACAGGTACTCCAAGGCTTTCAGAAGAACTGTCGTATTCGTGTCGAAAAATCTCAAGGTCATCCATTTTAAAATAAGGTCAAGGTTACACATGGTCGACTCCATTCCAGTTTCTGTGACCTTAATTAATGTGTCCATTGCCTTGATGTGAAACTTGAAGTCGGCGTGGTAGAGCTGATCGAGGAGGGTCCTGTTGAAATGAGGTTCCATCTGCATCTTCAACTGGTCGATGAACTCTCTTCTTGGCGAGTCAAAGTTCCATTTTAGTACCTTTGTGTGTGTGTGTGTGTGTGTGTTTGTACGTGCGTGTGTCGCCACGTTTAGTGTTTTTATGTGTGTGCGCGCGCGTGTATACGTATCGGTGGGAAGAGGGAATGAATGTGTGAGAGTTCGATAAAAAATAATTAAAAAATAGCCGTTTGAGTTGATGAACAAATAGTTTCATGTATCAATATATATAAAGAAACACTAAGTAATTGAACTCGAAAATATTTTATCATTACCAGCATCTAAAATATATATATATGTATATACTGCATCAGCGTTAGGATGAACAAACAAACAACTTATCAGCCAGCCATAGCTAACTGAACTCAACCAACAAGCAAACTAACTGAACAAACAGCCAACTGACAGACCGAGAGAGGCCAACAAATAACCAACCTTCAAATTCTTTTCATCCTTGGTTCTCTGATCCTTAGCATTTGAAACTTTCATTGGTGGCGAGTTGTCCTCCTCTTGCTCATTCTTCTTCTTGGAAGACGTTACTGATGCAGACGTCGATGATGCTGACGTAATGGCTTGCGTGCCTGTCTGGAATATAAACGAAAAGATTTTTATTTCTCTTTAATCAGCGAGATTTTCTACAAATAACAATACTATTAATGTAGGAGTGATTCATTTCATTTCAATCTAATTTACCCACAAACACAACTGAACAATCAACTAACCAGCCAGCCCACCGACAAACCTTTTTTTGGGTAGTTCCTGGCACTGCAGATTTTCCACCTATCTTACTCTTTCCGGCAGTAGCAGAAGTTGAAGTTGCTGCGACTTGCCCAGCGTCAACTTCATCGGCTACTACTTCAGCTGCTGATTTGCTAGCTGCTTTAGTTGTGGATGCGGATTTAACAGCTACTGCTTGCTGTCCAGTTGCTGGTCTAGCTGGTAGGGTTGATCTAGCTTGTTCAAGTGCCTTCATTAATGTGTCCTTGGACGCAGGCTGTTGATGTTGTTGTTGATGTCGTGGTGATTAATGACGTGTGACTAACGAATGAACAGTTGCTGATATTATTATCTTCGCGGTTTTATTTGCTACTGTTATTAAAGAGACAGTTACTAAATTTTCAAAAGTATTTCAAGATGGTGCCCAACCTTAACAGTTGAGAGCTTTTGAAGCATGCCGTCGTATCCACAGTGCATCATGAAGGGCATCAAAGCCTGATCATCAAAGGATTGTGATCATGTGGAATTTACAATTTTAAAAATAAATAAATACATACATAATAGAAAAAACAACAACACACAGCGCCTCTGATGTTCTTCATGAGAGGTGTTGCACAAACCATCAGAAACAAAATGACAAGCACCACAGATTTATCTACCAATCACTCGATCAAAACAAAAACGACAGCTATGGTGTGTGCAGTAGCAACAACAGCAACTGTGGCAGCAAAGCAACAAAAGTAGCTGAGGTAGCAAAGCAACAACGGTAGCTGCAGCAGCTGTAATAGGACAATCACACCTATAAAAACATCAGCTGACATCAACAAAGCCCTTACCACATAACACCACCTCACCTCATTAGCCTTCTTCCTGACGTCAGCATTCCTATCCTCAATGCATGCAAACAGGATCGGGATGCATTCCTTCAAATCCGCCGCCGGTAGTTTTTTATTGGTCGGCAGTTTCTCAGCCAGCCAACCAAACAGCTGGTTTGTTAGGTTTTCATTTGATGTGAATTGATGTAAGAAAAAGAACTTTACAAAATTGAAAGAGGGTTATCATAAAATCATCATGTAATTAAATGGAAACGTCAATCTAATTGAGACTGCACAGTATCCACATCTAACAACTAATTCAAATTTAAACAAAGCAGCTAATCAAAATTCAAGTAAAGGTAAACTGCACGCATTCAATCAACCAATCTGAAACCTCAGTTCTAAGGGTGGGGTTTTCATTTTTCAAACTATCCAATAGAATCTCTCCCTCAACTATGGAAGCCAGTCCAGAAGCTCCAACTTGCTCCAGGTACGTGTTCACTGCTTTTACAGCCGCTTGTCTGACGTTCGCCTGTTTGTGATTAAAATTCATCGCTAAATAATTTGCACGATGGATAAAATTAGTTGCTAATTGATTAGTTGATTAATTGATAAATTTGATGAGTAATATAATTTTAAACAAAGCTAATTATTACTTTAAGAAGAATTAACTCGTGTAGAGAGCAGCGTTACTGACAATACCAATTATAAATTGCAATATTATTTAACTTTTAATAAATACGAAAGACTAATTGAACGCTGTCACCTTGCTATCTCCAAAGTTAGCAAGTAGTCCGGGTATGACTGACTTGGCATGCTGTTTGATTGGTGGTCCCATGCTGATGGCCAGCTGCTGGCACAATGCTATCGTCATGGAGCCTTTGTAATAAGATGTTTACGTTTTTTTTACAAATGACGAACAACTGGTTGTGCTTCAATTGATTAAAAGTTACTTGAAATTCCTCAAATGATATCAACAATTGATGGACTAATTAGCATGAACCAATCAATAAATCAACCAATAAATCAACCGATCAATCAATCGATCAATCAATCGATCAATCAATCAATCAATCAATCGATTGATCACTCAATCAACCAGATCATAATTCAACTGCATCGAAATCAGCCAAACATAAATTTAAACAATTATTAAAAAAAAAATAAATAAATTCTTTTAACATTCACCTAAAATCTTATTTGAGTCGACCAATCTCGGTTTGAGACTTTCCGGTAGCGCGCCTACGCTAGGGGTGATGAATTTTGCATCAGCCACTATAGCCTGAATCTTCTCCAAGGCCTCCTTCCGAACTTTCCAGTTTTTGTCCTCCAGCTCGGATAACAAGGCATCAGTCATTTTATCACTAGATGGCAGTTACGTATGTTAGTTCTCATCAGGAAGTTATTATCTAATGCTATTAGAAATAAAAATTCTGTAAAAGGTAATGGAGTGATGATGACAGTCAAGCTTGTAGTCAGACAGACGACATCAGGGAGTTATTATCTAATGCTATTATTACAGATTTATTGCCAGTAACAAATTATCTGAACAGTGGATTGAAATTTCGTAAATGACTTAACACAAACTTCACACACGGCGTGATATGTTTGCCAAATTTATCAGCCAAACGTCATTAACTGATAATGATTATCTCCAACTTTTATAAATAGAAACCACTAGATAATGTCTGCCTGTATGCTCTAATTAGCATATATGTATATAACGTCTTTTTTACGAATGATTAACCGCAATTATGTGCAATGTTGCAATGTACAATGACAAATGATATGCATGCATACAACATCCATACATACAATATACGCATAATATACAAATATACAAGTTAATAAATACATGTAACATAGACATACACACACATATCCACGAACCAATCTCAATTTACTACAAACAAATATACAACAACTGACCTTATGTCAACTCTAGGAATGAGGTCATTGATGTTGACCTCATTACCATCGTCACCCGCGGCATCATCGCCCTCACCATCTTCCCCATCATTAGAGACATCATTGGCTGGCTTCAAACCGCGTGTTGGTGCCGGAGGTTTCTCGTCTTTTACCTGATTGGCGGTTAATTGAAATGGGTCAATTAAATTGGGTCAGTTCAATTTGGTCGATTTCATTTGGAGGATGATATGTTGTAAACATTTTGTTTCTCTATATGTATGACAGTTTTAAGCATTGAATTTTCGAACAAATTGCCAAGCGTTAATACCACTAATTAAAGTATCAAGTGAGGCATAATTTAAAAAGTTCAGTGCAAGTTGCCTCAGGCTGTCAGTAGCAGAGTTGTTACAACACTGATCAGGTGCCCTTAGCAAATTTCTAAATTCTAAAACCATCATAAGTTCGGCACCTATCACAGGCATTAACATTTCTATCACCATCACCACACAGGTATTAACATTTCTATTACCATCACCATGGCCATCACAATCAACAACGCCCACATGAAATGATGTTCATCACCCTATCGCTAAATTATGACAATTATCATTGACACAGATACCCTTTCGAATTCGGCATCAATTTGCTGCAGTAGGGTAGGTTTCTCCTTCTCAAAGAACATTCTCAGTGGAGGTCCCATGTACATGTAGATGACGCCAATTAGCGAGATACCTGACGTTCTTACTGCCTGTGTTGTTGGGTTTGTGTTGTTTCGTATTGTTGTTGTTGCTGTGTGTGTTGTTTCGTGTTGTTTGTTGTTGTGTGTGTTGTTTTGTGTTGTCGTGTGTGTGTGTGTGTGTGTGTGTGTGTGTGTGTGTGTGTGTTGTAGTGTTAACGTTTTGCGTCGTTGTGTCTGTAATGTTGTATTAATGTTTTGTGTTGTTGTGTTGTTTTTAGTCAAACAGAATGATGAGATTAATATAGAAATTTAATATAGAAAACAAACGTTTACCGACATTTAACCAAAAATTATGTAACCAACCCACAGTAAACTGTCCAGTAAACCAACTTATCAATCAATCAATAAATCAATCAACTAACTAATCAATCATTCAACCAATAAAACACTCAAATAACCAACCAACCGGATTGGCAGAAGCAAGCGCTTTATTGATGGTTTCAATTAGTGACTTGACCTTCAACTTGAGACCAAATTGCTTGATGGCATTACACAACCAATTCAGTGCCTCCGACTGGTTTTTCGGGTTTTTCTGCTCGAATGCCGTCGTCAGAACCTGGTGAGTGAAAAAAAGAGTGAGGCCATAATTTAAAAATTTTATTGGCCAGTGACGATTTACTTGACTGCTATTTAAAAGTAATCATTAACCGACCATTCTGTCTACTGTATAGCCATCTTTAAAATGCTACTTCACTACTAAGAAACAAGGTTCAATGTGTATAAAAAGTAAATAGAATACTTTAAAAAGTACTAACTTTTAACCACAGATACACCAAACTGAAGCATCAAGACATGAGAAAAAGATACTACCACAGATACACCAAACTGAAACATCAACACATGAGAAAAAGATACTACTACAGATTGGAATTAAAAAGAGAAAAACAAACAAACACCATCAAGCAACAAGCGGTACAAGAGTGTACTAGCACACCTGTGGAGCTACGAAATCAAGAGATGTAGCTTCGGTAATGCTGGTCAGACACTCCTGTACTCCTGGCCCGTTCTTGATGTCACCAATCTTGTCGATCATGTCACTCAGGCAGTACTCGGCTGATCTCTTCGAGAAGTTTCCTCTCTGGGCCGCTGTCGAAATCAAGTCGATCTTCAGTTTCAGGACCTGTTTTGTTGGTTGGTTATGGAGTTTTGTATGCCTGATTTTTTGGTTAATTTTCATTTGACTGACGATTCTATCTGACTAATAATATGGAGAGTAAATATTTGGTTTGGTTATGTGAGTTTTACGTTATTTTTTTTGGTTAATTTTTATTTGACTGACGATTCTGACTCGTGATATGGATAGTAATTGGTTAGTAACAATGTGAATAGTAACTATTTCTCTACTCATTGAATGATGTAACAAATTTTACAATCTTTCTACTTTGATAAATTATTACCAAGGTGGAACTAGTCACTATCTCTAACATAATTAAGCCATCCCACCCATAGCAAAGCATACATACTCTCATTCAACTCTACAACAGAAGAATAAATAGATACATTAATGATATATTAAAAATAATATTAAATTAATAATTGCGCTAAAGTAATGGAAAATTTTAAATAAATTTATGAAAGTATTATTCAAAATAATACTAAATTAATAATTACGTTAGGGAACAAGGGAAGATTTTAAATAAATTTATAAAAATAAATTCCTCTGACCTGAAAGTTGCTATCCTTAAGTCCAGGCTTCTTTACGACAGTCCTTACAAATGCTTGCACTGGCAAGTCATCCTTCGCCAGGGTCTTCATAACCTTCAAAAATGACGTCATCGTCATGTTCATCGTCGTCATTGTCACTGATTTCCTCCTTTAATTCATCCATACTATTATCATCACCATCCTCATCATCATCATCATCCCCGTTATTAGTTATTCTAACGTTTTCGCCATATTTTTATAACTGTTAATATATACTATTGTTACCATCATCATCATCATTATTATAATAATAATTATTATTATTATTGTCGTTGTTGTTGACATTACAATACATCACTGTAATTAAATCCAATCACTTGATTTTTAAAACGTGGTTTTAAGGTTATCATTTATTATTGATAGACAGATAGAATTATATTTGAGATTCATCTGCAATTGAACCAAGGCATTGCAGTACAACTGTTGGCCACGAAAGACGCGAAATAACCACAGCTCCCTTACTATCTGAGCCATCAACTGACGAAACGAACAAACACGCAGCGAAACCTCGATCATCCTCTCAAGAGAGGCCAATCTATCCTTCCAGTTGTTAGAAGCCAGATTTGGCAGTGTGTCACCAGGGAACAGGGCGGCCATCTTCTCTTCCACAACCTCATCCTGGTCATTTGTAATTTAATAATAATAATGATAAAAATAATAACAACAACAACAAATAATAATAATAATAGTTTGTAACATTTGAAGTTATTCAATGCGGATCATATTTTAATTTACATTAAGTGTGCTTACTGCCTTAACTAACTTAATCATCACCACTTTTGTGATAACTTCAACGGGCAGAATGAAAATAATTTCCTAGCAGAGTACTGACAGACATCTAAACGTAATTTCTAATTTACAGCTCTCGAAGCAGCAGTGACGAGACTAATAAAATCTTGCGGCATTGAAACAACACGAATTAGGCATTTAAAAACTTTAGAGCACAAAAAACTATAATGGAAAAACATAATGAATAAAATATAAAATAATATACTAAAAATAATATGAAATAAAAAAATTAAAATGAAAAAAATTAATATGAACAAGTCCCCAACAGGCAATTCTTTCTCGACAACTTCTTCCTTAAGAGCTGCACCAGCGTTTCCTGCTTTCTTTCCTTTGTTACCTGCTGCTGAAGCTGTGGTCTTCTTCTTGGCTGCCTGGCAATGGACGCAGTCAAGCAAAGTTAGATAAGAAAGTGATGTTACGACCAATTTAAAATCTAGACGCGAGTAAATGAATCCTAGCAGATCTATATTACGAGTTGAAATTTTGTTTTTTAATAACCATAACAAGTTTAGTGGAGAACATTCTGTTAAAATTTTTTTTTCCATTTTTTGTAATAAATTTTTATAATGTTGTATTAGTTTAGTTGTGATGTTATCTGTTCAACTGGTTCATAGAGTTGAACAAATATTTATAAATGAATAATTTAAAAATTTTTTTATTTAATAATAATTGCTGTGTACTCTGCTAAACGATGACAAACTTATTTTCACTTTACGTAACTTGCGAACCTAAAAACGAATAAATTCTAAAAAATAAATAAATATATATATATATATAAGTATAATGAAAGAATAAATAAGTTGAACCTTCTCCCAGAAACAAAACAAAAACAAAATAAAAAAAATAAAGTAAAACTGGGAAAAAAAAGACATACAGCAACAGATGATGACGATGAAGAAATCGACGGAGCTGCACTACCTTCATTAGGCTGATGTTGTTCATTAATAAAGCCAATTAACAACTAATTAGACCAATTAACTAATTAGACCAAATAACTAAATTAGACCAATTAACTAAATTAGACCAATCACGTCTAATTGCAAACGAAAACTTGAGAGCATAAAATTCGTAAAAATAATTATTATTATCATAACATATAAATAGTTGTTTTTAAAAATAGATAACCGAGCCAGCCGAAAATAATAATAAGTTTATGATGAAAAAAAAAATAACCAAAACATTCAATCAAATTAGGAAGCCATTATTTAGCCACTAGAACACAAATTAATAAATAAAAATGAAGGAAGAAAAGTACTAAAAAAAACAAATAAATCATTAAAAAAAATAAATGATGAACTTTTTTAGGTGGCCCTTTAGCAGAAGCAGCGGTGGTAGCCGCAGCAGCTGCTGGTTTGGTAGCTTCTGTTGCACTCTTTGCACTAGCGTTTGCCTTCTCATAATATTCTTTTATCTGACAGGTTTCAAGACAAAATTGAATTAAGCAAATAACTAAGGGACAACATTAAAATGAAAACCATACTGGAGAGTAAGCAAAATCTAATTGCGTCATTCTGTCATGTCATTGGTTGTCTATAGATAGCATTTGTTACTATAAAAAACATGTTACTATAAATAGCATTAGCTATCATACATTGGTTACTATAAATAGCATTGGTTACTATAAATAGCGTTGGTTACTATAAATAAAGTTGGTTACCATAAATAGCATAAGTTACTACTATAAAAGATTAAACAAGATTGGAATTAAAATATACTGTAAAAATGCTATTACTAAAAAATTACTAATGCTAATGTATATCTTTATATATGAAATTAATAATAACCTTTGTCAACTTGATGGGGTCAACATCAGTCAAAAAGGGCATGATCGCTTTCTCGGACACGACCTTCATGGCGGTGCCCAGGGCTTCAAATGAGGCCTCCCTGACTTCAAGTGTTGTGTCATTGGCTGTCTATAAATAGCGTTTGTTACTACAAATATCATTTCATACTATAAAAAGTAGTACTCTTGACTTCAATCAATCAATTAATCAATCAATCTCATTCATTCAATCAATCATGAATGAATGATCCAATGAACGAACAAACCAACAAACAAATGAATGATTCGGTAAACAACCAACAATGAACAACAGACAATGAAGCGGCAAACCTTCAACAAGCCAGTTACAAAAGGTTTCAAAAGCTTCTTCGGCAGCGTGGCAACAGTACACTTTGAGAAACAGCGAGCCAGGAAGGATATGGTTTCAGCTTTCACGGACGGCGTCTTATGGTCGAGAGCAGCTATGCACACCTCACTTATGGCTTCGAGGGTCGTCTGTTAATTAGGATGGTGGTGGTGATGATGAGGAGGAAGAGGAGGTAGAAACGATAATCCTAATGATGTGACGCTACTGATGATGTGGCCATGTCGTTCGAACCAACAATGTTCTATTTATTTCTTTATTTGTTTATTAATTTATCAAATCAATACAATTCTTACTTCAATAGACACGCAGTGCGTGGAAAAAAAAACCAGAAAAATATAAAAAAATGCATGGAAACAAATGAAGAAATGAAAGAGGATAAGAACGAACAGCCCGAAAGCAAGCATCTACTGTCTCTTTGAGAGCTTGCACAACATTTGCCTTCTTCTCCTTAAACTTCTCTATGGCCGTTTCAATGCACTGTTTTGAAATTAAAAATCATTTTATAGAAAAATTGAAATCATCAACGATGACATCTTCATCATCGTCAATGACATCATCATCACAATCACCACCATCACCGCTAACCCCAACAGCATGTGCTGAAAATTTTTTCCTGAGACCCAGAGCAATGAGAGTGATGCACTTAGCCGCAATAGCAACAAGGATTACATTCGTATCTTTGGATACAACCTGGGAAATAGGGATGGGATGATAACGAAGAAATAATATAAAATATTCCTAACAAATATATGCCAGAACTTTTTAAAACCCTCATTGGCAAGTAGAAAAATGAACAACCAGCCAGTCCTTAGTGTATAATTTGAAATCAGAAAAATACGAATTGATTGACACATCTAAAATAATTTACTAAACGATTAACACTTATCAATAATGATAATATTCAATGATTAAAACATTTCAACGATTTATTAACTCATAATTTATTCATTTATAATTCATTCAATCATAATTTCGAACCTTCTTAAGAGCTCTGACTAGGTCTCCATAATCACCATTCTCCAACTTTGGTACATCCACTAACTTCTGTATATCATCTAGGGCCTCTTTTCTATCTTGCCATTTTTTCTCCTCCTGCGTATGTGTGTATACATATGTGTGTGCTGTGTATGTTTGTGTGTGTATATATATATGCTCTCTCTCTCTCTCTCTCTCTCTCTCTCTCTCTCTCTCTCTCTCTCTCTCTGTATATGTGTGTGTATGTATATGTGTGTGGTATGCGCGTCTGTCTGTATGTAATTATGCGTGTATGTATGCATGTTTTACATAGTTAAAACTACTATAGCAAATGCACTATTATTATAACAAAATAGAAGACAAAGCATAACATAGCGTAACAACACATCCAGACATAGCATGGCATAACGTAAAAGTAAAAGGTTCAAACTCTAAAGTCAATTTCAAGCGCATCTAGAATCTATGTGGGAAAAAAAAGAAATGAAGAATGAAACCTTGAAATAACTGAAAATTGTTCAAAACAAATAAATAAATAAATAAATATATATATATATAGTATCAACTCTATGTTTTAACGCGGTTCAATTTTAAAAAGAAACAATAACAACAATAACATTAAAAATAATAATAACAAAAATATTAATAACATATTAAGAAATAATATGAATAATAAAATAACACTGACCACTTTCTCGTAGAAATCCTTCGGCAACTTGGCTAGTACGTTGACCGGGTCCATGAGGTCGTATGCATCAACTTCTTCGGCTACAATAGCACCTGAGTCTGTTGCTTGATCAATTGGTTTCATTGATTGGTTGCTTGACCAATTGGTTTCATTGATTGGTTGGTTGATTGGTTGGTTTCATTGAATGATTGGTTGGTTTCATTGATTGATTGATTAACTTGTCATTAATAACTTTCAAATTATAAATGCTTGATGAGTATAACTGGTAAATTGGTTGATCAAATTATTTGTAATGAGTTTTCTTTCTCCAACAGCCAGCCAGCCAGTCAACTGATCAACCAAATAGTCAACCATTCAACGAACTAACCGGTCAACAATTGAACCAACCAATCATACAATCAACTAAACCACCAACCATCCCCTCCTCCATCAACATTTCCAGCAGCTGCCCTCTCCAACATCTTAGCTTTGAGATCCTGCTGAGACCGTAGAAACCTCAGCTGCTGTGGCTTAGATGGAGGCACCTTCTCAAACTCTGCATCCAGCTCCGTGATCTGTGGAGAAGAAGAAACGAATGACAAAACAAATGATCAAGCAAGCAAACAAGCAAACAGACAGACAAAAAGACAAACAAACAAACAGACAGACAAACAGACATAAAAACAAACAGACAGACAGAGAGAGAGAGAGAGAGAGAGAGAGAGAGAGAGAGAGAGAGAGAGAGAGAGAAGCAAGCAATCAAACAAATAACGACAGCGAAAACGAACCTGGACAGGTTTAAGGTTAGTGAGTTGAGGTTTGAGGGCAGCTCCAATCCACTTATAGATCTCCACCACCAGTTGCTTGGTCTCATCCCTCACCACCTTGTCCCTATCCTCGAGCAGAACCTGCAGCTGTTTCAGTATCGGCTTCACTTGGATTATCTTCGTACCAAAATCTCTGAAGATAGATTTGAAAAAGTTTGGAAGTTATATTTGGAAAAATTTTTAAGGAAGTTCAAAAGTTACATTAAAAATCTTTGGGGAATTTAAAAATTTTAATGAGAAGGTTTAAAAAATAAAATAAATAGATAATGGAAATAAGTTTTAAATTAATAAAAATTGAGATAAGGACTTGATGTACATGATAAATCGTTACATGTGTCAAGTGATTTCAATAAATGAAAAAACTATGAACCTGAGGGCCTCTCTCAATGCAACCACACAAGCTGCCACAACTTTTGGCTGTTTGTTACTCAATCCTTTCATTAATTCCTCCTAATTTGAAAAATAAAAAAAACGTTTTTATCATAAAATCAAATATATTTGCATTAAAACTCAAGAAAAATGTTGATTTATTTCGAAAATTTGATTTATTTTTTGTTAATTTTTCATTTTATTTAATTTTTTGGTAATATTTCATTTTAAAAAGAAATTTAAGAAGTTATACTATAGAAATGTTTTTTTGTGTCACAAATTGGATTTATTTTTTGTTAGCATTTCACTTTAATTAATTTATTAATTGTTAATTTTTCATTTTAAAATAAAAGTTAGGAGGTAAAAATTTGAAGTTTGATCTGCAACCTGAACAATATCCTGCTTTTCAGCTTCAATGTAGGCCATCATAATTGCAATTCCTAAATCTTTTATTTTGGGTTTCTGGTTCAGACACTTGGCAACAATGCCACTGCACACTTCCCCAGCTGTCCTGCAAGAGTGAGAAGAAAAAGAATGCTTACTGGCTGAAAAAGTAAAATTAGAATTAGTAAAGAAATTTGTCATAGATTGTAGATCTAAATTTTTGTAACAATATTTCATCACCATTCTACGTTTGCATGTGTGTGTAAAAACCATCTCTAATGTGTCGCTTTTATGTTATAAAATATGCATGTTCAACATGCAATACAGCCATTAAGAGTTTTACTAATGCACAGTAGTAAAGGATAAAAAAATTATATTAATTATTTATACATAAATCTAAAATAAAATAAAATGAACAGATCTGATGAGGTAATTATAAAAGCTATTTCCATACTATTCATCACAATAACTAAGTAAATAAATAAACAAATAAATAAACTAATTTATTTATTTATCTATTAATAATTAAATAAATTAATTAAAAAATAAATAATACAATCCTTACTTTCCAGCATGGAATGAATTTTCAACAAACACCAGCGTGGCTTCTAGGCCTTTTTCCTGAGCAACAACATTTGCATCTGTGACAAACTTTTTCACTAATCCTAAATATTTTGAAAATTCAGGGCTCTTTTCATCGGTGAGTGTTTGGAAGAGTTTTATAAGTTCTTCGTAACCAGTGACTCTTGCTTTCCATGCCTGCAATATTAATATAATGTTTTATTATGAGACACTCATCATAATTGATAGTTTGATTTGGATTAGTGATTGATTTGATTATTTTATTAACCTTCTCTGTCTGATTAAATTTTTAAGCAAAATTATAACAATCTAGAAACATATAGACAAATGAATATAAAAAATGTAAAATGATTTCAGGGTGATGAAAATTAAAGTTACTTTGTGTTGACATTTCTCTTCAGTCGGTAGCTTCAGCCATTCTGAATCATCCCCCATTGTCCTAATTGATTAGGTTGGCAGATTGACTGACTGGTCAGAAAAATTAATATGAAAAATAAGAAGTTGATTGTCCAATCTTTTGTATTAATTTTCTTTTCAGGTTGTCTTGAAAAATTTAATAGTAGATTAAATGAAGAAATGTTAAATTTGAGATTCATTAAAAAAATAAAATGAAACTCTTGATTAACTATTTAATTAATTTAATATTTAACTTACCTTAACTTTTTTACTTCTTACTTGCTTGTATAAACAACTCAACTAACAGAGAACAGCAACAGAGAACAAGCAGACTGATGGCGCTTTTTCACGGGTAATTGATTTTTAAAGCTAGATGGATGAAAAATATTCTGATAAAGACTTATAAAATTAAATAAAAAATAATTTGAGGCAAATATTAAAAATCGTCAGAAAATATTCAAACAAATTGAAAAGTTCGGGCACTAACTTTTAAAAATAAAATTAAGAAATAAAATCTAATACGTAACCAAAAACAGTGAGTAACTTTTCATATGTAAACAATTTCTGCGTTTCATGGTGTATTTAAATAAAAATAACTTAAAAAAAATAAAACTTATTTCTGGAGTTAAATAAATCTAATTTAAATGTTCAACATTGTTTGAAAACATTTCTTCAATTTATTTATACTCTTTAATCCACATTTATTCAAAATTCAAAAATTGAAACTTCTAACAGTTTTGAACGCCTTTCGTTATTCTCTTCCTCGTTTAGATTCAAAAACTAATTCGCACTTCAATCAGGCAACATAATATATGAAAAAAAAACAATGGCGCTAGTAGAATTAAAAACGCATTATCACTTTGGATTGACGGCAGCTGTGTCTGGTTCTCTAATCTTTGTTAGCGACCACATAATTGCATACCCCAGCGGGGCAGGAGTCATCATACACAACATTGATTCCAACACGCAACAAGTTTGTCCTACAGTTTCAAGGAGCAGAGGTGTTACGGCTATGGCTTACTTTGAACCGAACAAAATATTAGCTGCGGCAGAGAAAGTATCAATAGAACAATATTGTTTGATCATAATTTTAAAATTTAGGAATTATTTAGGGCACATTAATGTAGTCTTGGAATCGCTTCTGTGAACGTACAGCTTACGCTTATGTACACGTGCCTAACAGCACCTGGTACATGCGTATAAAAGGTGGGAATCTCCTTTTGCGTTTAAACCAGGCCATTGTAAGGCAGAACCACGCATTCTATCCGCTACACACTTCACCGCCCACTTTTAAAATTTTTTAATTTTGTTACTTATTTTTTAATACTGATTAACAATAACATCGATTAACAAGTTATTAAACTTTCCATCAGAGTGATGGTGACAAACCATTCATAAGTTTCTTTGAAGTAGATTGGAATCAACTGAAGCGCCGAAAAGCGGTACAGCCCAACCAAATACAATCGGATAGATTTGAAAGTCTTAGTTTCTCGTCAGATGGGAAGTTTTTAGCGGCTATCGGGGGTCCACCTGACCACTTATTAGCCATTTGGATGTGGGACAGTAAGTCACAGGCTCTGGGAAAGATAAAACTCGCCAACTTTGCAACAGGTCTTCCACCTCCTATTCAGGGGATTGTGCCGAAAATACCTTTTTCGGTTAGCTTTTCTGACAGTCTTTTGCCGGTTTAAACTGAAATAACTTTTAAAATTTGTGTTTAATGATATTCAATGATAGATGTTTAAACTTAAAACTTTCACCGATTTCCTATACTTCTCTAAAAACTGCATAAAAATATCAATGTATTAAACAAATGTATCAAACAAATGTATCAAAGACATGTATTAAACAAATGAACGAAACAAATGTAGATCAGCTTCAATCCAGTAGACAGTCAACGTTTCGTAATCTTCGGTCGCGAGACATTGCGCCAGTACGTCATTCACATCTCAAACATCGTGCCCTATAAGCACTCGAGAAACGAAGGCCAACTAACTGCCTGGGTGGTCTGCCTCGCTTGGGTCAACGAGGACGCCATGTTGGTGGGACTGGATAGCAATACGGTGCAGCTGTACGAAGGTGGAGAGCTGAAACAGGAGTTTCGAATCTCCTATTTATCCGAGACAGATTTCATGTAAGCGTGTAAATAAATAAATGCCGGTAAAAACCATAATTAATGCAGTAATTTGTAAAATTTACATAATGAAGGCAATGATATTTATGATCATGGCGATGATGATGACAACAACGATGACGACGATTTTAGGTTGAGCGGCATAGAAGATCCAGACGAGTATGCCATACGTTGCATTAGCGTCTTCGAGAAAGGATTCGTATGCTCGTGTGGCCGAGGTAAGGTCCACATGTTTGAGAAGTCTGATGACGTCAACGAAAGATACAAAAAACTCAGAGAAATTGAGGTGTAACTCTTTTGTATTTGATCGCATCACCAATTATTTTCTCAAAGTTTGATTTATAATTCCGAAAAAAAACGAATTACAAGCATTGAAAAAATTATTTTATTTTACGACGAAAGTTGGTGCAGCGAACAACGAAAGGTGACACGGGTGGTTACGCCTTGACCCCCTTCATCACGGCTCTGACTCTCAACACGTCCCAAAAAGTCTTCGCCTGTTTGACGGATTCAGGATTCGTGTACGCGTATGATCTGCTCAAAGATTACAGAAAGGTATGAAAATATAATATATCATACTACCCTGGTACATTGAATGAAATTCAAACTTTGTTTCAATGCTCTCTTTTTTAGGTGTTAGTTGGTCTGCTAAGAGTTTGTTCTTTGGAAAAGTTATTCCGAATGTACAACATGTACAACACTTAAATTCCCCTTTCAGATATTATATTCCAATTTCATAAGCTGTACATATACATTCTTTATGTGCCTGTAAAATTATGCTGTGCTTTTTTGAAAAAGTTCTTTATTGAATTTTGAAATTAATGAAAATTCTGGTTAGCCTTATTTGATGCAGAACATTTATGTCGCGTCATATAGTTACAAAGCTATCGAAACAATAGGCAATCATATAACAAACGATATCTCGGCAGCTTTTTAATTAACAAATTATGTATTAATAACCTTTCAACAAACGATATAACAGCAAATATATTACAGCGAGGTAACACAAAACTCACACTGACGATTTAACGTAGGACGTGAAACCTCAGCTCTACTTGATAACATCGAGAGTCCACAATAAAGAGATAACCAGCGTGGATGTGTGCGTAAGGAAACCGCTGATCGTAACGAGCTCGCTGGACAAGACCGTACTGCTCTGGAACTATGTTACCTGGTTGGAATACAAGCAAGGATGGATGGGTGATGGGTTTTTTTTTAAGCGGCTGATGTTGTCACGGTTTTAGTGTCACCATCGTTACGAAATATCGGCTGGTACTGTTGTTCATGAGGGATGTTGATGTTCATTTTTCGTTTGTTTTACGGGTTGGTTTTTAAATATAGCCGAATAGTTATATTGAAATAACTAAACAAATTAGCTAATTAAACATGGAAACTCACAATATTATCGTGCTTAGCAATCATCTTTGTGCTAAATTCACACTAATCCATTTGATTCACTTTTTCTAAATATCAGGTAATAAACTCATTGCAAAGCATAAAATACTTCTTAATTTTCCGAAATAACAGCAACAAAGCAACAAATACAAAACATATAGTCCGTATAATGCAAAAACGTTGCAATTTATACCACACATACGCAGAAAATGAGATAAATTTACAAAAACTTGACAGCCACTTAGAGCTGTACAAGGAATTCGTAGAGCCGGTCTACAGCGTCTCGTTGCATCCAGATGGTCTCTGCTTGATTGCTGGTCTTGAGAAATCACTCAAGTTGATGAACATTTTCGTAGATGAAATCTATCTGCTGAGAACTTTCCAAGTTTCTAACTGTAGAACCGTTCGTTTATTTATTTAGTTTTTGATTCAAACGAGGGTAATTTTTTAATATTTAATGTTCTAAGCATCATTAATTTTTAACAACATTTCACCAATCGTTGAAAGTTGTTTTATCACAAATCTTGTATTCAAAACTTTCAAAGATTATTTTAAACAGCCATATATTTAACTCTCATTTTACATTAAGCCATTGAATTTCTTACACAATTTTTTTCACAACTCTCCAACTTTCAAGTGCCGCTTCTCAAATGGTGGCCAGTACTTCGCAGTAGCCAACTGGAGCGTCATTGAAATCTACTCATCTATAACCCTCCAAGTGGTCTACCATCTGCGCGGTCACGTCGACAGGGTCAATAGAATATTCTGGAGTAAGAATGACGTTCGTCTGGTCAGTGTCAGTGAAGATGGCGAGGCGTTTGAGTGGGACGTCTTGGCCTCTAAGAAAGTGTCCGAAAATGTTTTGAAGCACTGCCGATATTATGACACGTGTATCGAGGGCAAGTCCATATTCGTTGTTGGCTCTGATTTCGTCGTCAAGGAGATTCAAGATTCCACGGTACACAGTTTTTCCCAAGTTGAATGTAGTAATAGTAAAGTTGAGTGTTTTTGTTGACGTGTTTTTGTTGATGCGTTTTTGTTTTTCTGGTTTTATTTTTTATTCCTTTCAAGATTTTTCATTCTTCTTTAATATCGCTGCATAATATTTCAACTTTTCTAGCGTCTTATGTCTTACATCAAACGTAATATAACATCAATGCAAATAAGTTGAATTGCAAACGGCAAATAGCCATTAACGTTTTACGTAGGACGGTTAAGATGCCTGGCTCTGAAGTTGTATATGGAAGATTGTGAATAAAACCAAACAGATAACAAAGAGGTTTTCAGCCAATGGCATCCAGATAACTCGTATAGCCATCAACAATTTAGGTCGTTGCATGTTTCTGGGTCTCTGGACCGGGGCCCTCAGGTCTCTACAGTACCCACTAACTGAACCCGACGAATATTTGGAGTTTCAGGGTCACTTTGCCCCTATTACTGGAGTACGTTTGGGTGACTTTTGCTTGTGGATGTTAATTTTTCAATAGTTATTAGCAATGTCGTTTAATTCAATTATTCAATTTTGTTGAACTTTTTCTAGTTTTTGTTCGTTTTTGTAAAAGTTTCCATTTTATATATTATTACATAATCATAGACATCTTTTTATCATTCTATCGCACTAATTATTATAAGTTATTTATTCCAGGCCCACACAGTTCAAAAACTAAATAACCCATTTAAATTTTTAAAAATGAATATCAAAGTTAAATTTACTTGTTTATATAAAAACGAAATGAAACATTTCTAAACGAAACGATACGACAAAACAGTTAAGGGTGACACCTGACGACCAGTTGCTCGTCTCGATATCGGAAGATTCGGTAGTAATCGTTTGGACGATCGTCGATAGCAAGCTCATCACCCAATCAAAATTTGAGAACCTCTTCAGTAAGGAGGTTCTCGCTAATCCCATCGACCTCGAAGATAAGGTGGGATGAGGGTGATGACCATGATGATGATGATGAAGATGACGGTGAAGTTGATAATAATGACGATAAAAATGATGTAGATGACGATAATAACAATGATGATGATGACGATGACTTTAATATTTTGAGCTTATATAGCGCTAACCGATCTAACAAAAACCACATCAGATCACTCATCTTCCATATTATTTAACCAACCCCAACAAAAGAACAAGCGACTGAACCGGCTGGAGGTGAAAGTGGAGCAACTGAAGATGGAGAACCAGCTTCAACTGCACAACCGCGATGCCAAATATAACGACAACCTCGCCAAAGTCACGCACAAACTCAAGAGCGAATTGGAGCAAGTCAAGCAGAAAAATTTTGTAGGCTTCGTTTTTTTTCTTCAGAATTTTTTTTTCGGTTTATTATTTATTAATACAATTTGTTTATTAATATTATAATTTTATATAATAAATTTATTTTATTTAATTATTCATAAATATTGTAAGTTAAATCTGATGGACAGGATTTAGAGAAGGAGAATTCGGACGTGCAAGAGAAATACTCGCAGCATTTGAACGATATGATCAAGAAACTGAGAAGCGACTGTGCTCTCATCGGTTTGTTAATGTTTCTCTTATTTGTTCGTTCGTTCATCATTTTGTTGTTCGGTTTGCACGTTCTTTCATTCGTTCATTTATTCTTCTGTTTAATTGCTCATTAATCCGTGCATTTTTTTCATTCAATAACTCAAGCAAACATACATACAAACAAACATACAAACATGCATACAAACATACAAACAAACATACAAACATGCATACAAACATACAAACAAACAAACAAACAAACAAACAACAAACAACAATAGCACAAACTCACAAACACAACACAGAGCAGAAGAACAAGGACAAGTTGAAAGTGGAAGCGGAAAAGTACCAGGCACTACGAGAACAAGGCACCCAATCCCAGGAGGAATTCGAACAGGAGTTGGAAGAGAAGAATAAAAAACTGTCGTCACTTCAAAACTCTTTGGCTCTTACACTCGCGTCTATTAAATCAGAAGTTGGTTTGATTTTTTAATACTTTTTCCATCGTTTTTCTTATTAATAACATCACTAACGTTGTTATTATTAATATTTTAACTGTTGTTACTGGCATTTAGACTTTCATCATTTTCATCATTATCAAAATCATCATCTTCATCCCATCGCCACCGACAGCCTCTTCCTCCTCCTCCCAATCCGATGATAGCCTGGGAGAAGGAGATCTCGGAACTTGAAGATGACACGGATATGGAGTTGCTAAGTAGGAAGGAGACGTTCAAGGACCTCTTCGCTACTGAGAGTCAGGCTATCACTGAGTTAAATGTGTGTTCGTTTGCTTAGTTAGCTGGTCGCTCACTTGACTGTTTGTTTGTTTGTTTTTCACAGATAGATGTTCACCACTTGCACATATTTTACCATCATTTCATACTTGCACTGCACGGGCTGTACTGAGATGTAAATAATATATTCTTATTATATAATGCTATCTACATATGTTAATGTGTTTATTATTCGTTATATACTGGTAGAAGACTTAATTCTTGATAATATGTATTAAATTTCACCGATTTATTAGTGTTTATCAACTTGTGTTCAAATTTTTCAATTTGTCTTTAAAAATTATATTCATTATATATAAAACTGCATACTTGCTACTTGATTTAAAACACTCTTTCTGCCAAAAAATATATGACGGACATGACAAATTCGCAATGCGATCCCAATTTTCGTAAATTCGTTTTGACGATTTTTTGTTGTTTGTTGAAAAAAACCTACCCAGGAAGACATTGTGGTGCTGAAAAAGCAGGCAGCCAGTCTGAACAACATGACGAAGCAGCAGAAAAGGATTATAACAGCGAAGCAGCAGGATATGAACAAGCTACAATCTGAAATTCACACCACAGAGCAGAACATCGTGCAACTGAAGAAATTACTCCAAGAGAGAACAGAGGCACTCGACAACAGAGTATGTTGCACTAACTTTATCCTGATATGTCTCAATAAATATCTCTGTGCGAATGACAACTCAAACGACTGATGATACAGATTAATATTATGCATGGCAAATCTGTTTAACAAAAACAAAACACAGCTGCAAATGGAGGCTGAGTTGAAAGAAAAGAATCAAAACCTTGAGAAAGCAAAGTTTGTGTTGGACGTTAAAATGCAGGCACTTCAGAAACAGCTTGAACCAATGACATCGGAGATCAAATACTTAAGATTGCAAATATCTGCGGTTAGAAAGTGTTTCAAGCTTTAATAATTTTTTACTGTCCTTATTTAATTTGATTGTTTTCATGTTTCAACTCCATTTTTAAAACTTCGTGATCAGAAAGAAGTGGAACAAAACGAGCAGGTGAAACTTTTAGAGTTAAACTCGGAAGTAACATCCAGAGGCAAAGAGAAGCTGCAAACTATACAGGAGCAAGAATACAACGAAAAAGTCAAAGTCAGTTGTTGCGGTTGCTTATTGGAAATTTTCACCTCGTCATGCTGCGTTTGTTATCAACTTTCACGTCAATTATGTTTAGTATCCTTTCTAAGTGTTTCAGTTGTTTGTCCCATGAAGTAATTATTTTTTTAGGAAATGTGATACGACACGGGTTAATTGATAAATTGCGAAGTTTTTGGTTAACTGTGTTTTAACAATGCAATTTTTATTATTTTGAATAAAAATATTTTTAGGTCGTTGAAGCTATGAAAAAATGGAACCGGTTGGCCACCGATCTACAGACGTGCGCTTCCTCTCTCAACAAACCTAGACAACTCAAAAAAAAGATTTTTCAAATTTATAAGAAACACTTGAATCAGCTAAATGCCGTCAGTTCATCTTCAGTTTTATTCTATAAATTATCTTGAAAAAAATCAAACAAATTCTAAGATTCTATTTGATCGAATTTAAAATAACTTTTCTTATTTTTTTTTAGACCGAGAGTAATACGATAAATCGCGGGCAGCTCTGCGGCATGAACCCTCAGCGTGACCATTTGGAGTCACTGATAGCCAACCTAAAAAGCCAAATGACCAGAAACCAGTTGAAATACGACAACGACGACAAAATAATAATGAAACAGAATATCTTACTTATGCGAGAGATTAATGAATTGAGAAAAGAACTGAAAGACAATCAAGGAGTCATCAGTTTAATGACCGAAGCTTTAGAACTAGACAGACTCAATCCAAAAATGCCGACGCGCGATTTTCTAGACATGGTAATCAGTAAAACGTCTAACGCTAAGTTGTTTAAAAAAGTAGAAGAAATGAAAATAACAGTCGATGAAAAAATGAAAACGATAAAACAACTACAGCATGACAATTTGCAGTACAAAATTATCGACGACGTGTACGCTTCTATTTTTCAAGCGGAAGAAAAAAAAATTATTTCATCAGTTTTGCAGCTAAAAGACTTTTCTTTGAATAAAGAATGGTTGAACATGATGCCAAAGTCCGTTTATAAATCGAGCAACAGAGGTGCGAGCTCAAACTTATCAGTAGAGATGAAGAGTGAGATAGCCGCGGTGGCTGACAGACAAATGTCCAAAGATGTCCCACAAAAAACTGTTAATGATTATGTGACAAAACAGAAAGAAAAAAAATTTATTGTTGATACTAAGAAACAATCATTAAAAAAAATTAGCAATAGAAAACCTTCAAAAGCAAGTGAACTTTTTTCTCCGATTTCTAAATCTTCCAGCAGCACTAAATCGTCAGAATCCGAGACAGACTATAATCGGAAGCGCACGGAATCCATTGTTTCACCTGAAAAGAAGTACGAAGAAACAAGTGAAATTCAGCACGAGAAATATTTCCTTGATGATCGGTCTAATATTTGGCTCACCAAAATTGTAGATACGACCAAAGCTCAAATGGCATATCCGAAGAGAGCGGAATCACATGACCACTTACGTTTCTCGTTGACGTTTTCAGAAAGTGATAAGGATTTGATACATGATCCCAAAATATCGTCAGATGATGCAGCCAAGAAAATGGATCAGTCCACTGAAGCCTCTGAGGAAAATTTGAAGAAAGTGATGTTAGACCATGAAGATACAGCGGGAATATTAAATTTTGTTGAGTGCCCGGACGAGGTTGACGAACAGACTGAGTAATAACATTTCAAGCCGGATATATATGGCACCGGATATTGATTGGAAATGTACTTTGTACAAATAATGTGAAAACGAAACGATGTAAATAAACCAACAAATACCGAAAACCAATCAATACCTTTCAAATGTGGCAACCCCAAATCTTAATTGTAACTGAACTGTAATTCGAAATAATTAGTAACGATATTAGCAGTTTCTAAATTTATTATTATTCTTCTTTAGACAGAATTTTTTAGTTGGATGTGTAATCTATTTCATAAGGAATATTTATGGTGTTGGTATTTTAACTGTTTTCACGTTTATTCTTCACGTGTTATTTGAATATTTTTTTTATGCCGATAGCAATAAAACAGTTTATTTCGTTGAAAAAAATCCACTAAATTCTTAAAAAATAAATAATGCACCGAAAACGAGTTTAATACGCAATATAAATTAACATTTCCTCGATCGAACGAAAACAATAAAAATAATAGATGTCTATAAAACTGTTGAAGAAAAGGAAGAATTATAACATTATAAGAACGAATGGAATATATAGAGTTGTAAACTGAAAAACATGGCAGACTAAACGAAGCGCTAATCAATACAAAACTGCTGGTAAACAGTCGATGAAGTCATCATAATTTTGCCTTGGTTCAGTCTTTCGAAGGCTTTTTTGAAGTCTTCTGCGTCCAATTCGCCAAGGGAGGTGGGTATTGAACTGGTACTTGTGCTACGTATGAGAGGTATTTATTATTATACAATAATACGCCATGTAATTATCAATTTTTAAAATTAAATTTTTAAAATTTCACCATAACGTTGCTAATGATGTCGATGTTTGCTTTGATTTACGATTTTAAATTCATCTAACTATCACAAGAGGCATTTTCAAAACGTCTAAAAATCTAACTTGAAAAGATAAAAATCACAATTGAAATCAAATTGAAATCATAATTAAAATCAAAGTCACGAATATGAAAAATAGATTTCAACACAAGAAATTGAAAAAATTAAAAAAAAACATTTCTTCGGAGAGTTTGATCAACTTTCGAACTCTTAAGACGGCAGCGGCCCTACATAGCTCCCTCAGGTCACTACCGGACCAGCCCTCTGTTAGCACGGCAATCTCGTCCAAGTTTACAGAATGGTGGACCTGAAAAGTTAGGAATTGCACTAGGAACTAACACATCAACTAATTAAATTAATTAATTAATTAATAGAAAGTGAAAAAGGTGAGAAAAACTCGAATTGTAATGAAGAAAGAAAAAAAAGATCTAAAAAGTTAAAATTAAAATAATGATTTTTCAGAATGTAAAGACATGACACTCATCTGCTGATGAGAAACAAAATTACAAAAACGTTTTTTGACTGAGTGAGCATGAACAATAATTAACAGACTATAATGAGAAGTACGTCAAATAATATTATGCGTTTATATGAAAATAATCTTCAACTGCACTCACAGATTCATTTTGTAATACCAGCTTTAATATTTCCTTCCTCTGCTCAAGGTTCTGAATTAATTATTCTCTTACTTTAAATAAGATGAGATAATTAAATAAATGAAAGAAAATCAATCCGATAAATAGCCTTTTAAAAATACGGAATAAACCAAGCAATCAATTAATAAATGAAACCTAGAACATGCGATGAACCAAGCTATTTGACACCAATCAATCAATCAGCCAGCCAGCCAACTAATCAATCAATCTAACATCAATCAATCAATAAATCAACCAAATAATCATTCAATCGATCAATCAATCATATAATCACTCAATCAATTAAAAAAAATCAAGGACCAACCGGCAATCCAATATAAAATTTGCTTGGCATGCGTCTGAGAATGGCTGGATCTACGTCCTTAGGCCTGTTAGTGGCGCCGATGACGACGATTTGGCATCTGTCGTCGGTCGTAAGGCCATCCCAGAAACTCATGAACTGAGTTTTAATCATAGAGCTGGCCTCGTGATCGTCAAATGAACGCTGACGTAAGAAGGAATCTAAAGCGAAAAAAAAATTCGCGAGTTGATTACATATTTCAGATAAAAAATATTTTTTTTTAGATTTAAAAAAATTTAAATTTCGCCATTGCCACTGCCATTAAAACATTTTACTCGTTCATAAGCTCAAGAAAATATTTGTACTAGGCTTCTGTAGGGAGCATGAAAGGCAAGAAAATATTATATATAAAATGATTAAAACCATTGAACATAAATAAAATTATTAGAAAATGGATAAGGTTAATAACCAATTTCATCAATGAATATGATTGTCGGCTGCAGCTTTCTAGCCTGAAAATGTGTATATAAGTATGTTGCATGAATCATCATATGTATGTAATGTCAAATCACGCCATGTTAAATAAATTGTACTTCATTGTACAATTACTATTCATTAATAAGGCTTTAGAAATGTATCTACACTATGGCATTTGACAAATATATTGCAATGCATTGAAAATCAAATGAAATGACATAAAAAATGATTAAATATACAATAAAATGTACAATATACAATGTACTACATACACTCAAAAAAACATCATTTATAGTTTCTCAGTAACTGTATGAAGAGTATTATTGCTAGCGTTTACAAATAAACCTAAAAATCTCAGTATAAGTATCAAGTATTACTATAAGTACATAGCATATAATAGAAAAGAACATATAAAAAATAAAATAATTCAAACGAAATTGGAAAATTTTAGTAAACTAGCCTACAATCTATAACAATAAATCACAGTTTCAATCTTTCTTTTTCTCTTTGTCTCTCTCTCTCTCCCTCTCTCTCTTCTACATTATGTATAAATAAATTAATATAAAAAGGAGAGAGAGCGAAGAGAGAGAGAGAGAGAGAGAGAGAGAGAGAGAGAGAGAGAGAGAGAGAGAATAGTGTGACATAGTAGTGACCAGTGTAAAGATAGCTTCTGCCTTCTTTTGTGACTCTCCATACCACTTGTCAACCAAGGAGGAGACGTTAAGACTTAGAAATCTTGCACCTGTTGCAACAAATTTCATTGATTATGCATGACGCTATAATTATGGTTAATAATAATAATTAATGAATAAATTATGATAATTTCATTGACAATTATGAATAATATTGAAAAAAATTGAAATAGTAAAAAATGATCCAGATAGCCAACCTGTTGCTTTGGCGATTGCTTTTGCAATCATCGTCTTGCCACAACCGGGCGGTCCATAAAGGAGAACACCTATTTAAATATTTTATTTTATTTATTAAAAATAAAAAGTAATTTTTCCTTTTTCAAACATTGAGAAGATTTTTTAAAATAAAATGAACGAATATCCTATTAATAAAGTTTTGAAACTGAATTTTATACTTATTTTATCAAGCATTCTATTTATAGGTAGAGTGCTTTTTCTATGCTGGTATCCCAGCAAATTTTTAAAAAATGAATTAAAAATTGAATATAAATCATTAATTTAAAAATGGAACTATAATAAGTTGACAATAATTTTACATTATTTACACTTCTGATTCGATAGACCAAAGTTAAAAAATCCAAAACTCCAAAAAAGTATCTAAATCTCTAAAAAACAAACTAATATTAAATTAAATTTATAAATGGAACTATAATATGTTAATAATTTTATACTATTTACATTTCTCATTTGATAAACTATAATTTAAAAATTAAAAAACCCCTAAAAAATTGTCCCCAAAACTGACCTTTCGGCGGTTCAACGAGCCTAGTAGATGCAAACAGTTCCTTATGTTTGAATGGGTCGATGACGGCTTCCTTGATCTCCTCAATGATTTCCTGGAGGCCACCAATGTCCTTCCATTCGGTTTTCATCGAGGAAGGTATCACCAAGTTTGAAGCCATGCTCAGTTCATGCTCGGTTAACTTGGTTAATTTCGTTGTTGTGATAGCTAAGCAATTTAAATATTCATAATGAATTCATGCATACATTACACGAGCACACGCACGCACACACATTTACCTGTACATTAACTCCAATTTTCTTCATCAGAGCTTTCGCCTGCGAATGTCAAATAGACGTATCATGTTTACGTGTTATTGTTTAGTAATAGTATTGTCAAAAAAACTTTAAGTTATTTATTTAATAAATAAAAAAGAAAGTCAGATGAAGACAAAAGTTTTTTTAAATTAAAAAAAAAAATCATAGAATACAAACGGTGTTAACTGAAATTAGATAATTTCACTTACACGTAATTGGAACTCTTCATTGTCTTTCTTAGATGGGTCCAGTTGGTTGAACAACCACTTCAAACCATAATAAGATACCCCAATGGTTACTATGGTCCCTATGGTAGAGACAATCAGCTTGGTTATTAGTTCTTGTCTTTGCAGAGCCAATCTGGAAAAGTAAAAATTTTTATGAATTATATATCAGTTATATACATTTTTTGAAATGTAATGAAAATTGATTAGTCTACTTAAAATACTGCAAAAATGTCCACCAATGCTATCAATTTTCAACATAATTTTATAACATAGATGGAATGGAAATAATCAAATGAAATGAAGTAAGCTTACTCTAGTTTTTTAAAAGTAGTAGCCAAGTAGTCAGAACAAAGTATTTACTATAATAAGGCCACAAGGATAAATTTGATAGACAGACATAGAGGGAGATAAATAGTGATAGTGCATTAATAATTCAGGTGATCTGGTAATGCATGAATGAACCAATCAGTCATAATTTGCCCCAATTCACATTTCATTAGACAAAATTTGTTATAAAAACATTTACACGATTTTAATTTTATTGAGTGGATACCTTTTGATCTCTTCATCAATTGATGGAGCACTGTTGAAACCGAATTTAAAATTTTGAAATAATGTTTTAATTTCGTTCCATATTTCTGTGGTGGCTGTTGAGATCGGCTTGGAGGTTGTGGTAGACATTGTCTCTGCTGTTTGCAAGTGAATGATGAAATTCTTCTTAAAATTAGTTAGCTAGAAAGAGCACTTCTACTAATTTTTTAATTATTTTAAAAATAAAGAAAGAAAATAGTTGAAAGTGGAACTGGAAAGAGATCAAAGTTTTGCATACCAAAATCCTGAAATCCAAAGATTGGAAAAAGATGTGAAGACTAGAGTAGAAAAAATAAAGATCGAGAATTTTTAAAAAATAATTAAAATAATAAATATGACAATTAATAATGACAGAATAAAATAAAAAAGCGACGATCAGCAACACAAATGCGGAAGCAACGACGTACTCAGCTCATTCGTCTAAAAGTGACACCGACTGATGACAATTAAAAGTGAATTTTAATTAAAAAATTGAATTACATTTGCACGATATATTTGTTGTTGAGCATGCATAGGAGGACCATGCCGAAAAATAATTGTTTCCATAGATTCGAAGAAAGGTAATGTAAGTTTTTGTTCGTGCGATCATGCGATCGAGAGCAGGAGCGTTTTCTATTGACATTTATGTATGCATGAATGTATGAATGAATGAATGAACGCATAAATGAATGGATGAATGAATAGACAAACGAAAAAATGAATGAATTAATTCATAAACGAATGAACAAATGAAAGCCTTTATGAATGAACGAATAAAAAAAAATATGAATGAATGAGAGACGGAAGGAATGAATAAATGAGAAAAAGAACTAACGAATTAACAAACGAATGAATGAACAATTAGTTTCTACCTGAAAATCAGTAGCTGGATTTTTGAATATCTGTAGATAAGCGATACTGTAGACATGAATAGAAGGCCATAAAACAAAACAAAAATTCTTAGTTACAGTTCTTTTAAGGCAGACCATTGTTGAATAAAAAGCATTTTCATTATTTTTTTATATTCAAGGAGAATATTGATAAAGAAAGGACAAATTGACTAACCATTAGATAGTAGTAGACATCCTGTATTTAAAGATAACTTATGCCAGTGTTTTTCAAATTTGTTAGGGTTTGGTCCTCACAAAATATTAAATAACGTTATAGTTTTGCGTTTGGGTTCATTACGTGTTTGTATTTGTTAAGAGTTAGTTCAGAGTACATTTTTATACTTGCGCGCTGTTGAATTTGACAAAAATTTTTAAGGAAACTATCGAAACAAAAGAATCCTAGTTTGATTATTTTTAAAACATTTATCAATTGAATTCAGCAATATTTGCCGAGAAAGATCAATATATTCCATTAAAAGAAACAATGAGAGGCATGCGTCGCTTATTACACAAAACATTCATTTGATAGTTTTTTTTCTTGGATATTTATGAAAGCCAATATCACTTTGCTGTACCTGTACGAAAATAGAATAAATATATATTTCTTGCGATAGATCCACAAATCTAGATTTTTACGTGAAATGTATTTCATGGCAAATATTCAGTTGATTTTTTTTGTAAACGAAATTAGCGCTGAAATAAAATGGTTCCATAGGTCCGCAGAGAAAAATGTAGATTTTTGTTCGTGCGATCCAGTGATTGAGGACAGGAGCTGGTCCACGTTCTCGTTTCTAGAGGCCCTCATGTTGTGTTCAATGAGATGTTCACAAACAGCCAGCTGTGTGGCTTACAACTTCTTCAATGCTACCAATCAGTGCCAACTCTTCAATCAAACATTGAACAAGTTCTCTGTACTGCCCGGTTGTATAAATTATTTTAAAAAAGGTAATTTTCATTTAAAAATCTAATGTATCAGTAATTGACAAGCTGTTTTGTTATCGGCAACTCTCAAATGCCATAAATAGATGAAGAGAGAACTGAAATCATTCGACCGTTGACGATCACAGTGGACAACGAACTTGTGGAATTTTACGTCAACGGAATCAACGTGCCGATAGCTTTAAATTTCCCACATGCGAAGGACTGGAACATTCCTGATACATACAACCTTATTGGGAAAATAAAAATAATTGCACTCATGACATATAACTATGCTTTTGACGGTTAATGTGGTTTTTTGAAACTCGTCTTGTTTTCAGAGGCGTAGCTAGGTGGGGTGGCGGGGGGGTACATATGTTTCCGGGGGCCAAGTACAGGGGGCGCCAAAATGAGGCAGACAAAATTTTCACAAGAGTAAAGTATACAAATTATCTTTGACAATGACTTTATGTTCTATCTTTAAATGCAATGTTCCATTAAAATTTGAATTGTTTTTGTAAAAAGTAATTTCAACAATGTTAATGTAATAAAAAATGTGATTAAACATGGAGAGGGGAGAGGCGCCAATTTTATAGCTTGTCTCCAGGCGCAAAATACCCTGGCTACGCCTTCGCTTGTTTTTCATTATTAAGACTGGACTATAGAATTTATTAACAATTAATAACCTCAGGCGGTTTCATAGCAAGCACAGCAGACAACTACATCCTGACCAATTTAACTTGGAAATGTACCATGAACTATTACGATGGTTGGTACAAAATGAATTATAACGATTCATTCTGGCCTGCTACAAGAGTAGCTCCATGGCCAACCGCTAGCAATTATTACCCTCCCCTTTCCACTGAAGCCAATTGGATTGTTGATTCCACTGACTGCAAAAACTGTAACATTTACTGCAGAAAGAATTTAATCGGTAAATTTCAATTTTATGGTAGTTTATTTTTATGTAGTTAATTTATCAATTGTCATTATTATTTTTGTTATTACTATTAATTTTTTAATTAGAGGGGTATAATTTGTTGGCGGTTTGGGAACGATAGTTCGCGCCTTGCTATTTTCTTTTCATATGTTCAGTGTTCTTGATCGTGTTGAACAACTCTATTCGCACTTATTTACATTTAAAATTTTTTATTTACATTTATTTCAGAACTTGTTGAGAAAAACAGATGTCCATAGATATGAAAATCAGAATCCGGGATATCATAATTTTGGATCTTAGTGAATTTTTTTTAAACTTTAACACGAAAGATGGTAACATTTGGACACAATAATACTTTTATTTAATGATATTTTTAACTTTTTATACCAGCTTTTTCCGCAAAAAAGGAGTTTTAATTTTCTCTTTTTAGCAGCAGATTTCAATGTTTAATACAACTATCAATTTAGATAGCATATCTGCAATAGAATTTCTCTAATTGAATCTTCAAGTTTTTCAATAATGTTTGTGCTTTCAAGCGTAATATGGCAAACTGCAGTGTTATTCAACGGCAGGAGCAATTGTAATGCAATGGGCGAGAAAATTTTTAAAAATGTCTACTGATAATACATTACTGCTGATTTTTTGATTTATACTCTTTAACTTATTTTAAATTGAAGTACAACCTTGAACAATATAGGATTGAATGTAATTTATCTCAGCAACATGTAACGCTGAATTAATATGAACCGAAATATTAGTTTTATGTTATTTCGCTAGTGGAAATAGCACAAACTAACTAACGAAATGTTAAAAAATTTCTAAATTGTAATTTGAAACTTACTAATAAAGACAGCCAACTGAATTATTTAGTGCTTCAAGTTGGAAAGCAAAAAATGAAATCGTGAATGATATAGAAATGATATAGAATAACTTGGGCATTTTAAAAAAGCATTTATTTTGCCAAAAAAATGAAAATTTTAACTTTTTGAAAATAAACTGCACAAGTAGATATGGATTTGGTAATAAAATATTCACAACGTATTTAGAAAATTTTTGACAAGCACTACAATGCAGTTTGTTTTTCTACATAATGTAATATTCTGCATCAAGTTACATGCAACATATTAAAACATTATATTCTTGTTTGTTTATAATGTATTTATTTGATGAAACGCTAAATGATAAGATTTATTACTGTTAAGTTTATATCAAATTCTAAATAAATATGAATTTAATCATTTTGCTAGTGTTTTATATCAATATTATTGTGGCCAGGAATTGTTATCGTAAACTTGAAGATGGTGATGTAAGTTTTTGTTCGTGCGATCAAGCTATTGAAGATAGGATCTCGTTTCTAGAGGCCCTCATGTTGTGTTCAATGAGATGTTCACAAACAGCCAGCTGTGTGGCTTACAACTTCTTCAATGCCACCAATCAGTGCCAACTCTTCAATCAAACATTGAACAAGTTCTCTGTACTGCCCGGCTGCCAATATTATCTTAAGAAAGGTTTCGTGAATTTAATTATTGAATAAATTATTTAATTGATAATAACAATAGACAGACGCTGTACAAATACGTTTTTGCCATTTGATTCAGAAAACTCCCTAACTAACAAACCATTGACGATCACCGTGAACAATGAGCTCCTGGAATTTTACTTGAACGGAAAGAACATACCCGTTGCATCAAACTTTCCGAATGCTAAGATGTGGAACATTGCAGACACGTACAACATGACTGGCAACGTTCATGTTATCGCCCTCAAAACATACAACCAGGGTAAACGTGGTAGGCAGAGTTTTGCAAAAGTTATTTTGCTATATAAAATCTCTTTTTATTATTTGAAGTGATTTTAATTCAAAATTAATTTTAAAATTGTAGTTTGAAGTTGACAAATTGAAAAACTAATCTCTTCACAGGCGGTTTCATAGCCAGCACAGCAGACAACTACATCTTGACCAACGAAACTTGGAAATGTACCATGAACTATTACGATGGTTGGAACAAAATGAATTATAACGATTCGTTCTGGCCTGCTACAAGAGTAGCTCCATGGCCAACCGCCAGCAATTATTACCCTCCCCTTTCCAGTGCAGCCAAGTGGATCGTTGATTCCACTGACTGCAGCAACTGTAACATTTACTGCAGAAAGAGTTTAATCGGTAAATTTCAACTCTTTTTTATTATTTGCGCAACATAAATTTTAATAAAACTGTGTCATCTTATTTTTCAGAACTCCTTGAATCGAGCGGTTGTCAGTAGCCAAAGTTAATTTTGTGGTAGCAAATTGCTTATTGTAGCAACTGCTGATAAACAAATTAGTCGAACGTTTTCAAACTGTCATATTTCTATATTTTACGTTTATATATAGATATTTATTCCATTATGTGTTAAAAATAATAATAACACGTACACGCACTAACCACCACTTGTTTAGAGTTTAGTGCTTATTAACATAGTAATATTTTGTGTTTTATTGTTTTGATGTTAACTACTACTTTACATTTCATATTTTTCAATCGCAGATTCTATGAAAATTTACAATGTTTTTTTAGTTCTTTTGTAGCAATAAATTTCAAGTTGTTGTTTCAAAATGTTGAATGAAATTTCAATTAAATTATTTAGTTTGATATTTTACAGTAAAATTTATCTGTAACTCACTACTTTTTACAAAATTTAAAAAATTTTTGTAAGCCACTGTTGTAAGCGCATTTATTAAAATTAGATACACTTTCCATTTCCGAGCGTTTAATTTTTTTAATAGTGATTTCAATAAATTTTTCTGTACAAATATTCTTTGTAAGTAAGAGATATTATTCCGATTAAACTTTGATCTTTGTCAAAAAGTTCAAGTTTTTTAGTTTCAACAGCGCTCCTCAGTGAATTCTACTAACAGATAGGTCTTGAGATCCGCTCTGAACTTCGTAAGTAGGAGTAATGGAGGTAGATGGAGAAAGAGAAGAAAAGAGCCAAAAAAGGCAAACGCTTATTTAGCGTGAAACGCTGATGTACGCGTTTTTTATTACACAATTAAAATAATTAAAACGCTTACTCATTTTTATTTCACTCGCTAGTTGCTAATAATTCGAAAAGAACACCTCAAATTGTTAGATTTAAGTTGTACATACAGCTTAAGTAAACGCACTTATTTACTCGCCGAACTAGCTCGTTTGTCGTTTTATTTTAACCCGTAGATGATGAAGATGAACATGGAGATGATGAAAGTGAAGATAACGACGACGATGATGAAAGAAATGGCGTGGCGAGCTTCGAGACGTTAAACGAACTGCCGATTTATTACACGGCGATGACAAATGAGAAAACGAACAACAAATTTTTTTTTGGAAGAAACATGGAGGCATATTTTATTTCCTCAAACATTTATTTTTTTGGTTTCAATGCCTTCTACGTTCTTTCATGAGAAAATTGAAATAAATATTTAACAATGCAATGAAAAGAATATCGAGTGAATATTTTAAACAAAGGGAAAGTTTTACTTGTTCGTTTTTAATTTATGAAAATAAATGCAGTCTGCGAGAAATTATTTGAAACAAAGACACACACACACACACACACCACACACACACACACACACACACACACACACACACCAACACACACACACACACACACATACACACACACACACACACATACACCACACACACACCACACACATACACTCACACACACACACATACACCACACACACACACCACACACATACACTCACACACACACCATCCAATTTATAGACAGTTGCAAATTCATTCAAAAACATGCTTGGTATTGTTAACGGTTATTTATTATTTAGTTGCCATTGTTATCCAAAACTCAGGAGTCTGATACCGTTGTAAAAAAAAATTCATTGAAAAATTAAACACAAATATACCGAACTATTATACCCGCAAATTAATTTTATCAAGGAATTTTAATAAAATAAAATTTTCTTTCATATATCACCGTACTATTTTTAATTCTTGCTCTATCGCAAATGATGATGGTGTATGAAGATGTGCTGAGTAGAATGTATAATTCTCAAATGAATTGTTGCAATTAATATACAGCAATAGCTGTTATAACTCATTAGATACAAATCCCACAACATCAGAGAGAAAGAGAGAGAGAGAGAGAGAGAGAAAGAGAGAGAAAGTGAAGCCCAATGCATTTGCGGCTGTTAACATAAGGTGGTGAATTTGTCCAAACGTGAATTGGTTAAAAGATGTGTATACTGTTAATTATTTTGATACATATGCATGTCTGTGTAATCATTGCAAAGCAGCGATGTTTTAAACCATTCAAAGAAGATGATGTAGATTTTTGTTCGTGCGATCCAGCGATTGAGGACAGGAGCTGGTCCACGTTCTCGTTTCTAGAGGCCCTCATGTTGTGTTCAATGAGATGTTCACAAACAGCCAGCTGTGTGGCTTACAACTTCTTCAATGCCACCAATCAGTGCCAACTCTTCAATCAAACATTGAACAAGTTCTCTGTACTGCCCGGCTGTCAATATTATCTCAAGAGAGGTTTCATGAATTTAATTATTAAATAAATTATATAATTGATAATAACAATAGACAGACAATGTACAATAACGTTTTTGCCATTTGATTCAGAAAACTTCCCAAGTAACAAACCATTGACGATCACCGTGGACAATATGCTCCTTGAATTTTACTTGAACGGAAAGAACATACCCGTTGCATCAAACTTTCCGAATGCTAAGGTGTGGAACATTGCAGACACGTACAACATGACTGGCAACGTTCATGTTATCGCTCTCAAAACATTCAAAAACGCTTTTGATGGTAGGCAGAGTTTTGCAAATGTTATTTTGCTGTAATAAATCATTTCTTTATTTTAACCGATTTTAATTCAAGATTAATTTGAACATTAAAGTTGACAAATTGAAAAACTAATCTCTCCACAGGAGGTTTCATAGCCAGCACAGCAGACAACTACATCCTGACCAACAAAACTTGGAAATGTACCATGAACTATTACGATGGCTGGTACAAAATCGGTTATAATGATTCTATGTGGCCTGCTGCTCGCTATGCAATGTGGCCAACCAGCACGGATTACTATCCTCCTCTCTCTCTAGCAGCCAGGTGGATTACTGATTCCACTGTTTGTAAATCCTGCACCACCTATTGCCGTCTCAGTTTGATTAGTGAGTTTGTGTTATAGATTTTAACAAGAATTTGATAATAATAAAATTATTGGATCTGACTTTATTTTAAAATTTAACGTAACTTTAAAATCAATCACTTTCATATCCATGATCAGAGCTCGCAGCAAAAGAAACTTGTCAATTAGTTTGAAGATGCGGTCAACTAACTTTATATCCTAGTTTCGAATTAAGGTTACTCGGTTTAAAATTAAAAGTCAATCATTTTGAAATCGTGTAATTAAATATAGCAATAAAATTGACGATCGTTGTTTTATTTAGATAACGACACAAGCAAAACAAATCACTGTTTCAGAGATATAGGAAACTATTTTTTTACGGCAATTAAAAAGTATTTCATGATCCAGACAACATTGATAGATCAATATTTTTCAATAATGAACTTTAAAATTCTGATTTGATTTTTCAAGTAGAGTCTTCATAGTTGCCTAAATTCAACTTTTATTTTGTAAAATCTAATAGACATTGCTAAATGTGTATAAATGGAAATGAGTGGTAACATATGCAAACGTATTAAACAGGTGATTCTATGATGTTGATGTTATTTTAAAAATATTTTAATGATTTTTTACTTGCCCACATTCAAACAAAAACATAAATAAAAACATAAACATAAAAGTTACCATTATTTTTCAGTTAGAAAATTTATTTACGAATTTTTTGTTTGATTCTATGTTATATAGATAGATTGTCTTCAAAAGAGACTCTTTTTTGTCCATTTTGACATTCAATATTAGTCTACACAAATTCTTTTTCATAACTTGTTGAGAAAAGCAAATGTCCACTTTTGTATCTGAAGATCAGAATAACGGACATCATGATTTCAAATCTTAAAATATCAAACGTAAAAATTCGGTATTAAAACATTCACATCATGTTTAGCTAATTTTGACCAGCACTACATGGTTGTTTTTTTTTCAACCTTATGTAATTCAATTCTCTACCGATGTTACAAACATGTTAAAACAATTTCTTATTCGTTGCATATTTTCCAAATATTAATTGATATAAATATCAATCTATTTCTAAAAATGTCTGTGTATTTTTATTGATATTTAGATAAATAATAAGAAATTTCATTTTTAAACCAAGTTTATTTTGAAAAACCCAGTACCCCTAATCTCAAATCTAAAATCAGTTAACAATTTTCATCAACATACTAACATGAAAATTAATAAAAATTGCGTTAATAGCAATGTTAAATGAAATCTTCAGAAGTGAAATCATCATATCCGTTGTGAGGATTTCAGGTTATGAGAATTCTGATAATTCGAGAATTAGATTCACCGAGAAATGGAAACCCACGCAAATGGAAACTTATACATCCATTCACTCTTAGGGCTATTCAAGTCAACCAACCACAACATTAATTATCAAATCACCACTCAATCAACCTATCGAGATGAAACCTTCATCCTATACCAAGACACTTACAGATATATTAATACTCACTAATCACTTGTCACTTTTTCAATCTTATTTCTATTGATCAAATTATCATTTGAGAATTCAATATTGCTACATAGATTCCCTACTAAACGTTTCCATCACTGAACTAATATTTTATGGAAATAAATTTATTGATTCAAAAAGATCTGAATCAAAAATACAAACTGCATTTGTTTTTTCTGACCCTTTTCTCTGGAACTCTCTACCTCCTTCTCTGACAACTTCTCCATCACTTACGAAGTTCAGAGCGGATCTCAAGACCGATCTGTTTTCAAAATTCATTGAGGAGCGCTGTTGAACCTCGCGGAAATAGCGCTTTATAAACTAATTGATTGATTGGAGTCATTTTCAACGCAGAAAGAAAAAATTATAATTATCAGCTAAACAAATTGTCGGAATCAGACTCGTTTATATTCAAGAAGGAAAATTAGACATTGTGAATTCGCCATATAACGCATAGGTGTAAGAAAAGTGTGATTATTTTTGTACCTAAGGGTATCGAGCGTATAATAATTTCTATCTAAAATTTGTCTTTAGTTTGTCATGAGAATTTTTAAAAAATTTAAAACAAAACTGACACGAAACCGACAATTACGATAATTATAGATCGCACAAGGGGTAGGCACGTTAGTAATTTTAAATATTTGGCGATCCGCGTTTTTCTCTGTTTGAAATTACTACCATACAAATTTTAGATCGAGGCATGTAATTATCAGTTGGTTTGCTGAAAATGTGAGGGTTACTGCTGGCAAAAATGATAACGTTGATGATGAAAACAATTATTTATATATTTATTCTACAAATAGACATATGTGTATTATACCTAATATAAATATGTAGAATATTTTTTCAAATTGTTGACGCGTGAAACTTTAAAGTCTTTGTAAATTTAAAAAAGTACTGACAGTGACAGATAATTCTTGAGAACTTCACGATGTTTCAAATGTACCGACTCGAAGTTCTGCTTTTCGTCATTCGTACATGCATTACTGTGGCAAAATTAAATTGTTTTCAAAGGTTGGAAGAAGATAATGTAAGTTTTTGTTCGTGCGATCCAGCGATTGAGGACAGGAGCTGGTCCAAGTTCTCGTTTCTAGAGGCCCTCATGTTGTGTTCAATGAGATGTTCACAAACAGCCAGCTGTGTGGCTTACAACTTCTTCAATGCCACCAATCAGTGCCAACTCTTCAATCAAACATTGAACAAGTTCTCTGTACTGCCCGGCTGCCAATATTATCTCAAAAACGGTAAATAGATTAAATATGATTAAAGTTAGCATGAAAATATTTTGAAACTACTGTTCACAAACAGATAAAGATGGTATTCAAATTAAAAAACCACTGGCAATCCATGTTGTCGATGAACTAAAAGAATTCTATTTCAACGGAAACAACATTTCAGCAGAGTTGAATTTCGCAAACGCCAATAATTTCAAATTGTGTGACAGATGCGATCTGAATGGCAACATTTACGTGGTTGCTGTGAAGTCTTTCAACAGAGAGAACCAAGTTTCGTTGTCTAACAATTTCATCATATCACGCTATTCACTACAATCTCGAATTAGATAAAAAAATAATATTGAACATTTTATATCATAATTCAAAATCAAATAATTAAAAATCATAGGTAGTCTACTAGTCAGTTCTGATGACGACTTCCTCCTGACCAACGAAACTTGGAAATGTACCAAAAGCTATTACGATGGCTGGTACAAAATCAGTTACGATGATTCATTCTGGTCTGACGCGATCACGGTGTTACATCCAGAGAATACAGACAGAACCGGATGTTTGTCTCCGAAAGCGAAATGGATCATTGAATCCAGCAATTGTTCGGAATGCCTGTTTTACTGCAGAAAAAGATTTCTGAGTTAGATAATTTAAATAAAAAAATTTTTTAATCCAATTTGATAATGCTCAGCGTTTTTTAGTTAAGTTAAAATCTCAACTAAAATGTGGCAATAATTCAATAAACATTTGTATGCAAAATAAGAAATCTTCTTTTTTTAGAATTTTTGGACAAAAATACCTGTCATACTAACACAGATTCCTAGAAATTTTGTTCAACACTTTCAGTGAACGTGTTGTGCTTTAAAACATTCTGATGAAAAATATTATTTTCATGTTTTTTGACATTCTGAATTATTTTTCAAAATTCAGAGTAGCTTTTTATTAAAAAAACAGTTTTAATGTTGTAGATTACAAGTTTACTAGACTACACCAATATGTTAAATTTCATACTGGTTTGATTTTTATAAGAGAATCTGTTTTAAATTTCATACTGGTTTGATTTTTATAAGAGAATCTGTTTTTCTTGAAATGTGGTTTTCTTTAGATGCCCTTGAATAAATATGAACTCATTACTATTGGTCGATCAATTAGTTAAATTTTATTGCGAAACTTACACGCGGTGTTTCCCAAATGAAACTTCCTACTAGATTAATTCAGCAGGCAAACATACATCATGTAAAATAGAACAACATTTTTAAAAAGTTGATAAAATAAAATGATTTAAACTAAAAAAAATGGCAAAATATTATGTATTTCAAATGAAGAAAATTAACATTAACCGAGTTTCTGTTTCACAATTATTCAAAATTTCCACCTCCTAAACGAACTGTTGTTCCATTTTCATATGACTAATTTGCATCACAATTACACATCCATCCTTTGTAGCTTTTGAAAATTCTTTTGCTGAATGCTATCAAATTTTTTAAGCAATAATTTTTTGAGTAATAAATATAGAAAAATCTGACAATATAAATCGTATTTCTTGAAAAATTAGCTGTAAAAAGTTGTATATGGTGGGGATCAGAGAATATATCGTAGCCATAACGATGATTTGGAAATGGTATTAATATTACCACATTTCAACTACTACAAAGTGTTAAAGATGATCGGGTTTTGTGGAGGTCGATGGTAGCCAAGGCATGAGAAAGAAGAGGATGAAAAGCTATCATTACATGAAATGTGGTTGATGGTTGTTCATCTGATCACTGGCTAACTCTGTTAAAGCTAAGATATGAGCGGATAAGCTGATTACAAGTTTAAACCATGATCATTAGCGTAGCATAAGATTTTCTGACAGAGGACTTGATCTTGATCTTTTGGTTAAGTATGAGTCCTCTTGATCTTTTGGTAAAGTATGAAGACCTTTTTTTCCTGACCTGATTTCACAACTTTATTTTACTGAATATTCATTTTATAATGAGTTAAACATTTGATTGTTTAACTTTTACTAATTTTAAAAGTAAGTATAAATTTAAGATCACAATCTACTTACAAATGTTGAGGAGCTTTAAGTTATTCTGCTGTTTGAGAAACTTCTTGGATACATGTCTGAATATAAAAGTATATGAGATATTTTTTTGTTCGTAATAAGGTAGTTCAGTCAAACGCAGAACGGCTTACAAGTCATTCTATCCTTTACCCACAGTTAAACTTTTGTGCCACAAAGGTTGTCCTTTCAACGCCCCATGGCACTTCTACTGATTGATCTAATTCACTGACCATTATTGTATTTCATACTGTGTTTTATATCCCATTTTTAGCGTTCTTTATCGCATTTTATTTTGCATTTAAAGTTAATCATAAAACAAATTTTTCTTGAAAAAGTTCAAAAGAACTAACAATCAATGCCGTAGACAGTAGTAAACAATAAAAGACGACTTGATATTTTTATATTGGTATCTACGACCTATTGTTATGAATACAACAACAAAAGAGATGCCAAAAATTTATTTATGAATTTCTGGTCTATATCAAATCTACCTCGAGTTTCAAATTGTTATAAAAGACGGCTTACAGCTATTATGTAGTTGGAATGTATTTGAAAGAGTGTGTTCGGTGATTGTAAGTGTAGAGTTTGTTTTCATCACACTGTGCCAAATTTGAAGTCATACGTTATAGGGAAAATGTGTTATACAGCCTATCTCATGATCATTTTTGTAATGAAAACTTTTCTGGTAAATGCGAGTTGTGTACATAGGTTGGAAGAAAATAATGTGAGTTTTTGTTCGTGCGATCCAGCGATTGAGGACAGGAGCTGGTCCACGTTCTCGTTTCTAGAGGCCCTCATGTTGTGTTCAATGAGATGTTCACAAACAGCCAGCTGTGTGGCTTACAATTTCTTCAGTGCCACCAATCAGTGCCAACTCTTCAATCAAACATTGAACAAGTTCTCTGTAATGCCCGGCTGTCAATATTACTATAGAAAAGGTGAGCATTAATTATTTTAAACAATCGGTTGAATTTTGTGTATCTAATTAATAATACTTTCATATAAATTTCCGACAAATAATTGAAATTTAAGATTTATCAGCAACTGATAAAAATCTGACAATTGATGTGGACAATCAATTGGAAGAAATTTACATAAACGGCATTAACGTCATGTCAGCATTGAACTTTCCACATGCAAGTGAATGGAACATACCAGACGTGTACCATCTGAGAGGCGACTTGTTCGTCATTGCCGTCAAAGTATACAACGATCTTTATAGCGGTTGTTATTAATATTTTAAACTTTTTTGAATTTTGGAAAATTTAAATGTTTTAAATTTGCCTAAGTATTGATGCAAAAACACAACCCCATAACAGGAGGTGTAGTTATCCATACAGCAGACAACTACATCCTGACCAACAATACTTGGAAATGTACCAACAACTATGCTGATGGCTGGTACAAAATCATTTATAATGATTCGTTCTGGCCAGCTGCTAACGAGTTTTTAAATCCAGATTATAAGGGTTACATTGGAAATGCTAAATGGATATATGGACCAAATAAATGCGAGTACTGCAAATTTTTCTGCAGAAAGAGTTTCTTGAGTAATTTTTAAAATAATTTTTAGTGTCCACTAAAAAGATAACAAACATTGTTTTCTATATCCTTGCTATTCAGAACCGAATGATATGAAGAGTTGTCAATTGTACTGAAGAAGACAGTTGTAGAGATCGTGATTTTAATTATGAGATCGTCTTTTGTTTTTCCAATGACAAATTTTATAAACTTTGACGAAATGTTTTTTCCCTATATAAAGTGACACAATTTTGAGAACGTTGTTTTCTGTAAAACTATTCACTACTATGACAATATGGTCGATTGATTTTAAAACTTCACTCAATTTTACACATCCCGAAAGTCGCATGACGCCCAAATATGTGGTTTATTTTAAAACAAAACTATCTAAAACATACATTTGATACTTTTTAAAAAATATTATCCTCATAGCTCTTTCACCTTTCTAAGACATATTTCTAAGGTGAATTTAAAATGTTTTTTGCTTAGCTACGTGTATCTCAAACTGTTTAGCTCATATAAATAATCCTATCCATCTTATACGATGACGATAATGGTGATAAATACAATACAATGATGATGATAATTGAACCAACAGATAATGATAATAGTGATAACGATGATGATGGTGACAATTATGATACGAATGATGAAAAATTATTTGATTGACAAGACGTTTAGAAGTATTAAAATAACTTACAATGAAAATATTAAAGCACCTCTTTATTCCTACTGAAAATCTCACAGCAATAAAAATATTTTTTTATTCAAATTTTTTAAAAGTCAGCACTTAAATTTTAACGCATTAGCCATTAAGAAAACAATGGAATAGGTTGAAACGTATTGGTTGAATAAAGATGACGGTACGGCGGGGGGTAGCAAGAAGGGGCAAGCCCTACCTCGGCAGTGCCAGAAGTGTGCCATTTTAAGAGAGTACGTTGTAATTAAACTTCACTCTAGGTTTCGTCTCAACCTGTAATCGTCTAGTTTCAATGAATAGTCTCCATTTAAAGCATTCAAATCGCATCTCTTAACATTCATAAAGTTGAAGGCATATAAAATATACTGTGGAAAAAGGATGACGAAGATGATGACTATGATGATGAAGGTGATGAAGATGACTATGTTGATGGTAAAAATGGAAATGTCCATAGTTGCGATGATAACGACAATGCACATATATCATGGAAGTTGAGATAGTGAGAAAACGATGATGATGATATTGATGATGACAACGCTGATAATGTTGCTGATGGTGAGAAAAAGTGTTTGATAAACAAGGCAAGATGGAGTCTTGAAACGAACTACCGGTGCAATTACTTTGCGATGTTTTACTGACAAGTATCTATGCACTTTATAACTCCCATTAAAAATCTCGCAAAATAAAAATTTTTTTCTCTCCCTGCACTCGTAACTTAAAGTTTAACGCGTTAGCCATTAAGAAACAAATGCAACCAGCTATCAAATTATTCTCAACAATCGTTGTAGTTTCTTCTTTATTTCAGTAAAACTTTATTGACCGAATCAAAGTCTCATCTGACGTTGGCACCCCGGATTGAGTGAGAATGAGGATGAAGGGACCTAGCGAGAAGAATTGGGATAGGGAGCAAAACTGGGTAGATGTCCGGAGTGCAATTTGGAAAAGGCACATTTCCAAATACTCTTATATAAGAAAAAATACTATTTCCAAACTTCAACTGATTTCTTTGAACAACAATACATTTTTGGCGGATGTTTATAACGATGGTGATAATGATAATGAAAATTGATGATAATTAACTGAGTAAATGATATTGATGATAACGAGAATGGTGATAATTATGATAAAGAATAGAAGTGAAAATGTTGTTGAAAGTAGTGGTGATAAGAATAATCGTGGAATGACCTTGACGTGCTTTGAACAGCAAACAAATTTTCAAATTTGCACGCAAACAAGAAAATTAGCAAATAATGACTTTTGTGAAAGAAATACGCATAAATATTTAATTTTTAGTGCTATCTGAGTTCTTCAACAAAAATTCAAAATGTTATTTTCAAATGGAAGAGCAAAAAAAAACAAAAAGACATTTTTAACAAAATTTATATTTCATATTTTAGTTTATGTATAAAAACATATGCGGTTTCCTTCAGTGAGCTACGGAGCGTTCCTTAATCAAATATGTATCGAAGAGAAATTCTTATGATATATCTTCAAATAGGTTTGATCGTTGCCAAAATTAAATGCTTCCGCAGTTTCAAAGAAGATGATGTGAGGTTTTTTTCGTGCGATAAACCGATGGAGCACACGAGTTTGTCCCTCATGTTGTGTTCAATGAGATGTTCTCAAACGACCAGCTGTGTGGCTTACAACTTCTTCAATGCCACCAATCAGTGCCAACTCTTCAATCAAACATTGAACAAGTTTTCTGTACTGCCAGGCTGCCAATATTATCTCAGGAAAGGTAGAAAACTTGAAATATTTAACTAAATTATTATTAATATTAATCAAATTTAACGACAATTTTTAATAATTTTATTCAAATTTTGAAGATAAACCTGACTGGCTAACCTCCTGACAATCAATTTTATTTCAATGGAAAAAATATTTCTCTGCGGCCGAACTTTCCTCATGCTCTTGATATAACAACACCAGACAGATACAACTTGACTGGAAATGTTTACGTTGTAGCTGCCAAGTTGTACAAAGTGGTACAAAGCTATTTTGTGCATATTTATTACATAATTTACGTACGCCTGTTTTATTAATAATATATTAAAAAAAACCATTGTAGGACTGAATTTAACAACTATTTCTATTGCATGTTCCGATGGTGTCCCACTTTAGAATTTGTCACATTGTGACATTTGAAACTATTTCGTTTCTAAAATAAACATACGCTGAAGTTAACTAACAAGAACGTTTAAATTTTTTTTTTTAGAAATTTTATCGTGAAGATTGTACTTACCAGGCGTTTAAAATGAAATGTACTGCTGTAAATAACACCTTTGCGACAGAATGGTTAATTAAGTTTCCCTGATCAAAGGCAGAGTCCCATCAGTACAATCCTAATTAATGAATTGGAGGCAGTCATATGTTGAAGCAGTGGAAATATATCTCTTGCGTGTTTCGTTAGATACAACTGCAGAGATGAGTCGCTATAGCATGTATTTTGCAGGAACCATCTTAATCCTTATCAATTTGCAGGTTATTACAACCGAAATTCGTTTTCTTGCTTATATAATGCTAGGTTCAATAACTCGTTTCTATACAATCAAAGAAGATAATAATGCAAGTTTTTGTTCGTGCGATCCAGCGATTGAGGACATGAGCTGGTCCACGTTCTCGTTTATAGAGGCCCTCATGTTGTGTTCACAGAAACATTAATTTTAAATTTTATTCAATAAAATCTGTGGTAATAGCTGAAAATAATTATCAAAACTTGCAGTCTATCATTTTATTTATCTGTTTAATGGAAATTATCTTGATAGTTGCAAAGAAAAGGAAAACCGATGTGGATGACTGATGTTCACACGGCAATCATTTTATTGCTTTCATCAACATCAATCAACTCGTCAGCTTCAGCAGCTGACACTAAGTACCAAATGATAGGAGTGCCAGACAAGCCCATGTGCTTTGTTTCCGAACCTACCACAGTACTAAGCAACATCCGATCGTTACTGGAATGTTCTGCCGAATGTTCTAGGACCACTTGCAACGCATTCAACTACGTATCCAATAATGCTAATGATCCAGCCAAGTATTGCCAACTGTTCAACTTCAATTGCGAATTTGAATTCAAAACAGTTTCTAACGTATCCAATTGCAAAGCTTACAAGGCTGGTTAAACTGTTTTAAAAAAATTTTTATGTGAAATATATTTTTGAACATTGTTCACAATAATTTAACGTTAAATTTTTGAGATGTTCAAATGTAGGACGTCTCGAGCAAGAAAGCTTCATGTTAGTACAAATTGTTTTCATTCAAATTTTTCGCATTTATTAAAAAATGAACAATTTTCCTGAACGAAGAATTTTGTTTGATTTTATTTGCTTGAACCAAAGATTATCACCATTAAACGTTCCATCATTCAAATAAAAATAAATTTAACGTCTAATAAAAATAAGTAATATTAATTTAAAAAAATCTAAAAATATCTATTAAACGAAGTGTTGAAGATGTCGGTAGACGACGAATTAAAAGAGTTGTATGTGAACGGACTCAACATACCTGTGGTGCCAGCAACCTTTCCGAACGCTCTCCTATGGAACGTACCTGACACATACAAGCTGACATGCAGGGTCCTCTATGTTCTTGCAATGAAAGGATGGAACAATGGCTACTATGGTTATTACTGCAAATTATTTAATTTAAATTAAGAATACACGTTTTTTTAATGCAAATAATTTCTTGAACTAAAAATCTGTCTTTGTCATAAGTTTTTTATTGCCAAAAACGTTATAAGTTATATGTTATGTAAATAATCGATTGAACACAAGGTGGGTTTGTTGCCAGCACGGCAGACGACTACATCCTCACCAACAGTACTTGGAAATGTTCCATGACCTACTACGAAGGCTGGTACGAAATCAATTATAATGATTCGCTCTGGTCTGCTGCTTATTACGGTTCGGCGCAAGGTGACTCCGACATTAACTCACAACTCTCTGCCAAGGCCAAGTGGATCATTGATTCCACTGACTGCTTGGATTGCATCTTCTATTGTAGGAAGACAAGTTTTTTTTTATTTCTCGATCTTTAAATATCATCTGCAACCTGTTGATTTGTTCATCTCAGGTCTCTAATCGAAACTGAAAGATGACAAATGTGAAAATATTTTGTTGAAAAATTCTTCCTCTCACTATTCATCTTTAGTTATATATACTTTTCAGTTTAAATATATTTGATAATAATTTAACAATATATTGAAATTTTCTTGTTTGATGAATCTTTCCATATTCAAGAATGTTTAACAAACTTATTAACATGGTTTAATAACTGTTACTGTAGCATGTTTCAGAGTTTCACATGTTTAATAACTGTGGCGCATCTACATGTTCTGATCAACTTCAATGCACCCACCATGTTTTAAATATTTAATGTACATATTCAATCATTCATTATTCATTCATTCTCTCGCTCGTTCGTTCGTTCATTCGTTCATTCATACATTCGTTTATTCACTCACTCACTTATTCTTTTATTCAATGATTCGAAACGATTTTTTTTTAATTTTTATATACTTTCATAGCTGAACTATTAAGAAATGTACTTTTTGAAGCTGAAAACTACAATCGTAGATTTAATATTTTTTTTAATATTCCTGTATATATAACCATACGTTACTATGGAAATGTCGTCGATTGATTTTGAAACATTGTTTTTACATTTTAAAATTGCCATAATTTTTCTGTTAGTTTTAAAAATAAAACTTTTTGAAACGCTATTATTTTGCACCATTGCGTGATGAGTTCATTCATTCCTTATGATACTTGAGGATTCATAAATTTCTGGATCTTAAAAATCGGAGAAAAAAATTTGTTCATCACACGGGCTCAAACCTATAAAACAAATTTATACCCGATGACAACCGCCAACTATGAAATTTCTACTTTGTTACTAAATTGTCGTTAATAGTACGATTTTAATCAACTTTTCAATATGGATAGGATGTGGTAATTCTAATGATTGCTTTCCTTCAAAACGAACTCCGTTAAAAAATTATTCCTGTCAATTTTCATCCATCATTTTGGATGCTTTTTAAACCACTTACTATTCAGAATTAAAAACTTGGATGTATTCTATAAAATATTAAAATTGAATTAAACCCAGTTTTAACGAAATTTTTAAATTTTGAGAACGTTGCAAAACTTCATTACCGCTTGTTTTTATAACTGTTAGCAGAGCCTATTTAAAAGTTTCACATTATCAATTTTAAAGCGCCTTGTATCAAAAACTCATTTCATATACATTCTTATACCATCTTTATTTTCAGCACAGTTTCTGTCAACGGATGCGTTATAATTATAAAAAAAATGTTGTCAATTTCAATAAATATTTTATTGCTTCTGACATTGACATAGTTGCAATTGTGTGGGAATTTTTCAAAAAATAATTATCATCAAGTCATCTTACCGTACATAATAAAAACAGTTAATAAGAATCTGAAAAAATACGTCAAGCGTTAAGTCAGTGTTTGGTTTTTGTCAAAAATTCTCTTTTTATAACACAGCATTTATATAAAACTTGTTGATAGAATAGAACTGAAATCTTTGAGGTGTTGTGTTGCTGAGAGACTGTTGCAGATTTCTCCATCGGTAAACTACAGAATAATAAATAGAGTAATTTGGAGTCTGCACAATAACTAGGAGCCTCTATACCTGTGATAAATCCGGCCCTAACAGTATGCCAAAATTTTGCTAGCTTTTAATGGAAATGTACATTTAGTAATGGTTTGACTGTTTCCAGTCATTTCCTTCCTAACTTATGTTTTACGCCACGCACCGCGTTCGTATGAATGGATACATCGTTTAGGTTTTAAAAGTCCATTTGCTAATTGATTTTAAAAATTCTTAGAGTAGAATTTGAAAAAATGAAAGTTCTGCAAAATAGATATTTACTTCAGTAAATGTTTGACGGTTTCTCATCATTTCCTTCCAAACTATTGTTTGTAGACCGCGTTTGCATGAATGGTCCATGCATCGATTAGGTTTTAAAAGTCCATTAGCTAATTGACACGAAATATTTTAAAACAAAACATAGCAAAATAACAGTTTGGGTAGAATTAGCATTGTAAATAGTGACAAAGAAGAATATGATGCTATCGATGAAGAAAAGGTGACCAAGGAAGATAACCAGCCAATAAAAAAACCTGACACCTAATTTCCATCTAAGTTCATTTTGACAAAGTCAATTTCCAACTAAGTTCATTTTGACAAAGTCAATATTTCCTTATATAAACATGAAAAAAACAATGATGATGATTCATTCGGAATCGAAATATGGCCCTATTTGCAGCATGAATTCGGAAAATAAGTTTATTTTGAATTTTAGTAAACTAAACGTTCACCAAAAAACTTTAGGGAGAAAAATTGAAAAAACGAACTACAAACATATTAACGCCAAACATTCGGTAGAATTTATAGAATATTGTTAAAAAAAATATATATATAGTTATAATACATTTATAATGTTGTATTTACACATTCAAATTGTACAATTGCGTTATGGTGTGGTCTCAAATTATTTTGAATTTTCTCAGAAAAATTTAAACTTTTTACTAAATACTAACTTTTATAAACAATTTTAAAAAAATTTTAATTTGATTTCATCGCGATATCGATAATGATTTTTGTGACCTGACTGATTAAAAAGCAAGAAAGAAAATTTTTAAAATAGGTTGGAGAATTTGTTATATTGGGATATTCGTATATAAAGCGAGCAAAATTTTAATCTGCTTGGAATCGGATGTTAAGCAAGGTGTGGTCTCAAACTATTTTGAATTCCCGCCGAAAAATTTGAACTGCGTGCGTACATATTTAGCACTGGTTACAGTTGCTTTTATGATGAATTTATATTATATATATATATGTATATAAAAGTATATATATATATAAATTGACAAGAATCCATGTATGCAAATAATTAATAAGATTATAAACCTATTCTCATTGGCTCAGATTTGATTGGCTCGGCCTGAAATCTATCTGCTTGGCTCGGCTTGAGAGTCAGGCCGAGTGAAGCCGTATATATAAATATTTAAATTATACAAGTGATGTTAAGCAAGGTGTGGTCTTAAACTATCTTGAATTCCCGCCGAAAAATTTGAACTGCGTGCGTACATATATAGCACTGATTACTGTTGCTGTTATGATGAATTTATATATAATATATATATAAATATATATTTATTTAAATATATAAATTAACTAAAATCCATGTATACAAATAATTAACAAGATCAAATGTTTATATAAAAAGCAATACAGCAGATTCAACCAGCCAAGCAGAAAGTTTCGAAGGCGTTCGTTCGATAGTACGGTTAGCATTGTTGTTAAAACTGTATAGTGTAGCACATACATTAAACAAGTTTTTAACTGATGTGAATGATTGAAATGATGACAATGTATGGTTGAAACGAGTATAAATAGGGGCTGAGAGAGCGTTGAAATCAGATCAGGCATTTCTGCCTCGCTCAAGTCGGAGTGCCTGATCTCATTTTTTAATATTTATATTTTTTTAATTTATTTATTTTTATTTATTTTTGTATTATATAGAGTTATATAGAGTTATATAGAGTTATATAAAGTTTGCATGTCTGTGGTTTGTGCGTTTGTATGTTGTATTTTTTTTATATTTTAGGTGGGTTCTTTAGCGGTTGCTCATACATACATACATACATCATGATTGTTTGTGTGGTAGTATTTTATGTTCTTTTTTACTCCTTTTTCTCTTTCTTCATGAGACTTAAGTTGAGTTAATGAAACGTAGGTAGGTGAGATTGAGATTAATTTATTATATAGGTAGGCTAGGGCATAAGGTAATTTAGTTACATAGGTAGGTTAAGAACTTATATTCTTTTACTCTACTTGGTGGTGTGTTTTTTGTTTTGTGTTTTTTTTTGTTTTGTTTCATACCATACATATAACAGGTTCGCGGTGGTTCCTGGTTTTAGTGGGATTTTTATTGATTGAATGTGGTAGTATGCATGGTTATATAGAGTTATATAGAGTTATATAGAGTTATATAGTGTTATATAGAGTTATATAGAGTTATATAGAGTTATATAGAGTTATATAGAGTTATATAGAGTTATATAGAGTTATATAGAGTTATATAGAGTTATATAGAGTTATATAGAGTTATATAGAGTTATATAGAGTTATATAGAGTTATATAGAGTTATATAGAGTTATATAGAGTTATATAGAGTTATATAGAGTTATATAGAGTTATATAGAGCATAAATCTTATATAGATACCTTTCCTTGAGGTTCTTTTCTTTGCCGACCGGTCGGCTTCTTTGCGTTTCTCTATTTTCATTTCAATTAATTTAATAAATAAGATTTTTCCATTCATTTAGGTTCATTCAGGTTCATTCATTCAGGTTGAAGCTTCCAGAGGAGTTCATCGTGGAAGATCAAAATGGTTGTGATGTCACGCTACGTTCGTTCATTCAGTGGCAGAATGCTCGTCTGGCTGGGGTTCGTTTTACGGTTTCTTTGCGGTTCTTTTTTTGCCAGTTAGCTGGCTTTTCCGGCTGGCGGGTTTCACGTTTCTCTATTTTCATTTAAATTATTTAAATAAATATGATTTTTTTCATTTATTCATTTCATTCAGGTTGAAGCTTCCAGAAGAGTTCAGTGGCAAAGAACACACGCCTGGCTGGGATACGTTTTATTTTTTTTTCTCTGTAATTTAACATTAAGTAAGAATGCTCACACGCACACACACACACACACACACACACACAATTACATTACGTAGCTATATAGGTAGGTTAAATAGGCATAATTTTAATTGTAGGTAGGATAGATAGGAAGCATCCAACACTAATGTAGTTTAATAGGTAGGCGCGTAAGTTTAGCTCTTCTATTTTATCTTGCACTCACATTACACGCATCAGCGTATTACACACACACACACACACAAATACATACATAAACATATATGTTAGTATTTGAGCGTAATTTTATTTTCATTACACATTCTAATTTATTATTACTAAGGTTGAGAGTATTTTAATTTCATAGGTAGTTAAGGGCAATAATGTAATTCTAGGAACAATCTTGTAATGTAAATTAAAACGCTGTAAGTGTATCGATAGGTAGGTTAATTATAAGTTTTACATTATTATTATTATTATGTTGGAGCCCAAGGCATTACGTAGGTGGTGGGGTGGGTGCCGAAAGGCCAATGAATTGGGCTCTTGAGTTTTGTAATTTTAGGTAAGCTAGGGCCGTTATGTAATGAATAGGTAAGTTAAGGCACGTTTTAACACAAATTCAAAATAGATTTATGGTTTAAGTTTTATATTATTATTACTAAGTTGGAGCCCAAGGCATTACGTAGGTGGTGGGGTGGGTGCCGAAAGGCCAATGAATTGGGCTCTTGAGTTTTTTACTTTTAAGTAAGCTAGGGCTTAATTGTAATAAATAGGTAAGTTGAGGGTACGATAGCCGATAGACTCTGAATTTCGAAGTCTCTTGTCAGAGGTAAGCCTTGGTGGCCAGTGGTGAAACGGCAATGGTTTACTATCCGGACGGCAATGGTTTACTATCTGCACGGTAATGATTTACCATGCGGCATGGCCATAGTCTACTACCCGCACGGCTTCCGGACGGCAAATGGTTTACTATCCGCACCGCGATAGTCTACTATCCGCACGGCAATGGTTTACTATCCGGTGCCCTGGCTGTCGGTAAACCTCTGTGCAAGGAGGGAGAATGAAGGGGGACTTTCGACTATCGTACCATTAACATTTTAATATAAATTAGTTAAGGTAATTGAATAGGTAGATAGGATTATTTTTATTAAGCAATTTGAGATGCAGGCACCGCTAAACTTTCTGATGAGAATCTCCCTCTTTTTCCATTCCACGGGCTGTTTCATTATCAATCTCGAGGAGGACTGGCACCAGTTTTGGAGGACAACATTCTGCCTTTGTCGAATGGACGACGGTAAGTTTTTTTTACATTTTACTCTCTTTAATACTTAAAAATATTATTTATCTGCCATTATTTTCAATTTATTTTTTGCTTCTAAGGTTCTAACGTTCATTTACTACTACGCTAATAAAAAATTTTGTCTACAGAATGATGAGAGGTGGGTAGTGGTGGGCGTCAGCACGTTTCAGATGGTGGTCTCATGATGATTTACGTATGATGATGGTGGTGTAAAAAGAATCAGCTTGTTGGCTGTTCGACTGGCACACTAAAGTTCGGATGACATCTTGTGTGCCGACCAGATGGTGATGGTCGGTGCAATGTATTAGAGTAACGACGATTTTTGAAGTAAGTTTTAGTATCGTTTTTTTATTTCTCTCATTTATTCATTCAATCGTTCTTTTTATCACTCAATATTTCAAATTATTCTTCCATTAATTGATTCGTTAATTTATTCTATCCATTTATTCGTTCGTTTCTTTGTTCCTTGATTTACTACTACGCTAATAAAAAAACTTGTCTACAGAATGGTGAGAGGTGGGCTGTGGTCGGCATCAGACCGTTTCAGATAGTGGTCTCATGATGATCGTTCCGATGACAATTCGAGGAAAACAACAACGACGATTTTTGAAGTATGGCTTAGTTTCGTTTTTTTATTTTTCTCATTCATTCATTTTATCACTATTTTTCTAATTATTCCTCCATTAACTGATTCATTCATTCATTCTATTCATTCATTAAACCATTGATTGGTTAATTAATCGGTTAATTCATTCATTCAACCAATCATTCAGTTAATCATTTATTCGTTCGTTCCTTTGTTCCTTGATTTACTACTACGCTAATAAAAAACTTCTACAGAATGATGAGAGGTGGGCTGTGGTTGGCGTCAGCACGTTTCAGGTGGTGGTCTCATGATGGTCGTTCCGATGACAATTTGAAGATAACATTAATGGGAAATTTGTTTTTGTCCCATCGTACCTTTGAAAGTACTCAAATTCGAACAAGGGTTACTTTATTATTTATTATTTTTATTACTTTTTTCCAATGGCTTGTTACAATAGCACCAATACAACACACACGTACACTACATCCATTCATTCGTTGTTATGTTTCTCTTCAACTTTCTATTTTCTTTACCGGACTTAATTTAATTCATAGGTAAGTTAGGGATTGAGATGAGTTGAGCGATCGTAGGTAGGCTAGGGCTTAACATTAGTTAAAAAGTTTCAAGTAAAATAAAAAAATTAAAATATGTACAAAATAATACCTAAAACATGTAAAATTTCAAAAACATAATAATACAAATTTGTATGTAGGTGGGTGAATTGAGCTAATCATTATAGATAAGCTAGGGCCCTGAGAGTAATTTAATCGTAGGTAGGTGACTGACTACTATTCTTGCGACTTCTTACAAGTTTTTTGTGATGTGTTTGTATTTGCTTCACACCACCACACCACACACACAAACAAAACAAACTAAATTTTATTCTCGTCGTCGCCATGAATTTTATCTTTTTGGACAATTTTTCCAATGATGTCTATTTATTTATTTGTAAAATGTTGACTGGTTTTTGGTTTTTTTTATTTTGGTTATATAATTTTTGGTATTTCCTGATATATTTTTTATATAATTCTGTTTGGCATTATGATTTAGTCATTATGATATGCTGTGAACTGTTTTTTATTAAATGTTCATGTTGCGTGATTGTTCTCCGAGAACTACCGAGGAGTGTTATATTTGGTTGTTTAAAATCCGAATTTTTTTTAAATTGACGTTTTTTAAATTTAAATTTTTTGTCATTTTTCATTTTTGATTGGTATCAAATAAAAGCAACTGTTGTGTTTTTCTTTCTTTACTAAAATCTCAAAATTGTCAAAATTGACTGACTGATTTGATTGATTGATTGACTGACTGACTGACTGACTGACTGACTGACTGACTGACTGACTGACTGACTGACTGACTGACTGACTGACTGATTGATTGATTGATTGATTGTTACTGACGTGTTGTTTTGAGGAATTTATTAAGATCTTTCAATCAATTAATTAGTTTCTAAAGCGCTATTTCCGCGATGTTCAACAGTGCTAATCAGTGAATTTTGCAAATAGATGAGTCTTGAAATCTGCTCTGAACTAAGTAGAGAGTTCCAGAAAAAAGGACCAAAAAAAGCAAATACAGATTTAGCAAAAGAGTGTTTAACACGAGTTAAAAAGAAGTGGGAACAAGAAGACAATCGTAAACCGGGACGCTTAGGTTCAATTAATATATCTGATAAGTACTTAGGAAATAATTTAGAATGAGACTTAGAGAAGTTTGAGCATCAGATATGACACAAAAACTAAACTTGTGACTGAGCATGTTTTTTAGAAAATTTATTAATTTTTTATAATAAATTTGTAAGTCGATAAAATTTTAGCGTCAGATATGACAAAAACTAAACTTGTGACTGAGCTTGTTTTTTAAGGAGTTTTATATAAGCTGTCGGTAAGTCGATAAGGTTTGAGTGACTGGTATGACAAAAACTAAATTAGCGTCTTTTTGAGAATATTTATTAATTTGAAAGTCGATAAGTTTTGAGCGTCTGATAAGACAAACTATAACAGAAACTTTCGGTAAGTCGATAAGGTTTGAGCGTATGATCTGTTTTGAAAAATTTAGGGAAGGTAATGTAAGTTTTTGTTCGTGTGATCTAGAGATTGAAGACAGGAGCTGTTGAACATCGCGGAAATAGCGCTTTATAAGCTAATTGATTGATTGATTGATGATAACCAAATGACAATGATGCTATTTATAACGCTAAACAAAACGTAGATAAATAGATAGATAGATCTTGCACGCAAACCTGGCAAATGAAGCGACAAATGATGACCTTCGTCGTGAAAGAAATAAAAAAATTACTATATTATTCTTCGTGCGTTCTATTGTAAGATTTCCCTTCAATATTCCAAATAACTTTTTGTCTTTATGTTGAAAAGAAGCAACTAAAAAGCTTTCAAACAAAAAACAATTTGTTTTTCTTTTTTAAAAATACATCCGGCCTTTGAAAGAAAGACTCACGACTACTTTATTATGCACGTGTGCATACGTTAACAGCACACAGTAGTGGATCTAGACAATGTTAAGGGGGTCCATTGTTTGGAAAATTTTTACCAAATGTTTGCTAGTGTGGCCAAAATTAGGCTGGAAAACTTGCAAACATTTTTATTTTTGTTTATCAGACCAATATTTTTGATCAATTTGGTGTTTAGTATTTTTCTGTTTAAAAACTGCCTTTTACAGATTTATAATAAAAACAGCCCGGCACCCCCTTTAGATTCGCCACTGACATCTCTGCAAACCAAGATTCAAAATAGCGATCGTTTCTATATGTAGAAATGTTGCGTGTGTATGCATGCACGCATGCCCATTGTAAGCAATTTATATTTCTAGAATAAGTTAGTTTACCTTTTTTTTATTAAACTTGTATGAAAACAAGCTATTCAAACTTTAATTCATTAATCGTCAGTTGTGTATTGTGCAGAAATCTTTCTGATAACTTTTCAAGTATGTATGATCGTTGCCAAGATAAATTGTTTCAGCAGTTTCAAAGAAGATAATGTAAGTTTTTGATCGTGCGATCCAGCGATTGAGGACAGGAGCTGGTCCACGTTCTCGTTTCTAGAGGCCCTCATGTTGTGTTCAATGAGATGTTCACAAACAGCCAGCTGTGTGGCTTACAACTTCTTCAGTGCCACCAATCAGTGCCAACTCTTCAATCAAACATTGAACAAATTCTCCATACTGCCCGGCTGCCATTATTATCTCAAGAAAGGTTAAAGTAAAAATAAATGTAGATGCTAAGTAGAGCATTGCGTGATAATAACTTTTCTGCTAATTTTTTTTTTTGAAAACATTAACAATTCAGATTTATCTGCATTTGACATGAATATGACCAATGATGTGGACGATGAACTGAGAGAATTTTACATCAATGGCAAAAACATTTCGATAGCATCAAATTTCTCACACGTCAAAGACTGGACCGTACCAGACATCTACCATTTGAAAGGTAGCATGTTTGTTATTGCTCTCAAAATTTACAAGTTTTTTTGGGGTTAATATTATTTTAGAGTTATAGAGATTTAGATTTAGTTTTTCTCTAGTTGGACACAAATTTAAATGATGCTAACAGGAGGCGTAACTGTCAGATCACAAGACAACTACATCCTGACCAACAGCACTTGGAAATGTTCCATGAACTATACAGACGGATGGTACAAAATAATTTATAATGATTCGTTTTGGCCTGCTTCTAAGGAATACTTAAATTCTTCTTACCAAAATTCTATTGGGATATCTAAATGGATAACAGAGTCAAACAAATGCGAGCAGTGCATTTTTCACTGCAGGAAACGTTTTTTAGGTAATTTTTCAATTTTTCTTGGCAGCCAAGTAGTTATGATAGGGAAATTTAACTGTGGTACTTGCTCAACTTTTGCGGCCTTTGTGTCTAAAAATAAAATATGCTAATTGAGTGTTTAGTGCAGGTTATTTTCAATTAATTGTTAACACAGTAAGAAACGCAGAATAATAATTTATTCGAGCAGTAGGAATTTTCGTGTTAACCGTATTAGTCTTGTTTCCATTTAACTGTATACGATTTCAGCAAGGTGAATGTTTGCCAATTTAAAATTTAAAAAAATGTCCTATTGTCTGTTAGAAATTTGTTTGAAGGCCTAAATATTCATCTGCCAATTATGATTCCATGTTAAAACGGAATGATTGTTTGATGTGAATATCCTTCTTGCTTCCTGCTCCCATGTGAAGCTTACAATAAAAATGGTACGATAGGGCAATTCCAGTTTATAATTCTGTGTCGGCTGCTAAAATGTTTTAGTAGCTAAAATAACTTTTTTCAAATTAATTATTCAGATCTGACTGATATGAAGAGTTGTCAGAAATCAGTATTGGATTAATGAAGACAGATGATCGGATCTTATTTATTAAAGGATTTTTAAAATTTTCAATGTAATTGAACTTTATTATTTTAATCATAGGTAAATGCAAATTCATTTTGCGTTAGGAGCAGATATTGCCTGTAAAAAAAATACAATCGATTGATTTGAAGTCACGATGGAATAAAGTTGACATGTTTTTGCTAGTTTTAAAAATAAAACTATACAATTATTTTCATTTCGCAATGATGTTCCAGTTTTACATTTAAAAAAAAATCAATTTTCAGCGTGATCCTCAAAAGAATTTGAAGTTATGCTAGTGCCTCACCGACAAAAGCTGAAATTTCGGAGAGCAGTTGATGCGGAAATCTCAATGTTTTATTGAAACCAATTTTAAGATTATGTTTATTTGCATTTATACAAATTATTTAGCCTTTAAATTTAATTTATTAGTAAAACAATACTTTATTGCAGCTCTAATGGAACTAACAAAATATTTGCCCAATGTTTATTACCGATAAGATTGAACGTTTTTTTAAATAGTGCTTGTCTGCTTAGTTCCTGAATACAAAATTAGGTAAAAAACTTTTTATATGATGTTGATATTGATTTTAAAAAAAGAAAAATTTATTTCCAAACTTACAAATAACATTCTATAGGTGTGGTACAAGATATTGAGAACATTTTACTTTTAATGGCACAAGGTTATACAACTATTTTGTCAACGAAGAAATATGCTAAAATGAACGAAGTACTTTCGTCAAATAGTGCAGATACATCAAATTTTTACAAAAACCACTTTTTCTAAAAATATGAAAAATGGATTTAAATATTTTGTAAAATCAAAAATGGAAAAAAATGGAAAAATTGTGCTCGATTCGATTATTTTCGCCATGTTGTCGTGTGGCAGTGCCGTGATGGAGAAATTTAATGGATGAATTAATTATTCATAATTTTCTCTATTCATACAGACTCGCTTCAACAAGTGCTTTGAAAATTTTTTTGTTCAAAAATTCACCAGGTATAATAAATTTATGAACGTTTAATTTTTTTTTTAAATTTTCATTCGTTCGTTCATTTTCATTTTCGTTTTTGAATTATGAATTTTAAATTCGTGGAAGTTTTAATTTTGTTGGTGATGTGATGACATTGTGAGTGTGCTCATGGAATTTTCTATTTACTTATGAATTACTTATTTTGAAGTGTTGTTTTTTGGACTGAAGAAATTTCATTACTGTCGTTTCAAAGTAACCTCACAAAAGAACATTTTCTAAAAAATTTTCAGAATGTACTTTTTGAAAAGTCTTTCAATTTGTTGCTTAATTGCGAAAATTAACGTTGCTTATTTCGGTTGTTACCATAGACTCGAAGAAGATAATGTGAGTTTTTGTTCGTGCGATCCAGCGATTGAGGACAGGAGCTGGTCCACGTTCTCGTTTATAGAGGCCCTCATGTTGTGTTCAATGAGATGTTCACATACAGCCAGCTGTGTGGCTTACAACTTCTTCAATGCCACCAATCAGTGCCAACTCTTCAATCAAACATTGAACAAGTTCTCTGTAATGCCCGGCTGTCAATACTATCTCAGGGAAGGTAATTTATGGAACCCATTTAAAATTTTTCATTGAATCTTTTTGACCAAATTTTTAGACTATAATGTTATCAATAGTTGTATTCATAGCTGATAGATCAATAGCCAGAAATGTCATAAACATTACTGTGGACAACGAACTGAGGGAATTTTACTTCAACGGCAACAACATTTCTGTAGCTTCCAACTTTCCAAACGCAGTTTATTGGAACAGACCCGATTCGTACAACTTGGAAGGTGACATTCATGTGCTTGCCCTCAAGATGTACAACAACGAGTTTTCAGGTTAGTCTGCTTCAGAACTATCATTCAGTAAAGCAGAAAGTTCAACTGACTTAATTTATTGTATTAATGACTAAGCTAACTTGGCGACCGGTACCAATACTGTTGGCCTTGATTCTTTGAATTTTCACGTTCTGGCTCTGTTTGTCTTTAACGTCCATAGTAGCATTTACTATTGTTTTTGTATTTTTTTTAAATTTTAGTCTTACAATATTATTTGTAAACGTTTTTGTACATCTGCATCGACTTATTTATCCTTTATTTTCAACATTTGGTAAATTTTGAAGGAAATAGCTACGTGTTTAGTATAAACAAAATGAACACCACTTTAAAAATTTGTCGCTTGTTCATCGTTATTATAAATTAAATCTCGTAGACAGCTTATGTTAATATATCTGTATGAATGTGTCATATTGGTGAGTTTAATATTTATGCTTTGAACGAACAAAAACTCAACCTGTTTAGGGGGTTTCATAGCCAGCACACCGGATGATTACATCCTGACCAACGAAACTTGGAAATGTACCTTAGAATATTACGATGGCTGGTACAAAATCCACTACAATGATTCACTCTGGCCTGATGCAAAACTACAAATCTGGAACAAGGACGCCAAACTCCTGAAATCTTTCTCTCCTAACGCCAAATGGATTATTGATTCTACAGACTGCAAGAGCTGTTTATTCTTCTGTCGGAAAAGTCTTATTTGTAAGATCTTAGATATTTTTTAAAATTCTTAATTTAATAATGACCTACTTCTTCGTTCGAAACAGAGCTTCTAGGCAGATGCGATTAAATATGAAAAATAATATCCGGAGAAACTAAATTTTAAAAAATATCTTCTTTTCCTGACAAAAACTTTTTATATATTTAAAGGAAAAACATTTTAAATTTAAAAATGTTGTTTCTTATACGTTTATCAATTCATTATTACTAAACACATTTTATGATAAAATAACACCCAAAACCTACTAAAAATTGTAATTTCGTTGATACCGCGTATATGTTAATGTAGTTAGTATTGTTTCATTTCAATGGATATTTGTAATTTTAAATTTATCTCTGCACTAGTGAATGTAACACAATTATTATTGTTTTCACCATTTTTTAAGGTAACTATATTTATATCTTTATATTTTTATCACGTAAATGTAACAGGTATCGTTATAATCTTTTCTTGGAAAATCATTGCACTTTGTTGTAGTCGGGCACGTCTCTTTTATTACCTTTTTCTTATTTTACAATCAGCATGTTTTCATTACATAGTCGAAAATATTTTTTAAAGTTATCAATTATAAATATTAATTTATTTATTAAATTATTTAATTTTTGAAGATTAAGTGTTTCTGGGAGGAGAAACAATTTTTCAAAAACTTTTCCATTTCAGATTTTGCTGAATAGACAGTTTGTTTTAAATTGATTTTCCTCAGTGGCGACTTATATAGTTTTATTCGCGTTTTCGATTTTCTTTCCCTCGTTTATTCGTAAATCAATGAAGATAAAACGTTGTTTTGTTCTCTGTACCAAAGAAAAATTATTTTTAGTTTTTATCATTGTTTCGTTCTGAAATGTTTATTTGCATTCCGGAAGACAAAGCGGAAAACAATTCATAACCCTCGAGTCGTCAAAGATGCAGTGATTTAAAAATATGTGCGCTTGAACAAAATCTATAAAACTTTCTCGATCGCTTGTCAGTGGTTAGTTTTTGTAAGCATGTTAGTTGTCAAGTCAATCAAATAATGCTGGATCATTTATGCCAAATGGCTATAAGAAAGAACTTCCATATTGCAATCTCTATGTTTTTGATGGTATGTGTTTTTATGAAGTTGCCAGTGTGTGTTATTAGTTCGAAAAATTGTTTTCGAAGACTCGAAGAAGGGGATGTAGATTTTTGTTCGTGCGATCATTCGATTGAGGACAGGAGTTTGTCCACGTTCTCGTTTCTAGAGGCCCTCATGTTGTGTTCAATGAGATGCTCACAAACAGCCAGCTGTGTGGCTTACAACTTCTTCAATGCCACCAATCAGTGCCAACTCTTCAATCAAACATTGAACAAGTTCTCTGTAATGCCCGGCTGTCAATACTATCTCGAGAGAGGTGACGGTTTCAGGATGTTATTAATCATATTAACTGATAAATTTAATAAATACAGGTTAAAAAAGGTCAATAACACTCTTCCAAAGTTCAAAGGACTCAACAGAGCGCACAAATATCGTAAATGAATACGTGCTAAACGACGCATCACAAACGAAACGTGATGAGCGGAGACCTTTTTGTCACATTCGAACCCGGTTACTGCGAAACATCACCAGGCGACCTTAACCATTAGACCATCACGCCGCCCAGAAGATCAACAAATCTTTTCTTGCCATTTGATTCAGAAAACTTCCCAAGTAACAAACCATTGACGATCACCGTGGACAATATGCTCCTTGAATTTTACTTGAACGGAAAGAACATACCCGTTGCATCAAACTTTCCGAATGCTAAGGTGTGGAACATTGCAGACACGTACAACATGACTGGCAACGTTCATGTTATCGCTCTCAAAACATTCAAAAACGCTTTTGATGGTAGGCAGAGTTTTGCAAATGTTATTTTGCTGTAATAAATCATTTCTTTATTTTAACCGATTTTAATTCAAGATTAATTTGAACATTAAAGTTGACAAATTGAAAAACTAATCTCTCCACAGGAGGTTTCATAGCCAGCACAGCAGACAACTACATCCTCACCAACAAAACTTGGAAATGTACCATGAACTATTACGATGGCTGGTACAAAATCGGTTATAATGATTCTATGTGGCCTGCTGCTCGCTATGCAATGTGGCCAACCAGCACGGATTACTATCCTCCTCTCTCTCTAGCAGCCAGGTGGATTACTGATTCCACTGATTGTAAATCCTGCACCATCTATTGCTGCAGAAATTTTTTAGGTTGAATATTTTATAAATTTGTACGTTAAAAATTTTTTTGTTGTTTATTATGCAGTTTTAGCAAATGCTTAGTCGATTACATTTTATTCTTCATTGTCTTAGTTGCAATCAAACTTTAACTCTACTCTATCGCCATTTTAAATACACTAAGTTACACACACACAAACACACACCACAGGTACACACGCACACAAACAAACTCAAACGCACACAAATTTTTGTATGAACGCACAATCACTGCATCATGATGCACCGAATGCTACTTATGACTTTTGAATATCTGACAGGGTACATTTGAATCGGATCACCGCCCGATAGTAACGTGGCTGGCGAGATACGGCTCTTCTACCGTCTGAGCTACCGGACTAACCGTTTTAACTTTAAATATTATTTACCAAACTAATATTTATGAAAATAATTTATTACCTCTTCATATGACTCAGATCTGACCGGCAGAAACAAGTGTCAGTTGGTGAATTGAGAAAGTTCATGGTGATATGAAAAACGCCTCCATGAACTGGACTTTCATATTCATAAAACGATTGAAATAATTTCAATACTTTTACTTTTAAATTGAAAAATTATTATTTTTCGTTAAAGAATAGGTTGTAATCAAACTTAAATGTTGTTTAAAAAATGCACTCGCTGTAAATTCAAAATTTCTTTGGTATGATGTTCATTTTGGATAAAAAAATCATTTTTAATGGGTGTGTTAAATTGTATAATTTTCTTTGGTAAATGCCATTATGATTAAATTCTTAAAACAATAACGTAAAACATTATTAAAGATGTAAATTTTCATTTCAAGTTTAGAATAAATTTCAACAATTATGCATGCTGATAAACACTCAAACTATTGGTTGGTCGTTTAAACTGCTGTCCAAGATGTACTGGTACAGCCTATTCAATCAAAAGACAAATTCTACTTTAAAAGATAAAAAAGTGCGAGTTGCAATTAGGAAGATAGATTACATGATGTTATTTATAACGTGAATTTTAACGCACACACCACACACGCGCGCACACACTCGCAAACACATACACACGCGCAAACACACGCACACACAGACACACAAGCAACAATCAGACACAATTACATTTCTTTTTAACGTTCGATCGACTCCACGTAAAGACACTTTCACTCATAGCAGGTACAAGGAACAAAAACCTTATTAGCATTTCATCATTGTTCAAGCCTTGCATATTTATATATTGATCAGGAAAAAAACTAATGCGAATGGAAATAAGTATTTGGCCTTTTTTATCCCAATGACTTGAATTTTGACGACTAAAGAATAAATTAATAATGATTTTGAATGGTTGGGAATTTTTGTCCATTGTCTGTGTCCAAGACATTGTTTGTGAAACAACGAAAATTGTTAGTGTTTCCGGTGAATGATTTACAGCTATTGAATGAAACTATTGAAAAACTGAGCGTCATTCATTGTTGATTCGATGTTATTTATTTTACAGGAAGTTTCACAGGATGGAAGTTTTTTAAAGGGGGCTGAATGGTTTTGCAGGTTCAGAATGTCTTGTCAGTTCATGTGGGAGCTGTTCATAGATATGATCCAATGGTAAATGTTGTCGAATATTTTTGCCTCTCCAAAATTTTATATAAAAGTTAACATTCTAAAAGTTTAAAGATAATTAAATATTAAATAACAATGATATTAAATCTTTTAAAAGCGGTGGTTTTGTTAAATGTAATAAAAGCAAATACAAAGTGTTTTCGTAGTTTCAAAGAAGATAATGTTAGTTTTTGTTCGTGCGATCCAGCGATTGAGGACAGGAGCTGGTCCACGTTCTCGTTTCTAGAGGCCCTCATGTTGTGTTCAATAAGATGTTCACAAACAGCCAGCTGTGTGGCTTACAACTTCTTCAGTGCCACCAAGCAGTGCCAACTCTTCAATCAAACATTGAACAAGTTCTCTGTAGTGTCCGGCTGTCAATATTATCTCAAAAAAAGTGAATTTTAAACGAAAAAATTATAATTGAAATAATCAACACACTTTTAACAAATTTTTTATTAACAGCAGATGGACCTAAGATCAATAAAATTCTTTCAATAACTGTGGACGATATACTGGCAGAATTTTATTTCAACGGAAACAACATATCCTTACCATTATATTTTCCGAATGCAAATTATTTTGATAAACCTGATGCATACCAACTTATTGGCAATTTATACGTCATTGGCGTCAAGTCAGATAACAACCAAAATTCTGGTTAATTTGAAACAGAATTATTATTTCATTATCCCATTTTAAAATTCATAATCAAATAAACAGGTGGTATAATAGCTAGCACAGCAGACAACTACATCCTGACAAACGAAACTTGGAAATGTACGGAAAAGTATTATGTCGGTTGGTACAAAATCAATTACAACGACTCATTCTGGCCTGCTGCGGTACAATCAGTTTGGCAGGGTAACTTTTACATTAACTCATTATATTCCTCAATGACCAAATGGATCACCCATCTTAACGACCGTCCCTACTGCAATTTTTACTGCAGAAAAAATTTTATTGGTAAATTTTAATTATTTCATTGTTGACATCTCAAGATAATTTTCATCATCGTACCAAGTGTTGATAAAATATATTTTTACAGAAATGGTTGAGATGGAAAGATGTTTCCAAAATTAAAAGATTTTATCAAACTTGAAAGTTTGAAATTTATTACATCTCGTCATTACATCAACTAATGAAACAAAGCTAAAATATTTTTTGAGTTTGAACAATTTAATTTGTCATTAATCAGCAAAATTGTTAGTCCAGAGTTTAGCTGTTTGTTCATTTTTCTGTTGTGTTGTAAAATAAAATTGAAATCAGCTTGTTTACAACGAGGTTTTCGTTGTCTAACTACTGAGTAACATGTACATAAGGTGCTGACAATATAAAGAAATAAATTTGAAATAGTTCATTTTTCTTTAGGATATCGATTGAGTTATTTTTGAATCTCGCTATAATAAAACACACTTCCTCCGTGTTTGTCGGCAGAAAATTCTCAACAATAGCGAGACATTATTAGTATGAGCTAATGACCATCTTACAATGAAACCAATGACTAGAAGGTCATTCAAAAAGAGAGCAAAGATGATTTTGAAATACCTCTAAGACATATTTAGTGAAAAAAAAATGATCATAAAATACTTGATAGCTTGTGTTGATAAACAAACTTTTTGAATTGTTTTTTGTTAACTGTTTGAATGCAGTCGTGTGTAGTTTGCACGCATGTAAGAGGACAAACATGCATCATAACACTCAGTAATAACAAAACAAAACAAAAATTATAAAAAAGCAACTTAGCGTCATCAATCGATAAAAAGCGCGCAAAAAATGCGAACAAAAGCTAATGAGCGAGACCTGCCAACCGAGCATTTCTCAACAATAGACTTTACATTTGGTAAATTTTCATTCTTTCGCAATGACTTCTAAAAATCGATATTTTCTCTACTCAAATTCTTATAAGACATTTTTCTTCATTCAAAATGTTAAACATTTGGATGCATTTTGATTAAAAAATATAGTTTCAACATGTATTTGATGCTAATTATATTGTTGAATTTTCAAATTAATATTGTTTTAGCGATTTTGAAATGTTTTTCTAAACTCCTAGAGAATGAGGTAAATTTTTGTTCGTGCGATCCAGCGATTGAGGACAGGAGCTTGTCCACGTTCTCGTTTCTAGAGGCCCTCATGTTGTGTTCAATGAGATGTTCACAAACAGCCAGCTGTGTGGCTTACAACTTCTTCAATGCCACCAATCAGTGCCAACTCTTCAATCAAACATTGAACAAGTTCTCTGTACTGCCCGGCTGTCAATATTATCTCAAGAGAGGTTAAACTTGAGATAATTTCACTTTCCATAATTTATAAACACTTCAACCTTATCAATATTTATAATTGCAGTTGATGGATTACTAGCCAACCATATCCTGAATATAACTGTGGACAACGAACTGAGAGAATTTTACTTCAACGGCAACAACATTTCTGTAGCTTCCAACTTTCCAAACGCAGTTTATTGGAACCAGCCTGATTCTTACAACTTGGAAGTTGGTGACATTCATGTGCTTGCCTTCAAGATATACAACAACGAGTACACTGGTTAGTAGATTTCTTTTAAATATTTGATATGCAACTGTAAAAAATTATTAAAAAACAAGGTTAAAAACTAATGTTACGTCTTAATGGTGCTTGGCTTAGGCGTGTTAAGACTTCATTAAACTATTTGTAGTATAAAGATCATATAAAGCTAAACATCATGTCAGTCAGTACTACGAACCAGAATCAGTAAATTTTATAGTCCATATTTCTGGAAATACAGTTTAATAACACAAATAAACGCGGTTGCTATAAAGCAGCTACACACGTGTAGCATCTAAACAAATAAGAATAAAATATATTTTAGCATAAGTCCTGACCACCCAATCGAAATATTTTTTAAATTATATTTTTCCATAAAATAGAAATGACTTTTGAAAAACATTTTTCCAAAACAGTGAGAGCTATAAACTTTTGCAGTTTATGCAAAGAACCTTTCGTAGCTTTTAAACAAAAAATAATAATTCATCGATTTAGGTGGTTTCATAGCCAGCACACCAGATGATTACATCCTGACCAACGAAACTTGGAAATGTACCTTAGAATATTACGATGGCTGGTACAAAATCCACTACAATGATTCATTCTGGCCTGATGCAAAACTACAAATCTGGAACAAGGACGCCAAACTCCTGACGTATTTCTCCCCTAACGCCAAATGGATTATTGATTCTACAGACTGCAGAAGCTGTTTATTTTATTGCAGGAAGAATTTTATTGGTATGTTGAAGTTTCTCACAAATTTTACAAATTAAAAACTTGATTAAAATCTTCAGTATAATTTTTTACCTATTTAATACAGAACTACTCAATAGATGTGACAAGGACAATTGAAAAAATGATTCGTCGTGAGATAACTTCAATCACGGATTAATATCAAAAAATTTTATCTAAAAAATTTATTAAAATAAATTTTAAAAATATATCTTAGCTTTTTGATCACAAAGTATTCATCATCATTAAAAAGAACGACTAGTGTGAAAACATTCTGTTAAAAACTTCTTCCTCTCACTATTCATCTGCACGATCCAGCATATGCTGAATGAAAAAAAATGTTTTATGAAATGTTGTAAAAGATTCGTCAATCTGATTCAGCAAGGTCAAACAAGTTACACGTTTTTGTGGGCGTCTCAGGCTTGCACTAAAGCACGCAACACGCACACGCATTTTGTTTTGTTATTTATTTTCATATTGGTTTGTTTTTCATTTAAATAATGAGGATGTTGATGACGACAATTTTTGCGACAAAAAATGACATGTATTTTAGTTGTCGCGTTATTGTATGAGATATTAATGATTGCGATGCATACAACTTGTCCCGTTTTAGAATACACACACATTACACACCACACACACACACATACACACCACACACACACACACCATTAAGGCACAATGCTTAATACGTAACATTAGTTTTTAATTTTTGGTTGAACTTCATTGTTTTTCAATAATTTTTTTACAGTTGCAATTCAAATATTTAAAAAAATTTACTTAAACCCCTGAACTCGTTGTTGTACATCTTGAGGGCAAATACATAGAGGTCCCCTTCCAAGTTGTAGAAGTGTTGGAAAATGTTCAAAGACGGGCAACCCGGATGCTCAACAATTGTGAAAGACTTTCATATGAGGAAAGATTGAAGAGATGTGGACGGACAACCTTGGACAAACGTAGGACTAGGAGAACTCTCATTCAGACGTACAAAATTATAACGAGTAAAAAAGAGATAGATTCATTCCTATTCTTCCAATCTAGAGAAAGTAGATATACAAGAGGGCACCAGTACAAGTTTTTCAAAGAAAGGTTAGGAACAATAGAAGAGAAATTTTTCAGTTCGAGAGTTATCGAAAATTGGAATAAGCTGGACGAAAAAACTGTAACAGCTCCTGCGACGAAGGAGTTCAAAGTCAGACATGGAAGATTGGGATTTTAAATCCATATTATTAGTCAAAATCGTTCCAGTGGCTCTTACACAGAGATATCTACTGAACCACTATAATTCTTGTTTTGTTAATTCTTGTCGTCATTATTTATTTTATTAAAGTTAGAATAACATTGAGTTTTCCAATTCATTCTCGAGTGTATATGACCTATTTCGATTTTTCAATCATCTTCAGCACTTGTTGCAGTTTATATAGGGAATTTGTATAACCCAGTAATTTGTATATGTTCCTGCAATTTGCATTTATTGCTGTTGGTGACTTTTGTTAATTTTACTCTCTTCTTTATTTATTGATATGGTTTCTTTGTTCGGGCTGGTTACCTTGTTGCTATTTTTTATTGCTTTAGTGTTAGTTTTATTGCTTTGGCATCATTTACTTACTCTTTGGTCGATGCTGCATTCTTCAGTGTCTTCATCGGTACCATTGTTGTTGTTAGTATATTTTCTTATTGTCCTTCTTGTTTTATGCCGGTGAGAATGGCTTCAACTAATTTCAGATGGAAATGGCTGGAATTACAGTATATTATTTTGGAGTTGTTGTCCAGGATTTCTTTTGTAGTTTCAATATTATGTGTGTGTGTGTGTGTGTTACAAGTGTGTTTTTATAGAACCTTCCCTTATGTACATGGTCAGACGTCTAGTAAGCGATGTTGTAGTTACTCAGATATATGAAACATCCTGACGTGAAATCTAAACCTGACGTCATTTGAAGGAAACGTACCGGTATTATGATGGTGGAAATGTGAAATTTTGAAATAAATGTAGAATTTGTGGACCAATTTCATATAAAAAATGTTTCTTCTCATTTTATTTTAAAAATTATGATTAAATATTAAATTTGTTCAAAAAACTATAGTAAAAAAAAGTAAAATTATATTATAAATGTTACTGTTATAGTTGGAGTAGAAAGGACATTACAATGATTGGACTATAAATAATTTATTCCATTTATTCAGACTCCAGAGATACAATTTTATTCTTTTTTAATTTTCTACCGCCTAAATTTTTTATAAATACAGTATAGTTTACTTATTGCAGAGATCAATTATGAATCAGTTGAAACTGCTGATGGCCATTGCACAGATACAATTTAGCGTGGCCAACATTAATTGTTTTCAAAAATTTGAAGAAGATAATGTAAGTTTTTGTTCGTGCGATCCAGCGATTGAGGACAGGAGCTGGTCCACGTTCTCGTTTCTAGAGGCCCTCATGTTGTGTTCAATGAGATGTTCACAAACAGCCAGCTGTGTGGCTTACAACTTCTTCAATGCCACCAATCAGTGCCAACTCTTCAATCAAACATTGAACAAGTTCTCTGTAGTGTCCGGCTGCCAATATTATGCAAAAAACGATAAATAAGTTTTTAATTACTCTGTTCTCAAAATTTAACTGTCAATAACAATTTTAATTAACTCAGTTGAATTATCAAAAAAATTCAGCTGAAGGAACAACTAATTAATTGTCTTATTAACTAATAAATTAATTAAACTACTCACTAAACTAACGCTAACGCTAACAGATTTTTATTTCAATTATTTCATTGGTTTAATAGAAATTAATTAATTACTTGCCAATGCTTGCCAATAAAGTTGGGTTCCAAAAGTTGGAGCTCCTGCTGACAATCAACGCCGACAACGAGATAAGAGAGTTCTACGTGAACGGAGAGAACATCTCCGTGGCCTTGAACTTTCCACACGCTAACCAGTGGGACATTCCTGACTCGTACAACCTCGCTGGCAGTCTGCATGCTCTTGCCGTTAAATCTTACAACAATGCCTACACTGGTTAATACGATGTTGTTCATTTTTTTAATAATCAAGTTCAAACAAACGACCGCGAATTAAAATCCTATTCAGATTGACAATTCGGAAGGTTTAAATTAACTACCTCAAATGTACTTGCCTCAAACAAATCACACATCTTAACACATTCCATCCGATAAGCGACGATCTTACTGCACTTGAATACGGTCAAGGCATAGCAGCACCTACCTACCTGACGCCTTTAACCGTTACACCACCACGCAATTTAACGTCTGCTAAATTTATTCTCAACGCATGTATGTATATTAAGATGGTAATATTATAATATGAGCGAGAATATCTATATTAACAGAAAACTTGATTATCAAGCAATGCATTTCAAATCGTAAATATGAATTCACTTTTTTTTATTTAAAAATACTGTTAATTGTATCTAAAACAAGAAACATTTTTTAAACTTACAATCTTAAAGGCGGCCTAATAGCCAGCACACCCGATGGTTACATACTGACCAACAATACTTGGAAATGTACTATGAGCCATTACGAAGGATGATACAAAATCGATTATGATGATTCCTTCTGGCCAGCTGCTCATTGGGGTAGCTGGCAAGGTAGCGTCAAAGACAACGCACCTTACTCTGCCACTGCCAACTGGATCATCGATCCAACTGACTGCCTGACTTGCATCTTCTACTGTAGGATTTCTATCGTTCGTTAGTTTATTTAGCTTTCGTTGCTACTAAATTGTTAAACTTGAGTAAGTTTTGTACAATTTTATCGGCGAAAAATTGTGTAATAGTTATATGAGGCGATGTGGCTAGGTTTGATTTTAAAGATATCGATTGGTCTGCATTGGGCGAAAGTTCTCAGTGAGGTGCTTGTTCGTGTATCGTGTATTTTCGTGTTTGTGTGTCTATGTGTTGTTGGCGGTGATGCCTGTAAATAATTTAATGCAAAAGTTTTATCAGATTTTTATTTTTTTATATTAAAAATAAAATAGAATTTTTTAAAATTTTGATTCACTTAGATTTCGTTGACACTAACAATTGTCATTCAAATTAAGAAGACGACACCTAAATGTGTGCAGATTTCTTTGAAAATTGTGCGCATGAACTATCTAAACTGCTCGTTCATTCATTCATGGGTACAACTTAAAATTTAATTTCATGTCATTTTGGTTCATCTAGTGATATAATTTATCTTGTTCATTGAAGATGCAAGTTTAATTGATATATATATTCTAATAAAAAAACATTTTGTTAGGTTTTTCAGGGTGAAATTTACAGAATTAATTTCAGACGCAGTCTTTATTACCGTTTGTATCAACAATTTTTAGTGGATGTTTTAAAACAGGGGTGGGCACACTTTTTGCTATAAGGGCGGCATTGAGAACTATTTTACCTTTGAAAGGCCGCATATGTACTTAAATGCAAGTTTTTTCGACCCGGGGGAAAATTATTTTAAGATTTGTGGCTCCTCATTTTGGTCAATGTCTGGCTGACGACCTTTTTTCGGCGAACAAGGCCTCGCGGGCCGCATAAAATAGCTTTGCGGCCCAGGCCGTAGTTTAGTTTGCCCACCCCTGTTTTAAAATATTCAAATAAAAAAAATCAGAGATTTCTGGTATTATTAGTTTCAGATAAATAAGCATCTACAACGTTCATTACAAAGTGTAATACTTAAATTAAAAAATTGTAGTAAAGAACAAAGTCATGTAGCCCAACCAACTGAACGACAAACAAAATTTTCAGGCCAGAAGCAATAAGTCAGTAAAAATTGGCAGCGGTCTTCCTTCATACATGAATATTTTCTATATCTTTAAAACAAAAATGCCATTAAAAGTTTTTCAAATGCTGTTCAAAACAATGTCGGAGTTAATAATAGCAAGTTTGTACGCATACATAAATGTGCATGTTGTCTATTTATATATATGTAATTTATATATGTTTATAATCTATCGTATATACATACACATATATACATTCATATGAAATAGTCTTTATAGATTATGTATGATTATGTATAAATGTTAAATCGACTGATTATTTAATATGGCAATTTGTATTCGTATTCAGAAAGTTTAAAAAGTTATCCAATTCATCTTTCAAATCTCTTCTACACTTCTGACGTCATCTGATTTGAAATACAATGCGATATGCAAATGTCTGAAAGCGTCCCAAAACGGCTCATAGATTTGTTGAAAGTTTTTAAGTTTTCTGCGTTAGAAAATATTTAAAAAGAAATGTATGAAAGCAAGTTTCAACAGGTTTTAGTTTTTCAGTTGATTGATTCATTTAAAAACGAAGTGACAATCGTTTCGAGAAAATGTTTTTGGTAGCGAGTGCACTGTTCAGTTTTTCTTTAAATATTGCTATAGCTGAATTGAGATGTTTTCAAAGGATCGAAGAAGATAATGTAAATTTTTGTTCGTGCGATCCAGCGATTGAGGACAGGAGCTGGTCCACGTTCTCGATTCTAGAGACCCTCATGTTGTGTTCAATGAGATGTTCACAAACAGCCAGCTGTGTGGCTTACAACTTCTTCAATGCCACCAATCAGTGCCAACTCTTCAATCAAACATTGAACAAGTTCTCTGTACTGTCCGGCTGTCAATATTATCTCAGAAACGGTATGTGTTAATATCATATTGAAAGTCTTATCGAAATGGCATAGTAAAACACAAACTGACACAAGGTGGAGCAGAGCTGAACAGAACTTTGTTGATCACGGCGGACGATGAACTGCAAGAATTCTTCTTCAACGGTGAAAATATTTCTCTATCATTTTTCCCAAATGCCAAGAATTGGTCGCAGTTAGATACATTCAACATGCCTAGTGAGCCGTTCGTGATTGCTCTTAAGGCGTACAACATGCTGTTTAATGGTTGGTGAGATAGCTTTTTTCTAGTCTTAATTAATACAGCTCTGACATACGCAGAACTACTCACAATGTTACATATATATATTATCTATATATCTTCATTCTGTTCTTCATATCTTCCTCCATTGATTTGAAGCAGCAATCTTCGCCACTAAAGCTGTTTATCCTTTACTGTTTATTGTGCAATTATTTGAAAACAATATTTTAAGGTTATGTCATTCAGTTCTCGAAAAAAAAATTCGTTTTCAAGCAAATCCATCTTCAACCCTACAGGAGGAATGATTGCCAAGACACCGGACGGCTACATTCTGACCAATGAAACATGGAAATGCACCACCAAGTACTACGAAGGCTGGCACAAAATCAGTTACAATGACTCATTCTGGCCTGCTGGATCCTATTCAAAAAAATTGAACGACACTGATTGGCTATCTGATCCATATTTGGTGTCAATTTTTTCAGGGGCAGACTGGATCACCAATGTGACTGCTTGCAAGAAATGTGCCATCTACTGTCGGAAAAATTTCATAGGTATGTGCGTATTTTGTTTTATTTTCATTTTTGTTAATAAACTGAGATGAAACTACAGACAATTGTTCTATACCGAACAAAAATCAATTTTTTATCAAACTATTTTCAATTTAGAGTCTCATGAACAGAAAAGTTGTCAGATAGTTTAAAAGTCAAAACCATCTGTCCTTTCTGCCCATTGATTAAACGGAGGAACAACATTTGTTAATATGAGATCATTTCAACTGAATGAAATATAGTAGTTTATTGTAAATTTTCATCTTATTAATGATAGAAAAAAATTAAATAATGGTATATTATCAGTGTTGGCAGAGACAAATTTGTTTCAGAATTTTGTTGCAGGTCTCTTTTTTGTGTTGCTTTGCTTTTTTGCTTTTAACGAAACTATCATGAAAATCCTACATCGACGTATTCTCACAATAAATATTTAAATATTGATTGTCTCTAATGCATAATGTTAACTACGAATTAAGTAAATAAATTATATCTTTTTGTTATTTTGAAACAACATTGAAATAAAAATGTTTCATCAGATATCGAATGTGGCTTAAGTTCATAAGTTTCGTCAATTTGATTCAGTTTTGCCAAGTCAAAATAAGTAAGCTAAGTAGTTACTCGTTTTTACACACAAACGCACGCACAGACACACAAACACATAAACACACACGCAAGTAAGCTCTCACACATGGGTATGATGAAAGATTAGAAAATTAATTCCTTGACATTGGGATGTTTACTTCAAACTCTTATCACAGAAATTAGCTAATTATTCGCCAGAGCCACACCAGAGCCACGCCACAACATATGTATTTAGATGTATATCGACTAACCTTTGGAGATTTCTGATATGAAAAAAGTCATTGTTTTTATTTATTACTCAAAATTTTTTGGAAACTAATTACCATAGAAAGATTTGTTTCAAATCGAAATGAAGAAATTGTTAGAAACTTTTGGCTAGAATTAGCTTTGCTGAGCTTTGACAAAATAACTTGCATTTAACCGAGAAATAAAATTTTTTTTGGGAAAATCTGATATGGATGCGTATTCTAAGGAAGTTATTTCTAAAGACAAATAAAAGAATATATACCTAATGCAACGAAAAAAAACAGACGCCAAGTAGACGACTAGGAAAGCATTGAACAAAATTAAATTTTTTATTATTCATTTTGTTTTGTTATTTATTTTTCATATTGTTTTATTTTTAATTTAAATAACGATGATGATGATGACAACATTTTTTGTGACGAAAATGACATTTATTTAGATGTCGCTTTATTGTACGGAATAATGATGATTGAGATGCATACAATACATCACATTTCAGTATATATAAAAACACACACAGACACACACACACACACACACACACACACATACATACATATATATATATATACACATTATATATATATAAATATATATATACAGAATTGTATGAATTCTACCGAATTTTTGGCATTAATCAATTCATACAATACTGTATAAAATATGGTTTCCATCCAACATATATATATATATATATATATATATATATATATATATATATATATATATTATATAACAATATATATAAATATAGCATTTGTATCAATAGAATGTTTTTTCTGAATTTTCTTGCTAATAGAAAATTTAGTATAATTTACTTATTGCAGAGATCAATTATGAATCAGTTGAAACTGCTGATGGCCATTGCACAGATACAATTTAGCGTGGCCAACATTAATTGTTTTCAAAAATTTGAAGAAGATAGTGTAAGTTTTTGTTCGTGCGATCCAGCGATTGAGGACAGGAGCTGGTCCACGTTCTCGTTTCTAGAGGCCCTCATGTTGTGTTCAATGAGATGTTCACAAACAGCCAGCTGTGTGGCTTACAACTTCTTCAATGCCACCAATCAGTGCCAACTCTTCAATCAAACATTGAACAAGTTCTCTGTACTGTCCGGCTGTCAATATTATCTCAGAAACGGTATGTGTTAATATCATATTGAAAGTCTTATCGAAATGGCATAGTAAAACACAAACTGACACAAGGTGGAGCAGAGCTGAACAGACCTTTGTTGATCACGGCGGACGATGAACTGCAAGAATTCTTCTTCAACGGTGAAAATATTTCTCTATCATATTTCCCAAATGCCAAGAATTGGTCGCAGTTAGATACATTCAACATGCCTAGTGAGCCGTTCGTGATTGCTCTTAAGGCGTACAACATGCTGTTTAATGGTTGGTGAGATAGCTTTTTTCTAGTCTTAATTAATACAGCTCTGACATACGCAGAACTACTCACAATGTTACATATATATATTATCTATATATCTTCATTCTGTTCTTCATATCTTCCTCCATTGATTTGAAGCAGCAATCTTCGCCACTAAAGCTGTTTATCCTTTACTGTTTATTGTGCAATTATTTGAAAACAATATTTTAAGGTTATGTCATTCAGTTCTCGAAAAAAAAATTCGTTTTCAAGCAAATCCATCTTCAACCCTACAGGAGGAATGATTGCCAAGACACCGGACGGCTACATTCTGACCAATGAAACATGGAAATGCACCACCAAGTACTACGAAGGCTGGCACAAAATCAGTTACAATGACTCATTCTGGCCTGCTGGATCCTATTCAAAAAAATTGAACGACACTGATTGGCTATCTGATCCATATTTGGTGTCAATTTTTTCAGGGGCAGACTGGATCACCAATGTGACTGCTTGCAAGAAATGTGCCATCTACTGTCGGAAAAATTTCATAGGTAGGTGGTTATTCAGGTTTTTATTTTTATTGATAAAATGTTTTCTATTTAAACTTTTTAATTTAAATTATTCCAAATGCAAAAATTTGTCAACAAATTGTCAGCATTTTAAAAAATATTCACAACTTTTCTAGATAATTGATCAAGTAAACGAAATTTGTCGACATTATGTTCTTATAATTTGAATTGATATTTTTTAGATCTATTACAATTTGTTCATTCAAGATTGTACAAGTTCGTTTTGTTTATTTATTACTTACTAACAAATTCCAAAACCAATTCTTGTCTTATAAGTTTCAAGGTATAAGGAAATAAAATACAAAAAAAAATTGTTTGCATGTTTTTGAATTTCAATTAGATATAATATTTGTAAACATATTTAATTCAGATTTAGCTGGCGAGAACAATTGTCAAACCTTTTAATAAAGAGGGGAGCCAGCTGATAGTTGGTTTTGTTAGCTTTATCCCCATTGTTCTGTAAAGATGTATCAAAATATTTCAAATTAATGTTCAACAGAAACAAATTAAAATTAATTCATTCTAATTTTGACATTTCTATATATATTTTATCAACTAGATGTATTAATTTTTTTTTAATTTACGTACAAGTTCTTGGCAAAACGTCATATAGTTTATTTATGACAATTAACTTTATTCACAACGCATTGACATGTTCCACACACACCATATCTCACACACATACAAACACTCACATACACACAACCATATCACATCCACACACACACACACCCACACACACCAAACACAATCACACACAACCGCACACACACACACACACACACGCATGCACACAGACAAAGAGCACACAAAATGAGAGGTTGCGAGCATGCTTATAAACAAACAACTTCCTGTTTGCTGTCATTTCTGCGACGCACATTTTTTTTTAATAAAAGAACGTTTTTATTTACGCTCATGTTTTCCGACTATGGTTGCTTACCTTCTCTAGTTAATCGTTTGTCAGTGCAGAGTCATTTTTTAGATTAACTATTTTTCTACTTTTGTTTCTTCTTCTTCATTGTAAATAAGCTGAAGCTTATGCTACTAAATAAATAATATTTAATGGAAGCACATTTTAAATAAAGACTGAATAGATGTCGGTTTACATTTTACAAAATTCATTACATGTACTAATAGATATTGTTGTTATTTGTTGCTTTTTTCAGTGTTTTTACAAGATTCTTATTTAGTCTGTTTCTTTTTAAATGCCACTACGTTTGTATATTTTTAAAAAAATAAAATCTCAACATTCAAATTTCAACAAAACTTTTGTCCAATGATGGATGACTCGCCAAATGAATTTTTAATAACTTCTTCCCTATAAAAAAAAACCTAATTAGAAATGTAACGACTCTCTTTGCAAAGGTTCTTTCGATCGATAGTTTCACCTGACATTTTCATTGATTTCATGTTTTTTAGGACACAAGGTTGTCTCATTATTTACGTCCAATTGATTGCAACTCTAAACAACAACAAAACAACAATAGGTAGCATTTTAGTCGAGAGAACGCCAGCCGACAATTTATGTTATTAATATTTCTATTTCGGATTGTGGAGACAAATAAGTCTCGTTTGCATTCATTAGCGGATCATACATCAACGACTGTATTAACACAATGCTTGTTGCTAAATAAAATCTGGTTGAGGAGTGTAACCAGCGAAAAGAATCAAACAAGCAAGTTGAATGTAGTTAACAACTTGTTTCAAAAAAATTAGGAGATTTGACTAATCTATCAGAAATGTAGTAAATCAAAAATAACCAAACACATTTAGAGAAAATGGTTAAAGCCTGTGAATTTAAAAATTGAAGTGCAAGGATGGGTGGCTTACGAATGATGTGAAACTTACTTTCAGCGTTGATTCAACTGTCTTTTTTTTGTTTAAATTCTTAAAATTGTTTGCGTTAGATTTTAGGTTTTGTAAAAATTTTGAATGTGAAAAAATTTAAAACTAATATTTGCACTAGCGACAGGCATCACAATTTTACCAAACCCATCGTAAAAATTTGTATAAAAGTTGTCTTCCTCCTCTACGATTGGTGAGTAAAACACTTGCGTTGAACGCTTCAGAATGTTTTTCAGATATTTATTGAAATCTCAACAGAAATGCGGTTACGACAGGTATAAATTATTAAAATGTCGACTTTTTTATTATAAATTCAACGGATGAAATTGTCAATTTGGCGAAATATGTCGTACTTTTCATACAAATACCAAAAATCTTTACAAAATATGAATTAGGTATTATTCTAACTTGAGAAATCATTCGTTACATAAAGGTTTAAAAAAAATTACCGACTAAATTGAAATTTGTAAATGAACCAAGTATTAAAGTAGAAATTTATTGAAATGTTTGTGCAAATGGGAGATTTCCGCAGCCTGTCATGTCATTTTATGTGACCAATAACATTTTAAAAGTTTCGTCCCGATGTATGTACAAATTTTGTTTATGAGAAGAAATAGAATTCTCTTACGACAGCGTTACAGAAACGTACTTAGACCTAACAAACGTCTGCAGGAGTATCAAAATTTCAAATAAATTTAATTGCAAACATTTCTTCACGTTTTAAAAATGTACTAAATAGAATTACATCCCTACGACAGTATGAATAACCAAGCTTCAAAGCTTACAAAGAAACGTGCCTCCAGTACACTTCTAATTAATGAGTTGGTCGACTGAGGCAGTCCTATGTTGAAGCAGTGGAAATATTTTATTTATTCTCTTGCAAATTCATTATCAACTCTCTTGCGAGTTTCGTTAGGAACCATCTTACTCCTTATCTATTTGAAGGTTACTACAACCAAAAGGATCTGTTTCAGCAGTTTCAAAGAAGATAATGTAAGTTTTTGTTCGTGCGATCATCCATATGAGGACAGGAGTTTGTCCACGTTCTCGTTTGTAGAGGCTCTCATGTTCTGTTCAATGAAATGTTCCCATATGCTAACTGGAATATCCAATCATGTTGAATGTTCCAACAAACCGCGTAAGCTAAAAAATGAAATGTTCGAAGTTCAAAATGAACAAGCATTACAGTTTTACCTCCATTTTGTCATTCAGTATTTCAATTCCTATGCAGCTCAAATTTTAAAAAGCGCCAAAAATAGTTTTCTTAAAAAACGAAGATAAGGTTTATTCTGTATATATGAGATAAGCAACCATGGAAAAGTTAAATTTTATCGTATCGGACTGAGAGTATGGTCGAACGATGACGTCAACGATGGAAAATGTTTTCGGAAAATTTTTCAAAATCGCTAGAGTATAAAATAAAACATAAACTATCAGTGGGTAATAGAAATTTTTCATAATAATTAATCAATTCACCTGTTGTCGCTTTAGGAACTGTGCTGTAAACAGTTTATATGAAGAACTTTCCACGTATATACATTCTCTTCATCAATATAATTTAAACATTCCTATAACAAATAAAAATACTGATCGATCAGAAAACAATTTCCAACGCAATACGCAAGCAGTTGAGCGATGCAACAAAACAAAACGCATCGCCAATCGTAAGAAGGAAGCCATTGTCTCAGCAGCTGATGCGTTCAGTCTTTATAGATCAACAAGACAGAATAATAAGAACGTTCCATAATCGTTTCCTGTATAGCTTAAATTACTTTGCATTCTGAAAAGACTTCTATTCTTTCTAATCTTAAGTGTAATTTATAAAAATTTGTGAAGTTTTCATACCGATTTGGAGTCTTTCTTCGTCACGATGAATGCAGGGGCAGTTTTAATTTTAAACTTGAAAACTATCATTGCTGGTGTGATCTGTTTTGAGAAATTTAGGGAAGGTAATGTAGATTTTTGTTCGTGCGATCCAGCGATTGAGGACAGGAGCTGGTCCACGTTCTCGTTTCTAGAGGCCCTCATGTTGTGTTCAATGAGATGTTCACAAACAGCCAGCTGTGTGGCTTACAACTTCATCAATGCCACCAATCAGTGCCAACTCTTCAATCAAACATTGAACAAGTTCTCTGTACTGCCCGGCTGCCAATATTACTATAGAAAAGGTTAACCATAAGTGTGGCCAAAGGGGAGCTTTGGGTCCGCCGTCCTCATATAATGGAATAATGGATAGTTTTATAGGATTATAGGGAGTTAAATGTCACAAATACGCAAAATGAATTCTAAAGTAAACTATTGCAACAGTAAAATCGTTCAAATTTATATGAAAAATACGGGGTTTTACAATAAAAATTTTCTGAAACTAGGTGTAATAAGCAAAAAAAAAGACATCAAACATTTTTTAAATTTCAAGCTCCCTCCGATACCAACAATTTCAAATTACGCCATTGAGATTAATATACATGAAAATAAACGTTGATTGAATTTTGTTTGATTGTAATCTCATTTAATGTTCAGATGTGAAATACTTGTTAAATAATAAAATAAAATGTGAAATAAAAAGTTGTGAATGATTCAGATTTGTCTGCAATTGGTGAAAATCTGACAGTTGAAGCGGACGATTATCTTCAAGAATTTTACATCAATGGCATAAACGTCATGTCTCCATCGAGGTTTCCACATGCAAAAGAATGGAACACAGCAGACATGTACAATCTGAAAGGCGACTTGTTTGTCATCGCCGTCAGAGCATGGAACACCATTGCTTTTGGTTATTAGCAAATGTTTAATTATTTTTTTGAAGTTAAAAGAATTTTCTTTAACTAAATTTATTAACTAATTTTTGAAAAATCAACCCATTGATAACGAAGGAGGTGTGACAATTAGCACAGCAGACAACTACATCGTGACCAACAGCACTTGGAAATGTCGCAAAGACCTTACAGATGGCTGGTATAAAATCAACTACAATGATTCATTCTGGACTGATGCTCTGGAAGGTTTAAACACTTATTACCCGACATCGAGTCCCCTTGCAAGGTACAAATGGATTTTTGGACCACAGGCGTGCGAACACTGCGATATCTACTGCAGAAGAAGTTTCATAAGTAAGTTTTCAAAATATTCTCTTGTTGTAACATTAAAAAAATCAATAACAAACAATTTCTATTCTGAATGTGTTTTATTCAGTTCTGACCGATAAGAGGAGTTGCCAGCTGAATTAGCACAGATGAACGATAATATCCTATTTCTGATATTGTTTTTAATTTTCCCATGACTGATTCAATAATCTTTAATGAACTAGTTTCAATGTACTACTCTTTGTAGCTCTAGATTTAATATTTTACATTTCTGTGCCTTTAACCATACGTTACTATGAAAATGTCGTCAATTGATTTCTAAACTTCATACATTTTGAATGTCATATTTGCTTGTTACTCCAAACAAATTTTCTGTCAGTTTTGAAAATTATACTTTGTGAGACGTAATTTTGATAAATTTTAAAACTATTACTGGCGTTGGTATTAGGCAAACCATTCCATATGACATTCCATATAAATTATTTAACGTTTTTAAAAAAATTTGGAATTAATCCTGTTTTGAGAAAGAATAGCAGACGAAATATGAAACTTTTTTTATAAAAAAGCTTATCAATTCACAATTTTTGCAAAGCTGATTGTCATGCAGATTGACTGTTTTCTCTTCGATACCAGCATTTATCATTAACAATGACTCAAGAAAAAGACCGTCTTTGTTTGGAAAAGCATTTCTGGGAAATTGTTTTAGCTTAGTCGCAATAAACATTTTATCAATCAATAAATATTGTGTGGAACGTGAATCAATAGAAAAAGAAAAAAAAAAGAAATTGTCAGTTCTCTATAAAAATTTCATTCATATGCAAAATTATCCCCATCGACATCCAACATAAAACATTTTTTTTTCTACTACTAAAACCGTTTCAAGAACAATTTACCGCTTATTACAAATATAAAACTTGTGTGCAGTTGATTCTTTTTACACTGGCAGTTTGTTAGCATTAAGGTAACGTGTATAACATCACTTCGAATGCCATGTACTTTAAAAAGAACTTTTGCTCTCTGGTGTGTATAACGATGTGTAGTGATTTACTGTTGCATTCTACTATCATTGCGACAGAGTCAAATTGTTTCAGAAAATTTGAAGATGGTACTGTAAGTTTTTGTTCGTGCGATCCAGCGATTGAGGACAGGAGCTGGTCCACGTTCTCCTTTCTAGAGGCCCTCATGTTGTGTTCAATGAGATGTTCACAAACAGACAGCTGTGTGGCTTACAACTTCTTCAATGCCACCAATCAGTGCCAACTCTTCAATCAAACATTGAACAAGTTCTCTGTACTGCCCGGCTGTCAATATTATTATAAAAGGGGTTATCATCTTTCTATTGTTTGCTACATTTTTGATGTTTAATTCTGCCTAGATGAAAATTTTTATCATCTAAACATTTTTCATCTTGTGAAGACAAAATTCCAAAAATGAAGCAATTGCTGATCACTGTTGACGACAAACTTGAGAAGATTTACTTCAACGGCATGAGCATATCGGTAGGAGAGAATTTTCCACATGCAGCTTCTTGGGACCTGCCCGACACGTACGATCTGTCGGGCAACATATTTCTCGTTGCCGTGATGGCCTTCAACATCAACGGAGTTGGTGAGTAAAAGCAACTTAAACTACGAATTACAAAATTATTTTTACTTATGTTTAATTTCTTATAAATTTAAACATTGACCGCTGTCTAAATTAAAAATATTTTTTTCAAAACAGGAGGAATTTTAATTAGTACATCGGATAAATACATCCTGACAAATGAAACTTGGAAATGTACTACAACCCTTTACGATGGCTGGTACAAAATCATTTATAATGATTCAGCCTGGCCTGCCGCTTTTGTTCTAGAGAAACACGAGTTTACTTCTAGTTTGAATGCATTGAAAGAAGCAGGAGCGGAATGGATAACGAATGCAATTGACGGCGAAAACTGCTTTTATTACTGCCGTAAAAGCTTTATTGGTAGTAATTATTTTTCAGTATTTATTAAATTTAATATTAATAAATACTATTGTTAATAGCAAAACTTACTACTTCCATTTGATTCAGAACTCCTTGAAGCAAACAAATGTCAACTAGTTGACGTAAAAAAAAGAACTGGGGAAGATTTTTTCATCTGATTACATCAACTCTAAAACAAGTTTTCAAAAATTTGTTTAGCAAGATTTGAAAACAGCTATGTAGCATGCCAATCTTGTTGTACGTTCATCTCTTACTTAGTGCATGTGGTTCGGGTGAACTTACTGTCAATAACCAACTAATAAATTGTGTATCTGTTGCTTTGTTTTAACAAAATATTTTGATGAAATTAGTCTTGGATATTTAAAATACTCTTATTACTGATTATTCTATGTGATTGAAACGAGATTTCAGAAATTGATCTGACAGCCAAATAGATTAGTGATGTTTCTGACTGCAAAAATTGCGACATTTACTGTAGAAAAAATTCAATTAGTACGTTTCTGTTCGGTTTTTATCCACAACGGTTGAAACTTTTTTTTGGCATGTAATTTAAAATATTATAACTATTTTTTATGTTCAGTACTTGTTGAAGAGAACAAGTGTCACACGATGTGAAATTACTATTTGCTGGATAATCTTGAGAGCCCTATCAAAAAACGTTTTTCTCTCTCTTACCCCCTCCCCCCCCTCTCTTTCTCTCTCTCTCTCTCTCTCTCTCTCTCTATATATATATATATATATATATATATATATATATATATATATATACAGACTGAGAGAGAGCAAGAGAAGAAAAGAACGAGATTTTTAACTTAACAAATTTTTAAACAAAATATTATAACATTATTATTAATATATGCAGCTCTTCATAACGTTTTTACTCAACATCTCTCACTACTCTGTAGTAGAAATCTGACGTACCCGACTGATCTGCATGCCGTTGGGTCTGCCGTTTTTGCCATCCAGCTGACATTAACAAACATTAACAATGACGAAATTGATTCATGCTACTTTTTTACTGTTAACGGAAGTTCAGATTATTATGCTAATAAACGTCTGGTAGATAACTGAATGGAATGAAAATTTTCAGCATATATTATCGCTTGTATATTGAAATAAAACAAATACTTCCATTGCAGAGATGAATCGTCGTAAAAACACTTTTAGAAATCTTTCAAACATATAAAATTATTTTTTTAGCAGAATATTTTTGTAGAAAATACGCGTTTTTATTTGCTACTTGATGGCTATCGTTACGTTATATACCGTAATTTAAATTGAAAAAGACACAGTTTTAATGCTACACTGAGTACTCGAAGATGTTCTGCACCAAAATCATTTTTTTTTATTATTTATATAAATTACTTAAAAGCAAAACTTAATTGTTTTCAAAGATTTGAAGAAGATAATGTAAGTTTTTGTTCGTGCGATCATCCATATGAGGACAGGAGCTGGTCCACGTTCTCGTTTCTAGAAGTCCTCATGTTGTGTTCAATGAGATGTTCACAAACAGCCGGCTGTGTGGCTTACAACTTCTTCAGTGCCACCAATCAGTGCCAACTCTTCAATCAAACATTGAACAAGTTTTCCGTACTGCCCGGCTGTCAATATTATCTCATAAAAGGTGTTCATGATAATTTTTATTATTTTCAAAAATTTAGTTCATATTGTAATTGTAATTAACACTAATTGTAATTAATTGTAAAATACAACTCAAGAAAATGAATCCAGAAAAAATCGATCTTTGGTGATTATTGCAGATGACCAGCTGAAAGAATTTTATTTGAACGCAAACAACATATCCATAACTTTAAACTTCCCACATGCAGATGATTGGGACGTACCTGACGCGTTCGATCTGAGAGGCAACATTTTTCTTCCATAAAATTGTTTCACAATCGTTAAAATAAAGTCGCCTGTCATCTGTCATCACAGATGGCTTTATAGCTAGCACCTCAGATAGTTACATCCTGACCAACGAAACATGGAAATGCACCAAGAACTATTACGACGGCTGGTACAAAATCAACTACAATGATTCATTCTGGTCTGCAGGTTCTGTAATAGGAAACCATGAATTTTCCGATGGTTTGAAATCATTGAATGGAACTGGATCGTACTGGACCCCCGAGACATCCAACTGCCAACACTGCTTGTACTACTGCCGAAAAAGTTTCACCGGTAAGTCAAATTCTTCTAAATATAAAAGGACTAACTGAATTTATTTTTTCAAATAAATTTGAAATTGTCAAAATTATTCAGAACTCATTGGAAGAAGCCTTTGTCAGTTGAGTTCGGGGTCTGGATAAATCAAATTAACACATGCTAACATATCAAACTGATATCACTAATATTGTTGAACGATTTTTTAATTTTTTTTAATGTAAAAGCAAGTATGATGAAATGATTATCTGACATTTTTATTGAATACTGTGTGATAAAAATAAACAGAATATATATGTTAGTAAATCATTTATGTCATTAAAACTCATCAGTATATTTGTCCTCCAATTTCAAAATTTATTAGTTATAAACATATTAAGGTTTAACCATTAATTTATAAATTTGATAACGACTAACTGTTGAAACAGATTTGATTTGATTGTGTTTCGTCACAATATAAATTTGCGATTTAAAATATGTTGCTTCTGTGGTTTCTTTGAAATTTTAATAATTGGGAAAGATTTTCAAAGAAATTTTGAAAAAATCAAAACTGTATTTTTATTTGTTTAACTCTAAAGGAAAGAGACTTTGATGCATTAATATTCTTCAATAGTAGTTACAAAATTTACAAACGCGTACGTGTGAACCAACCTCATCTATAGGCTACTTTTTTTTATTAGATAGAGTAGGATTCCTTGGAGTTCAAAGCTGGTTACTGCAACACGTCCTGTGCTTTAGGCAATGAACCATTGATTATCTACTATTTTGTTTATCTCCATTTAGTTTCAGATTATCGGCGAAAAAAATTATTACGTTATTTAAATCGATATTGATATGGAAATTAAATCGTCGTTTAAGAAGGAAAGAAAACGTTTCAGTATTTCTTTGACGTTATAATCAATTACGTGTTTTTTTTAGACTTTGTTGAAATTTTTTTCAAACTAGTTTTTGTTTGTGACATAGTTAAATGTGGTTAAAAGAAGCAAAACACGCAGAAATAAAATCAGCCTAAAACTACGTACGTATGCATTGGTCTCTAATAACTCTCATGGCAAGCTGAAATTCAGTATTTGAATTCCCAAGCAGCTCAAGATTTTAAAAGCGCCAAAAATAGTTTTCCTAAGAAATGAAGAGGTAAAAAAACAGAAATAGTTTATTCTGTACATATGGTTTAAGCAACCATGGAAAAGTAAAATGGAACATTGGAAAGTTTTATTTATTCGGATCGGACTGAAAGTATGGTCGAACGATGATGTCAAGGATGGAAAATGTTTTCGAAAATTTTTCAAAAATCGCTGGGGTATAAAATTAAACATAAACTATCAGTAGGTAATAGCAATTTTTTAAAATAATAATTTATCAATTCACCTGTTGTCGCCTTAGGAACAGTGCTGTAAACAGTTTATATAAATGAGTTTCCAAGTCTGTACATTCTATTCAATATGATACTTCTTAACACATCTATATAACTTAAACATTCCTATAACAAAAAAACACTTATTGATCGGAAAACAATTTGAGCGATGCAACAAAACAAAACGCATCGTCAATTAAGAAAGAAGCCATTGTCTTAGCGGCTGATGTGCCTTCAGTCTGTTTTGAGCAATAGGAGAGAATAATAAGAACATTCCATAATTGTTTCCTGTATAGTTTAAATTACATTGTATTCTGAAAAACACTTTATTTCTTTCTAATCTTAAGTGTAATTTATAAAAATTTGTGAAATTTTCATACCGGTTTGGAGGGCTTTTTTCGTCACGATGAATGCAGGGGAAGTTTTAATTTTAAACTTGAAAATTATTATTGCTACTATGATCTGTTTTGAAAAGTTTAGAGAAGATAATGTAGATTTTTGTTCGTGCGATCATCCGTATGAGGACAGGAGCTTGTCCACGTTCTCGTTTATAGAGGCCTTCGTGTTGTGTTCAATGAGATGTTTACAAACAGCCAGCTGTGTGGCTTACAACTTCTTCAATGCCACCAATCAGTGCCAACTTTTCAATCAAACATTGAACAAGTTCTCTGTACCTCCCGGCTGCCAATATTATCTCAAAAAAGGTTGTTAGTCATGTTTAAAAAATTGTTTCCCTCTATTGGCGCCCGTTGATTTGCATTTTTACACCATAACTGATCGTGAAGAAATTCTGAGAATCGAGTTTTACTTCAACGGAAACAACATCTCTACAGCATTAAATTTTCCAAATGCAACTACATGAAACGCGATAGACTCCTACAAACTCGTTGGCCATTTTTACGTCATTGCTGTCAAATCTTACAACATCGGAGAAATGGGTGGATGTTTAACTAATTTTATCTTTCTTTGAGTTTAAATATGAACAGTTATTGAATAAAAAAAATCTACAGGCGGACTGTTAGCTGGTACACCCTTAAATACATCCAGACCAATAAGAGTTGGGAGTGCACTAAGAAATATTATGACGGCTGGTACAAAATTAATTTTAATCATTCAACTTGGGCTCCGAGATTCGTTGGAAAGAGACAGAGCTATTCTGATTCTCTAACACAATACTTCGAAGGCAGTCAATGGATCATTGATGACACTGATTGTGGAGATTGCTATTTTTACTGCAGGAAAGATTTAGTAGGTAGGTCGTTTTCTTGATAATTTTCAGTTAGTTCATCATCAGTATTGTTTATTGGCAAATTTAAAAAAAAACTTTTCAAAATTAATTCAGAATTAGTTGACAAAGAAAATTGTCAATTGAATTGAAGGCGGAATGATTATTTTTCCGTTTTGGACAAAAACAAAAACCTTGACAATTTTCAACTTTTTCAATTATGAATAAATAAATTTTTTTAAAATTTAGTTTCAGTTTTTTAAATTCTTTCTTTGCGTTGTTCAAGCAATTTTTTAACTAATAAATTTTGTCTGCAAGAAAGAATGCCTCATGTATTCTTATCGTAAGACCGAACTTTTTGGTTTCTACCTCATTTTTTTAAGGAAGAATAAATGTAATAATCTCAAAATGTCTTTGTCTATTTTACATGAATGTTATAAAATGAATAGAGTATATGTACGTATGGGTCATTATTATGCTTATGTGAAGTGGGCGACCGAATTGCGAAATTGACAATAGACAACGAAGCGAAGAATATGTAAGATAACGAAATTTGAGAATAACGATCAAAATACACAGATCTATAATCCATTACTATATGTGTTTTACATTACATATAGTCTTTTCAACCTTAGTAAAACTACTCAGTGGTAAGATGCTTGCTAGCTATTATTGGAATACAACGCGAACACTTCTGTACAGAACTCTTGAATTTTTCTGATAACGTTAAGCTTTGTAAATACACAAAAGCAACTAACTACTAATTGAAATTTAAAACCGAATATTCTGCATCTTTCTTCACCTACTACCACTAATTAATAATAATGACTTCATCTGGAAACAAAATCATGCGACAAACTTTCAAATTCACTGTACATTATAAAATATTTTCAACACGTACACGTACCAAGTGTGCGAGTATCTAAGATGTGTACTTATACTACTTAGTTGAAAATTTAACCAGTACTTACGTAGGTTAAGAGGGAAAAAATTTGTTGAAAAATTTGTTAGAAGAGTAGCCGATATCGAAATTTTATCGGTAACAATGAAGGAAATTTGCTTTCTTTAAAGTATTACAGGTATGTAATGTGACTGAGTTGTGTGAGTGATGAGTCGTTTAAACGAGTGGCTTGAACTCGATAAAATCGGGGATTATACCTGTTAGTTAGTATCTCGGCTATATATAAAATGATTACATATCTACTTTAGATGTCTTACTCATCAGAGGACTATTGGAAAATAATGCATGTCGTACACGCATTCTTGCACATACATACATACAAACATACATACATACAAACATACATACATACATACGAACATACATACATACAAGCATACATACACGTGCAAACGTGTACAGAGGCATAAACATACAAGGTGCAAGTGGTATGTATACCTTGTACGTCTCAACCATCTTTCACATTGTCAAACGAATTGTTCCTAAGTTTAACATTCAGAACAAGAATAATATTAGTTTATTTATTATTATTATTATGACATAAACATGAAATATTAAACATAAATCATATAAACACAGACAAATATATATATATATATATATATATAAAGATCTGAACCAATCTCTTAATAGTTAACATTATTACTCCAATATGATCACATATTAACTTTTTTATATAGCTACTCCTACACAATTACTCTCCAAATATATATATATATATATATATATATATATATATATATATATATATATAGTAATATAAAGAATTACTAATTTGAATCACTACCGATGAATTTCAAACAAAATACTGACTGACAGCTGTGGGGGTATATACACACACACACAAACACACACACATACAAATGCACACAGACAGAATTAATGAATAATATAGATAGGTGATTATTAATTAGATGATTGCAATAACGTCTGTAAAATCATAGAGTATGTTCACTTTACTTGGATCAATAATAAAAGTGAACGTTTCTTTCAAAATTTTCTATTTTCTGCTCTGTTTACAAGAGAATAAAAACTAAAAAAAAAATTTGTAAAATATAAAATAAAAAAACTGAGTTTGATAACAAGACAGTTTTTCCTCTTATAATTATTATAAAATTCCTAATAAGCTGACACTAATTCCAATCAGAATTTCAATCAACCAGTCTGACAATTAATTTTGTTTGTTTGTTTATTTATTTATTCAATTAATTAATTAATTAATTAATTGATTAGCTCCTAATCATCCACGCTTAAAATGAATCCATGAATAAATAGGAAAAAAAATTCATTCACATAAAACTGTTTCTTAGCAAATCAAATTAAGTTAAAGTTAAAAACGTAGCAATAATAATATTAAAAATAATAATAGAAAAAACAGCAATTAAAGAGTGACATAAAGAGAGAAACGCACGCAAGCACGCACACACAGACACACACATACATAGAGACAGACAAGCCCACTTACACACGTACACACACATACACACACAGACAGACATACACACACACACAGACAGATGCACGGGCAACCAGACCAGACCAGATTATTATGTGGCGTATCTCTTTGTCCACTGCTTAGCAGTCCTATCGTGCTCCTCCCTATTGCAGAGGAACTGTTGCGCAATGCTACCAACCAGCGGATCGGAGGGGTTGCAGTCAGTGAGAAGGGAGCAGATGGACAGCAAAACTTTGGAGACAGTCAGCGCCGGCGACCAGTTGTCCTTCAGGATGTCCAGGCAGATCGCCCCTTGACTGTTGATGTTGCAGTGATAGATGCGTGTGCGGAAAGTTACCTGGGATGTGATTGTCAGGTTGTGGTAATGATACTAATAATTAAAGAAATTTATTATAACAAGATAAGAGGAGATGATAACCTAAAAGAAGAATTTGTGTAAATATGTTGATGAGAAAAGTTAAGAATAGACTATAAAAAAAAAATGACCATTGTTTTGAAACATGAATCTAAAAGAAAAAAGTCAAAATTTGTTAAAACACAATATTTTAAACAAAAATGGAATGAAGTAAAACCTTTGGTGGTTTAAATGGGTACTCAGGGGAGAAATGAATGTCCAGGAAGAAGACACCACCCTCATAGACCGAACCGGGTGGTCCGAGAATTGTGGACACCCACTCAAACAAATTATCACCTTTAGGACTAGCACTGTTCATGTTATATTATCAAAACTATTATACTAATTATATTAACATTTTGGAACTAATTAATTTAAACTAATTAATTAATTTATTTATACATTCATTTATCTAATTAAATGAATCAGCAGTTTGAGTAAATTTCTAAGTAGTAAATTATTATGGATAGATATGCTTCTCGGCCTACAATGTAATGGAATGTAATAGATGATCCTTACAAACTTATATAAGACATTCCTTACAAAAGTTTTTGAATATCACAATTAAGAGTTCTGATCTGATATAGCTTTCAGGCAATGATGATGCTTCAGGGAAGTTGTAAGTTTAGCAACTTTAACTTTATATATAATCCTATTTATGTCATCTCTTACTGTCTATCTTAAATATACCATATATATAAATGTGACACCCCCTAAGTATCTACCTGCAATTTGGAGGTGGATCCAGGGTTATGTCAGCCAACTCTTTTTGAATCCTGTTGATGAGAAAGTAAAATATTGATTAGAAAACATTCAAAATATGATAACTTCAATAGAGAATAATTTTTTTTCAAGAAATATTGGCAACCTTTTTGCACTGGTGGTGAGGTTTTTGTTCATCTTGAAATGAGATTTTGATATCACTGCCCCTTCATTCTCCCTACTAGTCTCAGTCTGCGGCGCTGCCAAATTTCCATTGTTGCTATTACCATTGCTGTTGTTAGTATCATTGTTGTTGTTGGTACTGTTTGTGTTGCTGTTGTTACTGGTTGCAGTTGTAGTATTGAATTGTTGGTTACGTCCAGACGTAGCCATTCATAAAACTTTTAGATGCAACCTACCTATGGTCAAGTTCAAGTATTTATTTAAAAAATGGTCATTCAACATTTCAAGTAACCTCAAAAAAGCTGAGTAGTTAATAAAAGTAGTTAAATTAAAATTTGTAAAATGTGAATATGTGAAATCAAATTCTAAAATTTATCTTGGGAAAAACATTCATCAGCAAACATTCAGCAGTTTTAAAGCTATTTTGGAAAAGTATAGTAAATTAAATATTTTTACGAAACAAAAATAATTTAAAGTTTCTAATGATTTTTATAAATAATTGTGAGTTGGTTAGATTAGCGTCAGAGTTAGGGGTTAGCGTTAGTTAAAGAATGTCTGTTGGAACGTTTGCTGGCTTTAGAGTTTAGTAGATTTAGAATTAGAAGAGTTAGGCAGTTCTTTAGACAAGTAAAATTTAAAGAAAATTCTAGTTTACTTTCTAGCAGACCAAAATTATAAAACAATAAAAACACTTTTAACATTAATTATTAATATAATTTTTAATATTTTCAAAAAAATTAGAAGCCATGTAAATAAAATTTGGCGTTGTTCCCATTTCCGAAGCTCAGCTTTTTTAAAGAGCCAGTGCAGGTCTTTGTTTGCAAAAAAACGTCGAAGTGAAGCAGTTTTAAAAAACAAAAATGAAAAAGCACAAATAAGGACACCACCAAACTAAAATCTTCACCGCAAATTTCTTCCTGTGTCAGAAATTAGGAGAATTAGGAAAAAATAGATGAAAATTATAGACAAACCAAAACGAGCGAAGATAAAAATAGGGATGAGCAAGTTAATATAAAATAATTAAAAACATTGTAGAAAACCTATATTCAATATACATGAAAGAGACTAATTTGAACCAAGATTAATTATTTATTTCAGTTTATCAATAAAAAATGTTGTAAATTAGATTATCAAAGCAGTCAAATAAAAGAAAGTAAATGAAGACATGAATGAGAAGATGGTCAAAGTCCTGGAATTCATAAATATGCATGAACAAATTATTAGCTCAACGCATAGTAATCTAAATTATTTTTTATTTTTAGTTACAAGTAACATGTTCATAAAATGTCTTACGTAAAATTGCATGAAATAATTATTAAACAAAGCCAAACCTCATAAAATTTATGTAAGAAGCTTTAATTTTTTTGAACATTGTTTGTTTTGTTTTTCTTTTGAAAAAAAAATTATGTTCGCACGTGAAAGTTATTTTCTTTCGTTAAAAAATAACTAATTAGTGTCATTTTAAGTTTTTATTGAATTATCGTCCGGAAGAAAAACACTAATCGTTTTATTCATCGTTGCATGAAGTTTGTAATTTGCATTCTTTTTTTTATGGTTTTAAAAATGGTCGTTTTTTATGTATGTATTATAAAACATTCACGCTATACTGTACTATATATAAACGTTATTTATAGTGTTGTATATATGTAATAATAGGCCAAACGGTTTGTTTATGTTTTAAATTTGCATAAATTAATATTCATTATTATTTGCCCAAATTATTGAAATATTTAGTTTTATTAATATATTAAATGTTTAGTTCAAGTAAAAAAGCTAAATTAACGTACTCATACAAATAGGAAAGTATGAAATTTAATATTAACAATAGAAAATAATATTAAATAAATGCCATTAATGTTTAATCAAATCAATTATAAATATGTGTTATTAATTATAATATTATAATATGCATGTGGTTTTTACCTATGCATATTATAATATTATAATATTAATTACCCATTCAAACTGACCATTGCAAATTTATCATAAATTAATATTTTAACAATTTATTATAATTGAAATTAATAAAATCTGATAATATTTAATTAATTATGTAACTAATTAATTAATATTAATTAATTAATCAATTTATTAGTTAAACAAACAATGGAGGAATTTGAAGCACTAGTAAGTATTTATGTAAATTTTATTGGATTTGTCATTAACTATAACTAGATGATACAATTTATGTTTTTGTGTCAATATTTTTTAATTTAGCTGATGTCATAATGTAACAATGACGTCACATCAATGTTAGGTTCTTGTGTGCTGTTACGTTCTTAATGTTATTGTAGTTAATGTCACGTTATGGATGTCAAAGTGATGTTGTTGCTATGTTGATGTTATTGCCTTTTATAATGCTATTATGGTTGACACTTTCATATTCATTTTTATTTCAAGGCATTCGATTAAAAAACAATAATTATCTCTATTACCAGATGTATGCATTTATTTTTAGCTTTTTTCTACCTATAAGCTTGATATATGTATATATGTATATATATATATATGTGTATATGTGTATATATATATATAATATGTAAAGCTTTATATATATATATATATATATAATATGTAATGAGCAAAGCCAATGTTTTAAAGATAATTGTGATGATATGTCCTGGATCTAGACCATTCAAATGAAATGTTTCTATTTCTTTTTTTATCCTTTCACTTTACCGGGCCCTCTCACTCTCTCTCTTTCTCTCTCACTTTCTCTCTCTTTCTCTCTTTCGATCACTCTTTCTCTGTGTTTTTCTTTTTCTTTTATCTCTTCTTACAAAGTTAAATAAAATCGATTTATAATGTGGTAATTGTTTTAAAGTGCATTGCCAATTTTTTTAATTTATTCACGGAACTGCTCTGTCACTGCTGTATGCATAAGTTAAAGGTTAAAGGTTACTCTCTCTCTCTTGCGTTTGCTTCAGAGGTTTCAACGACAAACACACACACAGCGTACATGAATACGCGTGCAAACCACGCATTATACACATTGCATGTGATAGGCGGGGATCTCTTTGTATTCGAACCCAGTCATTGCAATAGCAAGACCAGATGCCTGTAACCATAAAAAATAATGATGATGATGATGATGATGGTGATGATAATGATGATTGTGATGATGATAATGCTGATGATGAGGATGATGATGATGGTAATTTTGATGATATTGATGATGATACTATTAATTTCCTTTATTTAGGATCAGATAACGGACTTGGACAGAGGAACAGTTAGTGATGTTTATTGTGTTGTTTTGTGGTAATTTTTTTCTCGTTGTATGTTGTTGTTGTATATGTTGTTATGTGTATGTTTTGATACGTATGTGATCCTATTCTCTTCTATCTATAGCTTATATAGATAGATTCAATCAGGTATTCTATATGCAGTTTTGTATATAGAGAAATATAGACCTAACTTATTATTAGGATCAATTAGTAACATCTCAAAGCTAATACATTCCGTTTAGAGAATCTGTAGTTTTTTGTGGTGCACGATGATAATATTTTTATGAACAGTTAGTAACACCGTAAATATAATATACTCCAATTAGAGAATCTGAAGTTTTTTGGGGTACTCGATAATTTTATTTTTACGAACAACTAGTAACACCGTGAACTTAATATATAACATTTAGAGATTCTGAAGTTTTTTGTTTGATGGCTGAGCCCGATGATTTTGTTTTTGTAATCAATTAGTAACATCTGCAGGTTAACATATTTCATTCAGAGATTCCGAAGTTTTTGGCTTAGGTGGCTGTGCTCGATGAGTTTTATACTAACTCCTCACAGTCAACCTGCACCTTATTTTCTTTATTGAGGTCAAATAAATTATTTCGTTTCGTTTCATATGTGTATGTTTTGTTATGTTGATGTGTGCGGTATGTATTGTTGTATGTGTTGTTTATGTGGTTGTATATGTTGTTGGTGGTGGTGTTGTTGTATGTGTTGTTGTATGTGTTGCTTATGTCATAGCTGTTGTTGTTCACGTGCCTTTGTATATGTTGTCGTTTATGCTGTTGTTTGTATCGTTGGTGTTGTTTTCAATGTGTCTATACTGTATACAATGTTCATGTTGTGTCTGGAGTTTGTCTGACTTTCCCTCCTATGATATGTCGTTGAACTGAGAAAACCAGGGCTGAAATATTTAGCCTTTTTTTCTCTACTTTCATTGTTTACCTTAATGTTGTTTATTCTTAGTTCCTCTTTTCTTTCATCTTGCTGATGTTCAGTCGTTCATTGACGGTGTAGTTTATGCAGTTGACTTCCTCACTGACTTTTTTTAGTCTCAGATTTATTACTACGTCACGATTCACCCTTAACAGTTTTTCCTTTTCAAAGGCACGAGCAACAAACACCCAGTGCACGCAAATGCAAATACACGTGAAACAACGCATCTTACACACACACACACACGCACACACACACACATGCACACACCACACACACGCACACATCGTGCCTTAGCTCATACGCAGTCATTGTACTAGTTGTTGTTAGTCTTTGTTACTGTTTAAGTTTATTTCTGTTGCTTATATAGATAGCTGTTGTTTTTTGCTTTTAAAAGTTGACTTCTGCATTTGTCTATCTTGTTGTTGTTTAGTAGTGGTTGTGGTGGTTGTGGTGGTGGGGGTGGTAGTAGTAAGCAGCAGCAGTAGTAGTAGTAGAAGTGGTAGTAGTGGTAGTGGTAGCTGTAATCTGGCAAGCTGTACAATGCATTAACTGTTTGTTGTGTGCAATTGTGCCATTGAGAGATTTAATGCTTCTCTGCAATTTAAAAAAAATAATTTTACTAAAATTTCAACTTGTTGAGGATTATTATTATTATGAGGTATATGAATATCATTGATATTAACAATAATAATAATAATTATTATTATTATTGTTGTTTTTA